CCCAGGACAGGTGAGTGGTACAACTCGAGCTTACCCAGATCAGCGCCGAGCAGGTGCGCGAGATGGATCCCCACACGACGAGGTCGACGGACACCGGAGGAGGGCGGGAAGCGAGCATGCGCAGGATAGCCGGCGGAAGGCAGCGCTGGAGGCGAAGAGGGCGGCCGCGAGACCATCGCTCCGCGGGAGGGAGAAGCAGAGCTCGGCTGCCGCCGCTGCGAAGCCGAGAAGACGTCCCGAAAGGGACAACGGTACGGAGTCTGTGCTCGAGGTAAGTACGCGCAATTCCGCGTTTTGTGCCGTGTCTGACGTACCAGGTCATGCCGTCCACTGTCGTCATCCGTCTGACGGCACGCGAGCGCGATGTGAACGAGTAGAGACGTGTGCCGGGACACGAGAGGCGTTGGTAGCCTCAGAAGCCCGGAAAGAAACAAAGGCCCGGGCACCACGGGGAATGCCAGCGGCGCATCATGTCGAGCTGTGATCAACGTGAGTTCTCGATGTCCTTCTAGTGCACACGGCCTGTCTGACGTACCATATTGCGAGGCCCTCCCACATTGATCGCAAGGGACCACGGCGCGGAACGCGCGGAGGATCTGAGTTGGAGGTGAGTCCTTGCGATTCCACTTCTCGCGACTTGTCTGACGTACTATGGCCCATCGTACGTCGTCGCTGTCCGTTCGACGGCGTGGGAACGCGAAGAGGGCGAGCGGAGACATGCACGAGGACGCTGGAGTCGTTCACGGTCGAAGATGTCCAGAACGGCCCCGGCGCCACGGCGAATGGCATCTCAGGCGTGTCAAGCTGTGATCGAGGTGAGTTCGCGCCGTTCTGCTTCGAATGGTTTAGCTAACGTACCATTTGTGCGACGCTCTCCTATCGATCGAAGGGTACAACTGCACAGAGGGCGCGCAGGGCCTGAGTTGACGGTAAGTCCTCGCAATTCCACTTTTTGCAACTTGTCTGACGTACCATGGCCTGCCGTGCGCCGCCGCCTTTTGTTCGACGGCGCGCGAGCGCGAAGAATGCGACTGGAGGTGGCCACGAGGTCGCAGGAGCAGCTTGCGGTCGAAGACATCCGGAAGGGGATGACGGGCCGGACATGGCGGCGCAGCGCACTCGCGTCAAGCTATAAACGAGGTGAGTTCGCGCCGTTCTGTTTCAGATGGCTTAGCTGACGTACCGTATGGCGCAACCCGCCGATACTGTCCGCGGGCAGGTAGGGCTGGATGGCGCGCAGGATGATGCTTCAGCACGCGCGCGTCTTCCCCGTGCGCGTGGCAGGGACTCGATGGCGGCGACAGACTGAGGAAGACTGCACAGCCAGAAGAGGTAAGCCCAAGGGCCGCGCGGATCGTGTGCATGATTGCATACGCGAGCAGCGGCAGGGCTGACTGCCAGGCGGTGTGAGCTGGAGCGAATTCGCGCGGATGGGAGATGGTTGAGGATGTCCGAAAGGGGATGACGGCCCGGCCCGGGGAGCCGCGAGGAATGGCCGTCAGGGCGCGCGGCACGCTATTCGAGGTGAGTTCGCGCGGGCTCCTTTCGAAAAGAGTTGTCTGACATACCCGAATGTGTCGTACGGCGGCGTGTGCGATTCCGTTGCAGAGGTGCTCGAGGCGAGTTAGCGTGGCCACGCCGTACGATAGCGTGCCGGGTGGCAATGCAGGGTCTAGTCGCGCGGGGGCGCTGAGGTGAGTCCGCGCAGGCCAGGGTCCACGTCGAAGACTGATCCGGCCCCAGAAGATAGACACGCGTACCGGTAGAGTGGGCTAAACGGCGGGCGCGAGGAGAAGACGCACCCTGGCTGCGGTAGCGCGGTATCCAGACGACCGAGCGGGAGAAGGAGAGCGGGCGAGGACGGAGCACTAGCTCCAGGGTTTCGAAGGGTCGATCGTACAGCACCAGGTGAGCATCTTTTGACTATCTCCAGGGATTCGTACAGTAGGGCGCAGGGACAGATGGCAGAAGTCGCGCGGGCATAACGAAGGCGCCAGAAGAGTGCACCCAGGGTCGACGGCGCTTCGAGTGCGCGCACGTCGCTCGCGATCGCGCGATCTCATTCTGATTCGCGCGAGCGACTTGGACGCGAGCATCAGGATATCTATCGAATCCACCGAGACGAGCGAGCCAGCGAGCACGAAGAGGGAGACGGCGGGAGAGCAGCAGGCGGGTGGCGGTGCGAAGACAAGCGAGGCGAAGTTGTGGGCGCGGGAACGGTAGCTACTAGACGCCCGCGAGCGAGATTGAGATTCTCTGCTCTGCTCGCTCGCCCGCGCTGCATGTCCATGTCAATCGCGGCCTCACTCACTCGGCCCTCTGAGTCCCTGAACGGCTTCCAGATCGCCCGGATGGAAGCCGGCACTCTGCTGTCCGATCGCGTCGCGCTGTCAGAACGCGTGACGTCATCGTCTACCCTGCAGCGATCCCCCACCCGCCAGACTGCCATCCACCACCCTGCCCGAGTCAAGAAATCTCCCTCTGGCAGTCTCCACCCCCGCGTGACGTCCCAGCCCGCCCCGGCCCCTTCTTGGCCAACTATGCGATTGGAACTACTCGTCGACCCTGCAGGACGCGCTGGAGGTTGGGACTTTGATACAATATGAGCGGGCTTTCATCAGCAGACCACTCGCTGGAACGTGTACTCAATCCATGAGCCTTGCTATACCATAGCCGAAGGTTTCTGCTGTCCTTCGCAGCCACGCGCCCACCACAACCTAGCCATTCTCAGCGTTTATGAGCTACCGCAGCACACTACTGTGAACCCACTTGCAGCGCGCCGTCCTGGGATCCCCTCTACCACAACCCCTCTCCAGCTTTCGACAGCCGCGAGCTGCTACGGTGCGTCTAGTCTGGGTATGTTGAGTGTGCTCCGGCACAGTCCTGTGCGATGTCGCTTATGTTTTTCGTTCTAGCACAGACCGTATCGATACACACCTGCGGCTCGCCATGTCTGTCTTCGAACGAAAGCGTGCAACGTCCCGTCCCAACTCACATAACGATGGCTCTCCCTCCCCTAGTACCGTGGTGTACACCCCCTTGGACGTCGACCGTCAGGTCAGCGCATTGCTCAACAAACTCACGATGGCGCGCTTCCACTCGATCTCAGACCAGATCATCGCGTGGGCGAACAGGTCGGAGAAGGAGCAGGACGGCCGGACACTCATCCAGGTCATTCGGCTCGTGTTCGAGAAGGCGACAGACGAGGCACCATGGCCGGAGCTTTGCGCGCGCTTGTGCCGCAAGATGATGGAGCAGATCAGGCCCAACGTCCGCGACGACGGCATCAAGAACGCCGACGGCAAGCCCATCGCAGGTGGCCAGCTCTTCCGCAAGTACCTGCTCAACCGCTGTCAGGAGGACTTCGAGCGCGGATGGGTTGCAAAGGAGGCCCCGGCCGCTGCGGTAGCGGCGACGAAGGCCACCGAGGACCAGGCTGCGAAGGCGGCCGATGGCGAAGAGGACGAGGAGAGCGCCTTGTATTCGGAGGAGAACTACGCTGCGCAGAAGGCGAAGCGGCAGGGTCTCGGTCTCATCAAGTTCATCGGCGAGCTCTTCAAGCTGCAGATTCTCACGGAGCGCATCATGCACGAGTGTGTGAAGAAGCTGCTGGGCAGCGTCGAAACCCCCGTGGAGGTGGAGATCGAGCGTCTGTGCAAGCTCCTGACGACGGTCGGCCAGATCCTCGATACCCCCAAGGCCCGCGCTCACATGGACGCATACTTCTCGCGCATGAAGGAGCTCTGCAAGAACCCGAACGTCAGCGCGCAGATGCAGTCCATGCTGCAGGTGAGTACACGTGCCCTCTTCACGGCGAGGTCGACCTCAACTGCCATCCCAGGAAGTCATCGAGTTACGGGAGCGGAAATGGGTACCATCGGCGTCCCCCTACCGGAGTCTGGCAGCCTCGCGTGACCCTGCCATCGCCACGCTCTATGAACAGGGGAGTTCGCATTGCTGGCGTTCTATGCGCTTGTGCTAATCCCGTGCCTTAGATGGAGAAAATGAAGGCAGCACGAGAGAAAAGCTTGTCGAATGGCGCTCAGAGCATCTTTGTTGGCGGCTCAGGACGTGGCGGAGGCTATGGCGGAGGCTATGGCAGAGGCCGGTGGAGCGGCCCCAGCGCCAGGGTAGTCGCTGGTGGATCTGCTACCCGTCAGTCGACGATTGCCGCGCTTCGCGAACAAGTGAGTTGCCATTCCATAGGGCTGCGTTAGCATATGCCGATACCTTGTCCCCAGATCGAGAAGGAGAAGGCTGCATCGGACAAGGACGCCATGAACCGTACTCTGAGCATGTCTCGTGGTGGCTCAAGACGCGGCGGCGACCGCGACGACTACCAACAGATCGGCCCCGACGGCTGGGCAGCTGCTGGCGGACCCGCGCTGCGCCAGCCGCCCAAAGCCGGCGACCTCTCCAACTTCGGCAAGATCAACAAGTCAACGCCCATGACCTTTGGCCCCAGCTCCGTCTTCCAGAAGGACAAGACAAAGAGTCGGGAGTCCACGCTCTCCCGCCAGGGCTCGACGAACATGTTCTCTATGCTCAGCGCGAACCCCGAGATTGCGGCGGAGGTCACTTCCGCGAAGTCCAGTCGCCCCCCGAGCCGGAAGAGCAGTGTCGACCTCGGTCCTGGTGGTGCTCCGGAGGCGACCCCGCAACGGAAGTGTCTGCAGCTCCTTCCGCGGTCGGTTCCTGTCGATGGCAAGGCGGAGTTAACGCCTGCTGGCTCGACCGCCGGGTCAGACGACGAGGGTGGCGAGTCCACCAGCGGGCCCTCCATGTCGGTTGAGGAGGCCAACACGCAGATCTCCGAGGACTTGAAGGAGTTCTTCAACATCCGTGACCTCAACGAAGCCGATGTGTACTTCACGAAGCTCCCTGCAGAGCACCGACACCTCCTCGTCGACAAGCTCGTCACGAGGGCGGTCGAGTCGAAGGAGGCGGACGCGCAGCTGGTTGCCGACCTGTTCGGCAAGGCGCACTCGAAGAACCTGGTCTCACCAGCGTTGTTCGAGGAGGGCTTCAAGCCTGTGGCGGAAGTCATCGACGACATCGCTATCGACGCGCCGAAGGCACTCAACCTCTTCGCGATCATGATGAAGGGTGCACACTTGCACGAAGACGAGGAACGCCGCGCGCGTCTCACGGGCAAGTCCATGGACAGCGACAAGCTCGCCTCTCTTCTGTCCGAGTCATAGAGGGTCCTACATTCCCCCCTAAATTTTTCCTCCATCCTTTCGCTTCTCCTCTTTCTCGGTGAAAATGTCTACATGACTCCAACGCAAGGGGGCGGTGGTATGTCATTTCAGTAGCTCATCTTGTAACATCAAAACAATGTATACATGAGTAGATGCTATGGGCGGGTGCTCGATTGATATAGGCTGGCTTGTAGCAGCGGTGTAATGATCGTGGTACTTGTCATTACTTGTCATCGTGAAAGAGCTTAGCCTCGACTCGGAGGCTATTGATTATTCCTGGCAGCCGGTTCGCATTATGGGGTAGTGCTTCGCATTATGGATGTACACTCACACTGTGAGTTGTTGTCACCCCTCAATATTTCCAAGTAAAATGTACCCTGTGTAGTATTGAGTTTCATGACAATGTTCCGAATGCTTTTGGTAGATCTTCTGAATGTGCAAGTGATGGAGGGAGGAGCGATCCATGTTTGGGCGTCTATCTCCTTGTTCTTGTACCACGATGCTGATGCCACTCGACGAACCTGGCCTACTGAATGCACAACGGCCCGAAAGGACAACGGAGAATTCTCAAGTGCACTTCACAGCACAAGGATTGAATGTCTGGAGTTCCTGAGAGCGTTACGAACTAACACACCCAGCAACTTCACCCCATTTTTGCGACCGTAATGAGCCATGTACTATCTGCCGGTATGTTCTCGTAGGATTTTATTGAATGATTTCAATCACGCTAAAAACGATACCGACATAGATCTCGACCCCTGATCGAGCATATGGCCACGTTGAGACGCTGAGCTTTCTGGAGGTTAAGCTGCTCTAGTCAACTCCCGGAAACTCACCTTATGCACTCGCATACGTCACGCCAGACGCTCGTCTACCCGCCTCCCCTCGATAGAGTTTCAAAACATGAGCTCTGTCCACGAGTTTTCATATCACTACGGCCGAAGGTGTCTGTCAGCCTTCCCTGCCACGCGCACATTGCAACCTGGCCGTGCACGGCGTCTCTGGGCTACCGCAGCACACTACCACCTTCGCTCGTAGTGGTCAGTCTCTCGTTCCTCTTGATCACGAATCATCTCTAACTCTCAACAATCGCACACTTTTCCAGTGCACATAGCAGGGTCTCACGATGGATAGCTCTAGTACCGCCTCAGTCAAACCCAAGCACGTCGCCATCATGAGTGAGTTTGGTGCACCTGCGCCGGTACCGGAATGGGGAGGCTACTACGTGAGTCAAATCGCAGTCGACCCTACAAGACAGCTGATAGGTGGTGACCAGGACCCCTATGGGACGTCGATGGACCCAAACTGCTACCCACATAGCCCCAAATGGATGCCGCTCCCGCACACACCACAGGCGCCGCCCGTGTCCTTGCCTGGTCCGCCCATACCCCTGCAAGGCCAGAAACCGACACTGCCCATGCCGCCTGGGGTCCTAGCACCGGATGCCCACCCGTCATATCCTACCCCGTCGCCGCATATGCCTTCCTCCCTATGCAGCATTTCCCCCAACTCTGACACCGTCCTCTCTTCTGCCATACCCATGAATGGCCAACGTCTACTGAACCCGAATGCGAGCTCGTTTATGCCGAAGCGCATCATCATCAAGTCCGAGTCTGGGCGGGAAATCGACCTCGAGCCCTTCCGAGTCAAGGAGCCTCTTGCCCCCTATCGGCCCATCCCACTCAGTCTACCTGCACGGTCAACGGTATCAGTCCGGATAGAGAGCGATGACGCCAGGCGGAAGCGGATGGCTGAGGTGGAGCGGCTGTCGCAGGAGATGGAGAATAAGGCGAAGCGATGCATGACAACCGAAGTGGGGGCGTACGAGGAGGATGGTGAACCTACTATGCGCGAGGAGGCAGAGAAGAAGGCAGCGACAGCAGCGTCGGCCGCGACAAAGCGTCTGAGCTCGTCCCAGACGAAGACCAACGTCATCTCTGCTCCTCTATCTTCTGTGCTGGCCACAGCTCGGATGATCGAGGACATTGGCACCATCGTGTACCCCGAGGGTATCTTGAGCCCCAAGCCGGAGCTCAACAGGAACACCGAGCCGGGCAAATTTAGGTTTGTACGGCTTTGGCGTTGGTTAGATTCTCATTACGAGCGAAACTGATGAACGCGCATAGGTATGACCGAGACTTCCTCCTCCAGTTTATGGCGGTGTGCAAAGAGAAACCCGGCTTTCTCATCCCTCTCGACGCCTTTGATCTCAAGCCCAGACAACACGGGTTCCTTGCACCTCCCCGCCTCCCCGCGGCTCCACAACGCGGCCGCAACCGTGGTCCTTTGTCCACTGCCGTGCGCCGTCCCTCCAACGTGCTGAGCCAGACCTCCGTCCAGAAGAACGCCGGTGGACCCGCTACCCGCCTATCGTCCAAGGCTAGTGGTGACTCCTCCAACGTCGGCGGGATCGGCGAGTCGACTCCGGTGACCTTTGGCCCCAGCTCCGTCTTGCAGAAGAATAAGACGAAGATCCGGGAGTCCACGCTTTCGCAACAGGGCGCCGCCAGCATCCTATCCATGCCTGGCGCTGCCCCCGAGATCTCGGCGGAGGTTACTGCTGGACCAAAGCTTTAGATCAATCTGTGCACGGCCACTATCGGCCCCACAGCGGACCTCTCGCGTTTCGATGCATGTCCCCGTCCATGCCAAACGATATGTCACGCGGTCACCCGGGGTCTATCTCTCTGGAGGCAGAACCAAAGGCAGAGCTTCTCTGAATCTCAGACATGTACAACATAGGTCACAGACTCTCACGTCTCGAATACTCATAGTCTGCTCGCCATCGACCAGCATCCGTCGTGCGTTCATTCACCATCAAGTCGCTAGCAACTGAATCTCTCGCTGTCTGCTAAACTAAGCAGGGTGTCCTGACCAGCAGTGACGATCGAGGGTGCTGCGGCGAAAGGTGACGATAGCGACAACTTGGGCGTGCAACCGTGCTCAAGCTGTGCGCAGTTCATTCTATCGCCGCCTCTCCTCCGGCCGACAAGTGGCTAGCTGGAGTGCTGCGGTATAAGTCGAAGCTGCAGCACGTCTGCGTTACAGCATCGTCATCTTAGAAACGACGGGAGGCAACAAACTGTGCGGCGGCGCTGCCGCAGTGCAGACGCATGCCGCCCTGCCGCAGTTCACGCCTGAGAGCATAAAAGTGAGCATCCGTTTGGCAGGAACGCGTACACCAACCTCATCTCATCACACACCTCAAAGAAGTTACAGAAACATCGCGACAACGAGAGTCATGTTAGAACTCCTCACTGGTATGGCGCCTCAGACGCCTTCCCTCGTCGGGTATCTCGGAGATTCTCCGGAGAGTATGCCGCCTACTCCTATTCGCACCCTAGGTACGCAAACGAAATTCACTTTAATCAGTATGGGGCTGACCAAAGAGGCAGAACGGATTCCCGAAGAGACCCTTTGTGCTGTCACTCAGGCCGACGAAGCGCCGGATTGCGAAAAACCCCTCACTGAAGAGGACGCACGACAGGTTCTCGCCTCTCAGGTCTTCTTCATACTGTTGCACCTCGCAAGCGACACCTTTGTCTCGGCCTCCGACCATCTCGTCAATGCAATCAACAAGTCTGCCGGCACGGCGGACTGCGGATGGACGCTCGCTCTAGTAGTAAGGCATATCCGCCGCGCCGCGAGCGCGCACCCGGAGAAGGCGGAGCTCCTTGCCCGGTTGTGTCTACGGGTGGCGGAACAGCTCAGCAGCGACGTCTGTGACGAAGACATACGGGATGGAGAGGGGGAGCCTCTCTCGGGAAGCCGGTTGTTCCGCGTTCGATTGCTCCAAAGTTGCTGCTTCGGATTCGACCTCCGCTTAGCCGCGCTTGGTCTCGTCGACGATAGGCTAGGAGAGGACGCGGGTCAGCCCGAGGCTACAGTATGTGCCACGACCGAGGCTGCTCGCCGCAAGTCGGTGGAAGAGGCGAAGGCTCAGGGACCCGCGCTCGTCCGCTTCATAGGCGAGCTAGTCAAGATCCGGCTATTTCCCCTGCGCGCGGTGCACAAGTGCATCCAGGATCTCTTGGGCGTTTTGGAGCCTTTGAACACTGGAGCAGTCGCGGACGCATGCGTGCTCTTCACGCTTGTAGGCCACATAATCGACACGCCGCAGGCCCACGCACACATGGGCATATACATCTCCCACTTTGAGAGCATGGCGAAGAATCCGAATTGTCCCTGGCGCTTGAAATGCATGCTCAAGGTGGGTTTAGTATCGGCGTAGGTTAGCGGCCCAGTTGACTCTCGTCCTAATACGTGTTTTGCAGGAGATTGTGGAGCTGCGCGCACAGGGATGGGTGTCGCGCGGCGAGAAAGCTATTCTCTCGCGTGGTGGCGCGTTCAGCAGGTCGCCCCGGACTGTATACCTGAAGTCTTATAACTACTTCGTGAGTTGTTTATCCGCTATCTGACTAGAAAGCTCATCTTACAAGCCCTCGCGTGTTCAGTCGGAATTGCATAATCAAGACAGCGAGTCGTCTATGAACTGGCGCAGAAGGGAGCAGCCTATGGACGAGCAGCCTCCATCGGTGTCCGAGGGTAAGCTTGCATTGATTTCTCAACGTCGCGATAGGTTCTAACGGTGCGGATGATGTTCGCAGGACGTCGACTGTGGGCCAACTCGCGTTTGCGCAGAGCGGAAGATCCCACTTCAATCAGCTGAACAATTTTGTGTGGTCGCTTGCCAGTACATGGGCGAAAGCCTTAAAGCGGCATGTTGTATGTAAAGATCCTTAATCGCGACTGCCATGCTGAATCAAGGCGGAGAGGGCTGGCGAGTGTTTGGAGTCAATGTATGCGTGCTGTGAATTGCCGTGCGTTGTATGATTCTTTTGTGGCATCATTGGGGTTGATTCCCGCCGGTGACGGATGCACCGTGCTGGAGTGGTTGTATGATACAGCTCGTGATATTGGTTAACTCGTGGGACCTCGTCAGAAACATTAGCCGAATCGTAACCCAGACATAAGACTCAAAGCATCGCAAAGCACGACAGCACATCAAGAAGCTAGAACACAGCCCCCGCTCACCAGAACGCGATCGTCGCCGCGATCCCGCACGCGCCCATGCACGAGCTCGCGAAGATCCCCAGGCTCGTCGGGACCGCCGTCCACGAGTACGTGAGGATGCCGAGCAGCGCGAGGAAGAACCCGAGCAGCGTCATCCCGCCGCACACCGTGTGCGCCCGCGCGAGCACTCCCACAATGCCCTCCAGCGTCGCGATCGCGTTATCCTTCGCGGACGCGCCCGGGTCCTGCTTGCCCCTCGCGCCCGTGCCCGCGTTCGCGCGCCCGTGGTTCCCGCACGGGGGTCGGAGGAACCAGAGCGGGCGCGTGCGCTCGACGAGCACGAGCGAGCGCAGGTCGGTGAAGACCTCGAGCGGGAAGTCGCGGATGGTGTCAAAGGGCGAAGGGGGTGCCGCCGTCGAGCTCATGGATGCGGAGGGGCGGTGCACGCTGGAGTTGGGCGGGCGGCGCTTTTCCGCAATGGCCGCGCGCGCCGGGTTCTCGGGGTCGGCGGTGAGCATGGTTCTCTCTTGTTCTTCGGCCTTGTTGAGGCGGTAGCGGATGAGCACGAATGCGCCGACGTATGCCACGATTGCTGAGTTATGGCCGCTTAGGCGTCGAATGACACTGGAGAGAAGGTTCAAGACTCACAGGCACAGGCATGGAAGATAATGGCGCCCCCGAGGCTGGCGTTGATCACTTGGTCGCGCTTATTCCACGCGTGCAGGTCGGCAGGGCGTGTGCTGGCGGTGAGCGAGAAAAGGATGCTGTCGATGGAGACGAAGAATGTTGTCTGGCGGGAGAGAGGTGTCTGTGAGCAGTTTCTAGCCGGATACTATGCCTTGAAAAAACTCACGACGACTGCCATTGACTGCAGCCGGTCCAACCAAACTTGAACGACGGCGAGGAGCGCCTGCTTCATAGCATCTTCCGGCGTCTGCGACTGCGTCGCTGCAAATGGGCGTCAGCTTTTGGTTCAACAACCCAGTAGTCAGAAAGCGGTGCTCACAAGTGGGGGCTACGGACGCGCAGGTGCGCGACTTGTTGAACATGGTGGTAGTTCGTGCTCAACGTCGCTGGCGTTGAGCAAGTGCTGCCTGCCATAAAGGAGTGCGATTGGGAGCCAATCAACGCTCTGACACCTTCTGCGGTTGCTCCATCAGCTCGTGCCCCGCCACACACCCGCCGACGCTCATGAGGGCTAGTGGGCATACCTCATGTTTTCGAGATGCACAAGAGAACACGGAGCTGTGTAGGCGTTGCACTATCAACCAAACCCATTGGGGTACTGCGTGAGTCCTGCAGAGCAGGAGAGAGCAGAGTCCGAGCTCCAACTGGGTCGCACCCTCAAGGACAGGGCATCTCGCTCACCTGGCATACATTCACGACCGGAGCAAGACATAGTCCAAGGCAGAGAGTAGTCTCGTCACCAGCCGGTATTCGGGGGTCGCGCGGTTTCTTCCAAATCGGGACAGGAAAGACAGAAACCCGCGCAGAGACCCACCTATACCGTCTGGTGGCTTTCGTATAGAGGGGTGGGGGGCTGTCACACCCGGTCACTCTCGCTCCACCTGGACGTGCGCGCGACAGCTCTCGACTCTGCAGCCTCCCGCCCTCTGTCGCCGACCTTAGTGTGCTTTCTGCGATAGACCCCCGCGCGCAGTCCCGAACGATATTTCTTCGAGGACAAAACGTGTGCGAGAATATAGGCACCGCTTTGCGAAGCATTCAACACCTCTCGTCAGTCCGTCTCGAGGCGTGCAGCGAACACAATGGGTATTATATGCACAGATAATCTAAGCCGCCGATTTTTCGCTCCTAAATGCGAAATCAGGGTACGCGCGTGGTCTCGCGAGCTGCCTGACAAAAACCCGTACTGGTGTGAACCGCGCGGGAAGCATATAGTTGCAAACAACCACGGAGGCCGCCTCATTCTAGCGGGGGCGGGTGCTCGATCGGGACGCGTCGAGGCGCGTTTGACAGGCTGACAGGCTTCGCTGTCGCGCGAGCGTGACAACCCCCCACCCCTCTGTCCGAATTCCACCAGACGGTATAGTTTTCGCTCCTCTCCCTCTGCCTTGTCCCTGTCCCAAAAAGGAGCGATCTAATTATACCGTCTGGTGACGAGACTAGGCAGAGAGGCCGAGCGCCAAACATGGGCGGCGTTGTGGCGCTGGCATTTGCGCTCGCCTGATGAGGAAATGCTTGGCGTTGCTCATCAACGCTTTTCCTCCTGGCGTATCCCGGGATGCTATCCCACAAGGGGCCGTGACCTCAAGGCAAACGACGCGTCCCACAATCTGCGGTGGATGGCACGGACACAGGGTAAGCACTTTGTCTGGTGTCTGTATTCTTTGCGCATTCGGGCGGCGTCCCGAACTTGCTTCCTCGTCATGATGAAACTATCGTATCGCATCTTCAGTATGACAAGAGGTCGGGCGACGAAAGTCGCTCGTCGCTCTTGCGTGAATGTGCCCCAATGAGGGGTGTATCTTCTCTCTGAATCTCTATCAAACCGCCCGCAACGTTTCGACATACTGACGCCATCTCTGCAGGGGATATACATAGCTCCTCCAGGCAGTTTAGAGCGAGCATAACAACAATGTAGACACGTAAGCTGGACTTCACGACCCCAGTAACGCAATCATCTTGCTTCCCCTTCACTCCCTTCACTCCTGCACCCAAGTACGCATCTCCTTGAACTCGCGCCTGTCCCATATATCCGCGCTCTGGAACAGCTTCATCCGCCACGGCGTACTCGTCGCATGCCTAAACTCCTCCGTGTCGAAGCTCGCAGGCGAGTCCCACTCGTGAATTGCGAGGTACTTCGGCGGCCGCCCCACCACCGTCGACGCGTCTGTCCCCTTCGCCGGTCCTGCATCCTGCAACACGAACCTCCGCGAGCGACGCCATCCGGGCGCCTTCGACAGGAGGGGTATATGCTCCTCCTCGTACCACCTGTTCAAGTCGTCCTCCAACTCCGGCTTGATGTCAATCTGTAGCGTGATGAGCGTCGACCCCCGCGGTCCCTGCTCGTCGTATCCCGGGGCGGGCGGGAAGATGGGCTCGAGGACCTCGTAAGTGCGCCGGTCCAGAAGCTGCACACGACGGATGACGTCGGTCTCGCGCGGGCTGCGGGTGTGCGCGAAGGTGTTGTACGGCGCCTCGTTGAGGACATCACAGGAGGCCAGGTCGTATGTAGCGAGGTAGTGTGGGCGCTCGCCGTCCGCGGCTGTCCAGCGCGTCGTGCTGCGGAAGGCAGGGATGGCCATGCGCAGCGGAACGTGCTCGTTGTCATACCAGTCGTTGAACTCGGCGTCCGAGAGCAGGGGCCCGGAGTCGCCGAATACGAAGAGCAGACCGGGTTTGGACATTTGGTGCGTACGCGGGGGGTGTAGATGCGCGTTGATGTGCTCACATTCCTCGTCGTGCGTGCAGCGGGCGACCGCATATATGCTACTCCACGCTGCTGAGACTTTGCTCTCCAGCTATAGCGCATCTCCTCTCATGAAGTGGATTCAAGAAGCGGGCCCGAGCTCAAAACGAACCTTGGTGGCTTCGCGATGCAAGTAAACATAGAACGGCCTCCCCTCTGCCGGAGCCGTTGTCTCGCGGGAGGTGAGTCCCTTGACCCATGACCGACGAACGTCCAGTGCGAACATCTTCACGGAGCTCCGTCTATGACCAGACATCATTCGAAGCCCAAGGTTCTCGCCAGGTCCAAGTCCTGCGCCCCAAAACCTTGTTATTTGGCCCTGGCTTGCTTGAGGCTCGCTCTGGGGCATCTCCCCCTCCTCCGTCGCATGTCCCTGAAGTTCAATTGGTGCGGAGACGCTGCTCAGCCTGCTGCTCAGGTGCCTTGCCAACCCGACCATCGCACAGCGACACAACTGGCGAGCCCAGAGCCCCAGGGCGGCCGCGTGCATGATCGATCCGGGGTGCACTGCGTGGCGGTGCAATGCTGTGATGTTGTAGACTTGCTTTCGCAGATCCTTTTTCGAGCCGAGGCTGCAGGCGAGCGCCCGTCTAGCAAGTTGGAGCATGCGTTCCTGGCGCATACATCAGGCGAGCATCACCACCTTACCTACCGTATATGCTAGGCTGAAGTGTGCTGCCTGTACAGACTGGCCCACCGGCTGTGGGTGGTCATATGCCGATGTCAACATCACTGACAGCATCTAATTCGAGACCCGCCGCAGCCCTTGGCGATGGATGGATCACGCTGCACAAATTGTTGCAGACGAATTCGGGGATGGCTATAGAAGCACAAACGTACGTATCTCCCTATCCAGTACCGCACGTATCTGTTTATCCTATGTCAGACATGTTTTATCGACGGCCGACCCACATGCACACATTGCCGGTTGCCCCGCCAGACAGCTTGATATCGGGCTGTCTTCGTGACGTAGCTCACGAGTCTTAGTCGCACGCCTATTCCTTCTCGCCGACCGTGATGGACGCGTCTTCGAACCACGAGGTGCGCCGCTCTCCGAAAGCGTATTCATCACACCGACGTCCATTGTCGGACCGTGCCTCATGCTTCACCCAGGTGATTATCGAACGGCACCCCCCACCCAGGCCAATCGGCGGCGCGACGTATACGTCGCGCGCACACATGTCTCATCGGGCGACGTCCAAGAACCTCGAGAGTGCTTCGGAACGCGTCGCATCAGCGTACGCAGTCATTTCTCCGATCTCCGAGGAATCAGGCTGACACGTCCTCGGTCCCCCGTGGCCTCCTCAGCTGTCCCGCACCGTCGCTTAGCGCAGAATGCAAGTGCGGCCTCGTCGCCCCTGGCGCTTTCTCGACATCCGGCCGGTGATAGCGCCCGCGCGCGTTCCGTCATGTGTGGGGCTGGATGCGGTCGACTGACCGGGGACCCATGTGCGGCGCTCTCACGGGAGCGCCCCGCGCGCCCGCTTCGCGTTCTGCAGCGCATGGGCGCACGCGCAGTAGGTTTGCGGGGGGAAGAATAAAAGCGGTGGGCGCCGGGGCGTTTTTCGGCAAGCATTTTGCTTCCTGATTTTTGCGACTCTGCTCATCGAGTATCACCGCCATGCGAAGCTTCGTCGCTCTTGTCACCGTCGCGCTTGCGTCCAACGCGGCAGCGAGGACGTTCACGGTCTTCAACCAGTGCCCGTTCACCATCTGGTGTGTCTGAATTTCCTTACGTCGCAACTACTACTCACGCGTCTCGTCGCAGGCCTGCTGTACGTGTGCTCGTGCTTCGGGTGGACGTCCCACAGGTGTTCTAATCCTAATCCAGATCTTCACCGACCACAACGTCGGCTCGTCCATTCCCAACCAGCCGACTGGGTACGCATATATCCGCTGTATCATCTTTTTGATGTACTGACACGAGCAAATATCAAGTTGGCAACAGGATGCCTTCCAGACCGTCAGCTTCTCCGTCCCCAACGACTGGCGGGCCGGCCGTATCTGGGTATGTACCGCTATCTTCCCCTGGTTGTACCGGAGCAGGACCATGCTAAGCATATGACGCTCTCGAATAGGCTCGCCGTGACTGCAACTTCAACGTGGCGAACCCGGGCCCCAACTCCTGCCTCGACGGAGGCTGCAACGGCGGGCTCGTCTGTGATACATTCACTGGCACGGTACGTGGATCCGGTGTACACTGCGTATATGAGAGCCGTAGGTCGCTTACACTTGCTTGTTATGATAGGGCGTCCCTCCCGCCACCGTTGCCGAGTTCACGCTGGGCACGAACGGCATCCCGGATAACTACGACGGTGTGCAAATCTATATCCACTGTACATACTGTCGATATGCTTACGCTGAGACTCCCAGTCTCTCTCGTCGACGGCTACAACCTGCCTCTGAGGGTCACCAACAACAAGGGCTGTCACGTTGCCGACTGCCCTGTCGACCTTGGCCCTAACTGTGAGTCGCCTGTTCCCGTTAGCGGCGCCCGGGCCGGTGCTGATACCCATCATCGCAATGCAGGCCCGGACCAGCTGAAGGGCCCATTCGACTCGACCGGCTTCCCCGTGGGCTGCAAGTCCGCGTGCGTCGCTGGACTGGGCGACCCTGGTACGTCGAGCGCGTTGATGCGAGCAAACGTGCGGCGAGGCGCTAAACGCTTGCGTGTCCCCACCTCACCTAGTGAATAACCCCAACTGCTGCACGGGTACGCACAACACCGCGCCGACGTGCCCGAACTCCGGCGTCGCGTTCTACAGCTACTTCAGTGCGTCGTCTTGTCCCGTATAGGCTGTGGCCATCTCTGACGGTCTGGGGTGCTCGGCCGCTGCAGAGAGCAACTGCCCGAACTCGTACGCGTACGCGTTCGACGAGTCGAGCGGGACCGCGCTCTTCACCTGTGACTCCGCCCTCCAGGCGGACTACACGCTCACCTTCTGCCCGTGAGCGGTGGCATGATGGATGGCTTCGACGGAGCTTGCGGAGATGGAACGATCACAAGAGTCCATTCTTGTGCCGTCATGCCACGCATCAGCGCCGTATTCGCTGAATTTTGAATTTTGATTCTTAAGGGACATCTTCGTTGTGTTAAGGTTTGGGGTGCAACGACGGTGGTGGAAGGACTGTACCAATATATCTGATGATCAACGTCATAAGGGACATTTCAACCATTGTGGGGCGTCCGGGGCTTGTCCATGAAAGCGGTGAGTTCAGTCATGCAAGGCACGATACATTCTGGACGAAGAAGTACCATTTTGTGCTCCAATTGTCAACTGACTGTCCAGATGATTACAATGTGAGTGCATCCTTCCCGTTACCGCCGTCACTAGAGCAAATATTGACGAATGACTCTTTAACACGGCGTCGAGCAAGCTAGAGAAGGCCATCGGTATAGGCCCGATGCGAGCGTACGCATCTCAATCACTGCATCAGACATACTTGACGACCACCAACGTGCATGCGCGCATTATAGGTTTTCCGGCGTGATATCGGCGAAGGGTGGTCTTCTTGACATGCCTAGCGTTCTTAGAGGTTTGTGGCCTCAGCTGTCCAGCTTCGCCGCTAAGCGCAGAGCATACTAGTCCGGCCTCGTCACATCTGGCGGCTACTTTCTCAACATCCGGTCGCGCATCGCCCGCACAATACTTACGTGAAGTACGGGGCTGGTGCGCTCGACTGATCGCGGGGCTATGTGGACCATTCTCACGGGGCCGCTGCCCCCGTGTTCTGCAACGCACGGGCGTGCGCGGAGTAGGTTTGCGGGAACAGCATAAAAGTGTTCGGCGAGGGGGCTGACATTTGGCAGGCAGGCATTCGCTTCTACCTCTCTGCATCTCAGCTCTTTGAGTATCGCTGCCATGCGCAACTTTGTCGCTCTTGTCACCGTCGCCCTTGCGTCCAACGCTGTGGCGAGAACGTTCACCGTCTTCAACCAGTGCCCCTTCACTATTTGGTACGTATGGATTATTTTGCACTGCATTTTATCGCTGATGCGTATCGTCTCAGGCCTGCTGTACGTGTCCCTCGCACTTCTGGTCTCCGTGCACGTCACGATCCCGCCGCAGCTGCGCTAACTTTGATTCAGATCTTCACTGACCACAACGTCGGCTCAGCCATCCCGAGCCAGCCGACTGGGTGGGCATATTCCCATCGTCCAATTTCACTTACGAGTCACTAACATGGATGAATATCAAGCTGGCAGCAGGACGCCTTCCAGACCGTCAGCTTCTTCGTGCCCAACAACTGGAGGGCTGGTCGTATCTGGGTGTGCCTCATCCGCTGTGTTGCCGTAGAGACCTCAAAGTAGAGAATTGCTGACTGTATGGCAGGCTCGTCGTGACTGCAACTTTGACGTGAACCCGGGCCCCAACTCATGCCTCGACGGCGGATGTAACGGCGGGCTCGTCTGTGACCCCAACACTGGCACAGTATGCAAACTCTCAGATGTACACTGCTCGGCGTGTCCTTACATTTCGTTCGTGATAGGGTGTTCCTCCCGCTACCGTTGCAGAGTTCACGCTGGCTCCAGACGGCGGCCCGGACAGCTACGATGGTGTGTGATGGTTTCATGATCACGGTCGATGTGCTTATGTTGTAACTCTTTCTAGTTTCTCTCGTCGACGGTTACAACTTGCCTCTGAGGATCAATAACGACAAGGGCGGCCCTATTGCCGACTGCCCTGTCGACCTTGGCCCCAACTGTGAGTCGCCTATCGCCGTTAAAGTTGTTACTCTTCACTGATATCCAAAATCGCGATACAGGCCCTGCCCCGCTCATAGGCCCCTTCGACTCGACTGGCTTCCCTGTGGGCTGCAAGTCCGCGTGCTTCGCTGGGCTCGGCGGCGATCCAGGTACGTCCAACGCCCTGATCTCATACGTTGATATGCTAAACGCCCTTGCGCCCCTACCCAGCGAACAACCCGGACTGCTGCACAGGTTCGCACAACACCGCGGCGACTTGCCCGAGCTCTGGTGTCGATTTCTACAGCTACTTCAGTGCGTCTTTCCTTTCATCTCAGGCTTGTATATGTTCCCTTTTGACCAGGGATAATATGTTTGTAGAGTCTAACTGCCCGAACGCGTACGCGTACGCGTTCGACGACCCGACTTCGCTCCGGGCGTGCGACTCTGGCCTCCAAGCCGACTACACGCTCACCTTCTGCCCGTGAGCGGTGGCGTGACGGATGGCTTCGACAGCGCTCACGAAGGTCGGACGATCAGAAGAGTCCATTCCTGCGCCGTCGCGCCACATGCCAGTCTGTCGTACTCGCTGAGTTTTGAATTTCGATTGTTCGAGGATGGTCGCCGTTGTGTCCATATTTGGGGCGTATCGAAGCCGATGGAGGAATTGTACCAATATATCTGATGATCAACGTCAGAGCGGGCACTTCAGCGATTGGATTCCGTCAGACGCCGCTTGCCAGTGGAGGCCTTCAAAGTTCAACGATGCAGTGCATTGTGGACGTAGAGGCGCTTCGTTACATTGCAGCCCCGCTCGCAAGGTCAGCTGGCTGTTAACTGGAGCATGCGGTGAGTCACGATCCTTTACTTTTGTGATCTTACCGCTCCATCTATTGACGCCTCAACAACGATTCCTGGCTCGCTCATGGATGAATTGGGGAAGACCATGGCCATAAGGATGCAAGTGCGTATTTCGATCACTGCATCAGACATACCGGTAGATGACTGACGCACATACAGACATCACAGGCCGCCCGGGTTGATATCGGCGGGCGGTCTTCTTGACGTGCCCAGCGATGTTGGACCTCAGCTGTCCTGTCTCGCTATTAAGCGCAGAGCATACTGGTGCGGCCTCGTCGCGTCTAGTGGCCACTCTCTCGAAACCCGGCCGCTCACAGCGCGCGCCATATGTCAAGTAGGGGCCTAGAACGGTGGTCTACTGACCTTGGAGCAATGCGCACCACTCTCACGGGGGTGCCACCTCCGTGTTCTATGAAGCACGGGCGCACGCGCAGTAGGTTTGCGGGAACAACATAAAAACGTTCGGCCAGGGGGCTGACATTTGGCAGGCAGGAATTTGCTTCTACCTCTCTGCAACTCAGCTCCTCGAGTATCACCGCCATGCGGAACTTCGTCGCTCTTGTCACCGTTGCCCTCGCGTCTAACGCTGCGGCTAGAACGTTCACGGTCTTCAACCAGTGCCCTTTCACCATATGGTATGTATCAAATGCTTTACATTGCACATACTACTCACTGTAACTATCGTAGGCCTGCTGTACGTATCCCTTCGAGTCGGGCTCCTGTGAACGTCCCACAGCTGTGCTGACCCCGATCCAGATCTTCACAGACCTCAATGTGGGCTCGGCCATCCCGAACCACCCTACTGGGTGCGCATGCTATCTCTATGGTCCAATGTTCACGAGTCGCTAAACTGTGCATGCATCAAGATGGCAGCAGAATGCGTTCCAGTCAGTTAGCTTTTCCGTCCCCAACAATTGGAGGGCCGGTCGTATTTGGGTATGCATCGTCGACTTTCTCGTTAGACTCCCTTGAAGGCAGGCCAATATTGACTGAATGTCACTCTGCAATAGGCTCGTCGTGACTGCAACTTTAACACGCCGAACCCGGGCCCTAACTCCTGCCTCGACGGAGGATGCAACGGCGGACTCGTTTGTGACCCGCACACTGGCACGGTACGCAGATACAGCGACATCCGCTGTTAGAGGTGTTCTTATATTATTCTTTCGTAATTTTCGTAATAGGGTGTCCCTCCCGCGACCGTTGCAGAGTTCACGCTGGCTCCAAACGGCGGTCCTGACAGCTATGACGGTGTGCAATCCAACTCCTATCGTCATCACGATTGATTTGAATACTGAACTTACAACTCCCAGTTTCTCTCGTCGACGGTTATAACTTGCCTCTGAGGATCACCAACAACAAGGGCTGCCCCGTTGCCGACTGCCCTGTCGACCTTGGCCCCAACTGTCAGTCTCTCGTTATCTCTAACGCTCTCCTTTATTAACATTCCAATCGCAATGCAGGCCCATCCCAACTCAAAGGACCCTTCGATTCGACCGGTTTCCCCGTTGGCTGCAAGTCCGCATGCTTCGCCGGGCTTGGCGACCCCGGTACGTTTAGCACGCTAATACCGGATACTATACGCCATTGTGCTGAACGCTGGTGTGTTCCAAACCAGTGAACAACCCGAACTGCTGCACGGGTTCGCACAACACACCGGCGACGTGCCCGAGCTCTGGCGTCGCATTCTACAGCTACTTCAGTGCGTCGTTTGTTTGATCTCGTCTACGTCCCTTTTTGACCATCTGGCTTGCTTCCTCGCTGTAGAGAACAACTGCCCGAACGCGTATGCGTACGCGTACGACGACCGGACGGCGCTCCGCGCGTGCAACTCTGCTCTCCAGGCGGACTACACGCTCACGTTCTGCCCGTGATCCGTGATATGCCATATGAGTGGCATTGACGGCGCTCGCGGGCGATTGGCGCATATGCGAGACTGTGGCGCCGATGGTCCCTCTTCCAGTGTGCCACTTTTGCTCACTATCGGATTTTGTCGAAGATGGTCTTGTATCCAGGTTTTAGGCGTGACGGTGAAGGGATGTACCAATATATCTGATACTCATGGCTTACTATAGCGGACAATCCGACGCCTAGACGGCGCCGGAAGCGTGTGCATGGAGGTTTTGAGTTCAATCATACAACCGTGGGACCACACCCTTACAGCGCTCCGTTATATTGCGCGCTGGCCGTGAAGTGAACGGGCCGTCTGCGCGCGCATGTGAGTCTTTTCTTTGCCTTTGCGGTATTACCGCAGCACAAACTGACGCTTCGATGTCCTGCAGCACTCGCCCTAGTAGTAGTCTCTATGAAACCCTGTCTTTCTTGCGAGTATATGAGCTGCGGTAAAGTTTCTCGAGCTGCTGCTGGGACACGCTCTGCTCGGGCTCGCGTTCTTGTTCTACTCGGTTAGTGGCCGGTCAAAGCTTCGTGCCCCAAGGTATGTACAGCAACTCTGCTTCTTCGCGCCGCCCTGAACGCGTACAGACCTAGTATTGCGTTAAACCAGAATAAGGCACCATGTCAGCCACGCCTACCAATCCCCCTCCTTTCTGGCAACCGCGCCCCGCCGACTTCCAAATTCCCGCTGCCGACCAACACAACCACGCCCCTCAGGGCCAGAGCGGTGGACCGCCACCTTGGGCGCGACCTTATCAGCCGAAGGGCTATCCGCCCCACCAAGGATACCCGGAGAACCGTAGGGATGAACCCTGTAAGTCCACACCGTCGAGATACGGCATGTCTGGACCCAGCCTGATTTAATACGGCGGGAAGATCACTCTCAAGGTCCACGCCGGCAACACGCACACCAGCAAGGAGGGCGCGGCAACGCTCCACACTCGAGCGTGCCCCCGGATCCCGAGCGGGGCGATGCGCAAGATCACACGACACGCCCACCACGGGGCGCAAACCAGAAATGGCGTGGACCCGAGCGAGGACGAGGACGAGGACGGGGTGCAACATCTGGAACACACACCAGGGAAGAGTCTTCCCCGGCGTCACCAATCACGCCTAGGTCACCATCGAGCGCGTCTCCTACAGCCCCTCCGACGCTAGACCCACGCGCGCCGGGTTTCAAGCCACGAGGAGATCGTAAGGGGCCTGCCAGCTCTAGGTCCGAAACTACGAGCAACGCGCCGGCGGATGTGGACATCAATCGCTACTTGCAGGACAGGCCGCCTGGGCTTCCCTCGCCGGATCTAGGTACAAAGGGTCATGCATCTGGCCACCTTCCTCCTCAAGGAGACGCCGCACTGGAGTTGCTTGCGCTCTGGGAGGAACCGGAGGAAAAGTGGCTAATGGGCGCGGACACGGACGGCGGGAGCAGCAGGCGCGCAAAGACATCGTCCAAAACGCAGTCGGTGGCCGAGAACGCCAAACGAGAGTCCACGGAGGGAGTCAAGTCTGGGCTTGTGGAATCGTCTTCGACGGCGGCTTCGAAGGAAATCGCAGGGCAGCCATTGCTGGCCCGCGTTCCTACGCCCCTCGTGGATACCTCGGAAGTCCCCTCCCCAATCACTTCCTCCGCGATTCCTGGCGTACGGGATGGGACAGAGTCCTCCGCCTGCGATGGCAGCCTCGACAAGGATTTCCCTCGGAGCCCTCAGCTTGAAGTCTGTGCTCCCCAGGGGGTACCTGCCGACAAAGCGAGATTGCTGAGCCTTTCCGAATTGGACTCATTGGCACCTGTAGAAGGGCAGATTGGAGACTCCACGCTCCCGACCGCGAGGACGGCATCCCCGACGACTTCTGTTAGTACCGCTGGGGGGACACGGACCTCTGACGAGTCTCTCGCAGACTATCCCGTACTCACTCCCACTCCCACCGCATTGTCCTTCTCGCCCGTCACCGTTACCGCGTATTCTTCCCGTGCCTCCGAGTCCACGCCCGACTTGGACGACGATCGCAGTTATGCAACCTCTGCCGCCAGCGCGTACACCCCCGGACGCTCTGTCACTTCCGTGGAGCGCAGGGCAGGACCCATCGGGCAACAGCTGCGTGAGGCGAGGATCGACCGCCTTGAAGCGCGAATCGAGGTACTTGCAGCGGATTTGGAGATCCTTCGGCTGGAGTTGGCGCAACTGCGTGGAGAGTAGAGGGCGCGATATGCACGGAGTTACGACAAATTGGCATGCGTGGGTTTGTAGGGAGTTAGTAAACTGGTTGTAACGAGCGATGGGGCATAAAAATTGTATGGACAGTGTCGCGACGCTAGAATGTGAGCTTCAAAGGCGAAGGACAAAATGGACATGTCCGGGATTGAACCGGACCCCTCTCGCATGCTAAGCGAGCGTGATAACCAACTACACCACATGCCCGTTAAAAATTGGATACAATCTTCAATTCATTTGTATCCCGTGCTGGAGTGTATTGCACATAGCAGGGGAGCGGGCGCGCCATGCAACAGAGCGGGCACGCACTGCCAGATCCTCCGTGTAATTGGAACATTCTTGTGCTGCAGCTGGCAATGACGACGAGAGAAGTAGTGCCGATATTTGTTAGGGAGTGTTCGCGTTCTATCAGGACACACTCACAAAATCTCGGCGGATAATTTGTGAGGTAGGCACGGGAATCTGCTAGTGGTAAGTTATATATTCGTGACTTCGTCTAGTTCCCGGGTCAATGTAGAGTAGTCTTCACGGGTGATGGATGTATAGATACCCTTTCTGAACGTACAAATACAATGTAGATACGATGAGACATGACTCAGAATCCATCGCTTTGCATGACGAAACCCAGACAGCCCAGACGCGCTAACGGATAGTCGGACACAGGGAATATGCAGCCGTTCACTGGTAGGGCTCGAGACTGACCCACTCCTCATCCTCAGAGTCACTAGGGATGCTATTTCTCCGTCCCAGAGGACTGGAAGCGGATCCAACGCTAGCGTAGGACGAGTTGCTCGCGGTCGAGGGCGGCCGTGGCACGGGCGAGTCCGGCGGAGACTGCCCGGGTACGTCTCTCGCCCGCAAGTCTTCGAAAAACCGCCCCCACCGGGGATCGTCGAGGGCAGGATCACTCCTGTACGGCATGTCCGCGTCTGTATCCTCGCTGGAGGTGTCAGGCGCTTCAGACGACGCGCGCGAAGAGGACGGAGAGGTCGACGCGAGGGACGGGCCCGACGGCGTGCACACCGGGCGCCCGCGCTGCTGCCACTCGGGGACCGGGTCCGGATCGAGCGCGACACGTATCGTCTCCATGCTGCTCGTGCGCCGCACGCTGCGCTGGCGCTCCTCGAAGCGCAGCATGTCCTCGACCTCGCGCTGGTGGCGCCCGAGCAGCTCGTCCCAGAGGCTCGTCGGCTGCGCCACCAGCCGCGAGCGGATGTGCCAGTCCGTGTCGAGCAGGCCCATGTGCGCGACGTCGGCCCACTCGCCCGAGGGGCTCAGCACGGCGCGCCGGTGCACGCCCTCGTGCACGAGGCCGAGCGCAGCGAACAAGCTCCGGCTGCGGTGCTGGTGGGGGGAGGGCAGGATGCGCGCCTGCACGCGGTGCATCTGGAGTGTGTCGACGGCCCAGCCGAGCGCGATCTCGCAAGCGCGCCGCCCAAGACCGTTACCGCGGAAGGCGGGAAGGATACCGACGCCGATGTGCACTTGGCTGGGGAGGAGTGATGATGTGATGTAGACGACGCCTACGGTGTCCCAGACTCGCATAGTCTCCACTACTGATCCTGCTTCATTCTCCGTGGCGGTCTGCAAATCATGACACGACATATGAGCACCTGGAACGCGCAGACGAAAGACCGGTTGACTCGCCTGTGGTGTGCTGTTGACTGCTCCATCATCTGCGAAGGTCACACTCGGGGCCAGGGACTGCAGTGGCTCTCCGTTCAACAACGGCCAGACGGTGGGAGACGGGCGAAGGCGCACAGGGGCGATGTGATTCCAGAGGACGGCAGCGAAGAAGAGGCAGTGATTGTTTCCGAATTCTAGCATGTCAGATTGGTTGGCAAGAGCAGCCTCAACAGAGTGGGGGTACAACTCGACCCATGCCCGGAGCAGAGCCTCTTGCTGAACCTGGCTATTTTCGGTGTCGGTCTCGAGCGACACGGGTTCCCGGGCGAAGTCAGTGACCTTGGGAGGCACAGTCGTGCTTGGGCCTCCAGCCGGGAGCGAAGTAGGCGACATTGAGGGTCGCGATGTCAGGGGATGGTCGGTGGAGCGATGTGCAGGTCGTGGGGATTTATAGGCTTTGAGTGCTGGTGCGAGCGCAGCTGATGGACGCTGCGGCAGTGCCTCGTTTTTCCGTTTGGAATTGGGTTTGGCAGTTCATTTCCCATGCGACCACATATACGCTTTGGCCGGACCCAAGGTCCGGAGCATATTGACTGCGAGTGCTGCGAATTGCTTCTTCCAGCAAAGCGGCGGTGCCGAATTCGAGTCAATGCTACTACTTGTTAGCGTCAGGAACAAGGGTGCCGTGGCCACTTGGTTGAGCATCGGTGCGGCCGGGGGTTGCACTTATCGCGACGAGCGCCGGTGCCAGGACATATGATCCTACACGATGCCGATAGAAGCGAACGAAGTGTGGTTTGTGGAAGAGAACTCCGGGCTAGACGGAGACGATGTGCGCCAAAAACGCCCCACAATAACTGCTGGTCACAAACACCCAAGCCAATAAACAACTGTACACTTGGATGGATAGTGTCGAGACAACGCGAGCTTACCAGTGTTCTCTAAGCGTCCGCATGGATGCATAGAGGACAACAGCAGTGGGCCTTCATGGCCCTTCCCTTGGATAAGTGCCTTGTGCCCTCGATGTATAGGGCCTGTCGCAAACGCGCGGGCCACATATGGCAGTAGAGACGGCCTCTACTGCAACGACTGCGGGGCTATGACCGCGTCCTGTAGAGGAAACTATCAGCACGGACGTTAGGCATGACAGAGATCGAGGAGAACTCAATCAGAGAGAAAATTTAATGCCTTCGCGGAGGCAATATACGTCGTGTAGACTCGGGAATGTAACCTCCCGTCAAACACAGTCAAGATACGCCATGTAGAGAGCTGGAGAATTAAGTTGCCTCGTAAGAGAAGATCTGCTTGAACATACCCTTGAAGTATCCTACGCCTCAAAATGCGGTCAAGTCGACGAGTCGGACATGAAGGAGCCTCAGCATCAAGCGCCCTGGGCCAAGCGCCGTAAAGGTTCGGGCGCCCTCGGTTAACGCAGGTTCTCACATTATTGATGGCCTTCCTTTCCAGAACACGCAACCGCCATGAAATGACTGAGCAGGACTCCCTCAGTCTCCCTTTGCCCCCTTGGCGGGCCTCGACGACCGCTCACCCCACTCTATTTGTTGGTTGTCATCTGCCGGCCAAGCATTGCACGATCTACTGCGGTAGCGGAGCGAGAGCAGTGACTCGAAGCGGGGTAGTTAACAAGGCTACAAAGGGCGTCTGCTGCGCCGGAAGCCTGGCGTCCCTGCCTGAGCCTATAAGCAATCTTTCGTTCATACCTCGATCTCTTGGAACGCCTATATCATCAGCGGCTTGATTCTAGGAGTTTGTGTAGCGAGGGCGGCGGGCAAATGTTCCGACGTTCACGCCTGCGTGCGAGTGGTGAGTAAGGCTGAGTACTACTTATTGCACAAAGGGTTCGAAAACTCTTAATCCATGCCCCTTTCTCTAGATTCCACGACTATGGACGGGACCACGAAGCAGGCGCTCCTGGCGGTGGTGCAAGTCTGGCTCGACAGGCTTCAGACTATGGCTGTCATCGTGCGTGTCGTGTCTCAACGTAAGACCATATGGCGCGCTAAATATGATATATTACAGACAACATTCTTTGTATCCATCGACAGTATGCTTTACGGATACGCATCTGTCTCTGTACCACCAAACGCGGATAACTGGTCCAACGCAGACCTTCTGAAGAGCGCAACGTTAGGCGGCTCCATAATTCTCCACGTTTGTGCTTGTAAGTTGATTTAAAGTACCAGCGCATTTGCATCTTCTCAGTCAGTATATTTTTAGCCATTCTCGCATACCTCGCATCTTTCGTCCTCATCCGCTACCGTCTCGACGACGCAGAAGAGCAAGCCCAGACCGCCGAACGCCCGAGCGCGGACATAGCGCATGAGCCTCTCGACTCGAAATATCAGTCCACTCGCGGTGCAGCCCTCCAGCCTTCCGCTTCAACTACCGTTCGCCCAGTGCATATTGCGTCTCGAGACTTCCGCTCCCTCGTCAGCGTCTACCAAGTCAAGCCTTTCGGGTACATGCAGCGCAGAAGCGACGCGCTCAAGGCCGGCCCGGAGACACCAGATACCGCGAACGGAGACGCTGCTGCTCTGGTTACGCTGCAGTCCATGGTGCGGACACTGACGCGGTGCCATACCGTCGTCGCGGTCATGTCGAACGTCGGGTTCGTCTTGGCCCTCATTGGGACGATCACGTACTTCTGGACGGCTTTTCCCGTCGCACTGGGAAGTTTCGCGAGTGTTTGTCTGGGATTGTGTCTCCTTGCGGGCGGGTACGCGGTTATGTAGCAATGTGGCGTAGATTTCGGATTGTACTCTCATCTTGATACCCATGGACTTTCGGCGAACATTCCATGCACAACAAACATTCTTTGTACAGATCAGAACCACTAAGTACATGCATATATACAGCATCCCTTCCGCGTATTGATACATCTATGATACATAACCTGTCGATAGCTATACAAGTGAAGTCCGTTTTCTTCAATGTCCGTCCTTGTCACTATGATGATATATACTCCGTCGGTACCATCGCCAACGTATCATCAGAGCCCCCGCAAACGCTTCGCAAGTACGACATCTGAGGATGAAACGTCCGAGTCCCAGCTGGAAGCGCTCCGCGCGCGTTTCCCCGGCCGCCTCCGTGGTAGCGCGACCTCCTCTTGAGGTGCATCATTATCTCCACTGGCCGCCGCCTGAGAGGACTCCTCCGTGTATTCTTCTTCCGAAGGACGTTGGCCCGAACCCTCGGCGTCGAGTTTGTGCTGTTTAATGACATTGTCCGCGCTCTTCTCCTCTGCGACAGAGGTACTAGAGCGTCCAAAGAAGCTCCGGTCTGAGTCTGAACCCTCGGGGTCGTACGAGGCATCCCCATCTTCGTCGCCGTCCCCGCTGAGCTGGTCCTGGGTCTTGTCGGACTGTGGCCAGTCCGTGCGACGCAACGCGGCGGATAAAAGCGTGAGGATAGGTCCATGGGTCTTGAGCATTCGCATGTAAGGGACCTTGTCGGTGTCCAAGTCCTCGAAGTCCAACCCTTCCTCTGAGTGTTCTTCATCTAGGCAGTTGAGGTTCGCGTTTCCGAGCGGGGGCCTCTCGAGACATGGAGGGCGAGGTTTGAGAATGGGCGGGGTGTGCTTATTGCCGTTCTCCTTCGACACGTTGGTCGCCTCCAAGCGTTCACTGCGCTGCTTCTCCTTTGCTGCTCTCCATTGCCTATCGCGCGCGTCCTCTAGGACGCGAGTGCGCACCCCGGCGGCGTAGAATAGTGGAGAAATAATGCCCTCCAGCGGGTGCTCGAACGGCACCTCCGAGCCAGCGCACCGTGGCCCTGCGCCCGCTCCCGTGCGACCTTTCTTCGGCAATAAGAACGATACCGGCGCACCCTCAGGCGTTTGTAGGAGGCCCTCTGTGATGCAGCTCCGCTTTAAAGTCGAGCACTCCTTGCCGGTGCCGTCTTCCTCGGTATCGTAGTACGCCTCGTGCAGGGCGGCGGGATCTGCGCAGTCGTGGGGCATGTACCGGATGCACATCTTCACTAGAACGTGAAGGAACGCCTCGAGCTCGTCAGAGACGACGTGGGACTCCTTTGGGTAATCCAGTGCCTTCACGGAAAGAAACGCATAGGTGCCCTGAGGGGTCGTCAGTATTGTGATGGGAGATGGAGGAGTACGGGCTTACTCGGAGAGATGTTATCCTGTCGACACCCGACTCGACGGACTCGGACATCTCCCAATCCATCAACATTCCCCGGTACCGATCCCCGTCTTCAGAGTCAGTTGGGACCATCAGCATGTTGCCTGGACTGATGTCTCGATGAAGTAAGTGCGCGCGTGCGTAGGCTTCATGATGCGCTAGAGAGAGACGGCGGTTAGTACCGCACGAGCCTACTTTGGGTTAGAACGCACCCTCGACGCAGTCCTTGAATAAGCTCACGAGTTCCCGCCCGTTCTTGAAGTCGCGAAGGGGCCTGCCGACCTCCCGTACCACCAAACGGTAATGCCGGATTACGAGCGTGGGTATTGGACGTTCGGGCGTGCCCAATGGCTGCCCGTACGCTCGCTCCAGGAGCGCGTTGATGTTCACGTACTGCCCCGGCACATCCCCGTGACAAACGAGGGTGGGGACGAAGCGCACCCCCACCGCGTTCAGCCGGGCCAGTCTTGTACCCTCCTGCTTGATAAAGCTCTGCTCCCATCGCCAAGTGTCCTTGACGTAGACGAACGGCTGCCCCGGTTCGTCGACCGCGAGGGCGACGTACCCCCTGGCCCCGCGCTTGTCGGCCATGCCTTCTTGGTGGAAATGCGGTCGCCCGACGAGGAAGTGTCGGGCTGCGGAGTCTTCAGGATGTACTTCCAGCCGCCACCACGGCCATGACGGGTCCAGGGAGTCGCGGAAGCGACGCCGCGCGTAGTCGGCCGCGCCGTCCAGCTCGTTGTCGCCCGCTGCGAGCATCGCGGCGTGCATGTCGCTGCCGGGGAGGACGAGAGACGCGGTGGGGTCGAACCCGCGCTGTGCGCGAGACAGCTGGGCGAACCGGCGGAAGACGTCCGCGAGTATGTCGGGGCGCCTCACGTACGACACCGGCGGATTGGTAACAATGACGGTAGAGCGAGTTATGCGCGCCAGGCGGAAAAGATCGCCCACAAGGACGACGACGTACAGAGCTGCCATGCGATGCTGCCTTGCAAAGAGGCGCGCGGTGAAATTCGTCACCTCTTCCAGACTTTCCTGTGAGCAGGTGGTGTAAAACTTGTCTCCAAACGGGTCGCCTCCGGTTTGGAAGCAATGTATCGATAGTTCATGGGTGGCCCAGCGCGGGCCGCGGGTTGTTGGGGCATCGGCCGAAGGGTAAAGGCCGCTCACGTTAGCCCCTTCGTCCCTGAATGTCGCGGCCGTGAGATTCTGGGCTATGCCCGACGCATTGACCGCTTGGGCCTAGGTATTCCCTCAGCGATGTATACAAAAGGAGTAAACGCGCAGTCATGCTCACGAATGCGCGGTGCATCGCAGCTTCTGGGTCCTCCCAGAATACCCCCTCCATTGCTTGGTCGAATGTAGGGGGGGAAGCTTGTGGCTGGTAGGGTGTGGGGTTTACATCCGCGGACGGATCTTGTGCTTGTTCCGCTGCAGTGGGAAAGAAAAGTGGGATAAACGTAGTGATAGGAATGAAATGTGCAGGATCCATGGCGAAGAGGGCATTGAAGAGAGAGAATGGTGGTGGTAGTTGAAATGCAAACTGGTGGCTAGTTTGCAGCGGGAGGGCGCTCGGGCGGCCGCCTTAGCCATGTCGGCTATAGGCAGTTCAAACCCAGCGTCGCCATTGTCACCACGGTGCAAAGCGCCTCCCCCTGGACAATGACGTTCCCGCCCTATCACTGTTGTGCTCTGTCGGTATATACGCCATTTGTGAATTCGTGCGGTGCTGCGACCAACGTATGCCAGCCTTCCTAGTGGTGGCAGAGACTTCCGCCACATAGTGACGCATTCCGTGCACAGGCAACACTAATGCAGATGATTCCTGCCTTATGATAGTGGGGTATGAGTGACATTGTTCGAAACGAGTCTATTCTTTGCTCACCTGTATCACTTTAAGGCCCGCGCGGAGCCGGCGCGGAGGAACAACTTGTCTTCCGAGTTGGCCTGGAGCGTCCGAGCTGAGAAACAAAATTTACGGAAAAGCAGTACCGTGGTCAAGGGTTTCAAGGCAGGTGAGATGTACTCCCCATGCAGTAAAAATAGGGCAAAGTATCTCACTGGGTCCGTTAAGTAGCATCAAGTAGCCAGAGGGCTAGACTGAGCTAAGATGAGGGACTCGCCGTGGCTTCGGTTACAGCTGTTACTTGTAAGTTAACAGCCGAGCGGTAGTGACACAGAGCTCAAATAACTGAGATTTTACGTCCTTCAGAGCCAACGATGTTCCAGAAGAAAGCAAGAGGACAATTTGCGGGCAGGGGTCCGCGAGAGACCTCTTTGACCATTCCAACTTGTCCGAGCGGACGCTGGTCGTTCCGCTGGCAGATAGCACAGCCACTGCCAATTGGAAATGGATTGCCAGTTTGGATCTCTTCACTCGACCTTCGACTTGCCATTCGCTCGACAGATTCCCTAAAGACACTTGGACAGAAATCCGGAAAGGAACGTTCGACCGGGTATCCGGTAAAAGGTACTCAGGCAGTAGTACTTCCCGGGGAATTTTAGACTGAGAGTGCCGGTGAGATCAAGTTAGACGAGTCCACAGCTAAGCGAAGCTTCCATGGCATGACTCTGACGCAGATGATATCGACGCAAAGCGTAGCTGAGTGCTGAGTGCGCGAAATGGCACGCGATTAGTCGGTGAGTACGTGAGGACCCACACCGACCAGATCAGGCTACTAACGTTCACACGAACGCTCCCCATCGATATCGTATCGAATTCCCAGGCCATTATATCTCTAATAGTATGACCACGGTGGGTTGTCAGGAAAAAGTGCTTGTCCTCTCGCTACCATCTAGCTTGTGCTGATATTTTCTTCTCAGAACCATGGGGCAGCGACACCAGGTGTTCCTCATTGCCCGTATTCGTCCCAAACATGGTGATCCTGCATATCGATGCATAGCGGCCTTCCACCACCAATGGTGTTACGGCAGACTCCCTCTGCTTGCCATGCACCGCTTGCTCCGCCTCGTAACTCAGCCAGAGAACGCAGCGATTCTAAGCGCAGAATTGCGCGAGATGGACGGGAGGTACGGACGCGCACGGAAGGACGGCAGCCCGATGCCTATGGCTCCTTGTCCTTACGGTGTCTCGCTCCTAGCGACTGCTTGGACGACGGACCTCCCCGACACCACGTCCAAGGAAAATAGCGCAGCTTCCATGCCGCAAGCCTCGTCCTACTATGGCGGCGTCACTCTCCGGCATGGTCTCCTGGATGCCAACATGGGGTGCTGGGATGGCGGTGAGTTTTGTATACTGAGACTGGCCGCCGAAAACCCTCATCTCCTGCGCAGATAACAACGACGGAATCTCCATTATTGATGTGACCAACCCACTACGGCCGGCCTACTGTTTCATGAAAGACTCTCGCCCGATGTCCGCATATGAGTATCTTCAAGAGTACGATGACCTGAAAGGTAAGCATACCATCGCTGGCCCTTGAAATCTGAATAACACATTATAGGCACGACAAACACGGGCCTTATCAACCTATCTTTCTTTGCTATTCTTCTGATATGTGGCATCCCACTCATCGAGGCGCAGGCCTTGAAGGAAACTTGGCCGCGTGAGAGATTCGAGCACAGGGAGCCTGAACAAGATCACGTAGCTCTCCCCTACAATCACGTACCTTCCTTATCCGACTCCAACTACATGACCTGGGTCTGGGAGATAGCAAAGCAGCGTCTCTTGGCCGACCCGGATGACGACGAGCCTCGGAAGTGGTACGCTTTGGAGAGATCTGCGGGAGATCTCACTTCGGACACGTCGTGGCTCAAGCTGATCACGTTTTTACTCCGACATCCGCTCGTCTTCAACTTCCAAATCGTCTCCACACCAACGACCTCGAGTGTCGTGAACCCCCTCCTCGAACTGCTTGCCAAGATCGATGTGAACAATGCATCGGACCAGGACCAGGTCGCACTCATATCTGCTACGGAGGACATACGCGCCAACCTCAGACAGCTCTCCCCCTTTCCGGAAGACTACTTGGATTCCCTCCTGAAGTTGATGGCCATTACCGGAGACCACTTCGCAGGTCTATCCGGATACGATCTCTCAGCTGCTCAAATCATTCGCTTCGCCTCTCGCTGCCTTGGCATGGACTCGCTGGATATATCTCAAAACCCCCACATTGTCCTCAGCGATATCCCCGCCATCGTCATCGCAGCCCCTCATCTCCGCCGCCTGAATGTGTGCGGCTGCGACGCAATCGATGGCCAGGCGCTGCTCGACCTCGTGCGAACTCAGCCGTCGCTTTTCCTCACGGTCGAAGCTATCATTCATCCTGCCTTCCTCACGATCGTGAAGCCGCCCGACTTCCCAGTCGCATTCACGTTCATGTGCGCCTGCGAACAAGATATCAGCGGAGTGGCCCTCCCGCTCTTCACTCCGACCCAGGTGCTGCAGGCGTTGTGTCACATTCTCCCGCCGGTATGGTACTCCGGAGATAGCCAGTACGAGAGACTGGGATTCCAACAGTTTTTATTTTCACCGAACATGATCATACCGGGCTCCCTCAGCTTGTCGTCGTCCATGTTGACGTTCGCCATCTTAAGCAGCGGCTCACGACGCCCTGGCCAGTCCTGGTCGGATCGCGCTGTCGTCGGCGTGCCGCTGCACCCGTATCCTGCCGTGTCCGCCCGCCCCGAGGGCAGTTGGGCCTTCTACTTCGACTCGAGCCACACATCCATCTCCGGCGACACGACCTGGACTTTCATACACTATGCCCCAGATGACGACTCCTCGGATACGGAGCCCGTCCATGCGGACAATGGGGATCTTCTGCTTCCCGACCCAGGTGGCAAGGCGTTCCGGATAGGGCCGGGTTGCGTCGACCCACGCTTCAAACGGCGAGGCAAGGCCTACGACCTCCGCGGGTTCCTGCGTTGCATGGCGGAGGAGGGCCGGCCGCTGCCGCCCGAAGAGCTTGTCGCACAGCTCGAGAGGCTTCTATACTCGCAACACGGCGGGCGGCTCGTCTGCTTACCCACGCCGCAGGCGGATGTGCCGACAGCGCTGACGGCGATACCGTCTGTGTCCCTCGACGGTGACACGATGCTGGATGTGCTGACCCGGAAAATGTATGCTCTGCAGTCGGAAGTGCACCCGCTCGTCCGCGGATTGATGGACCCTGAGTCGAACGGATGCGTTGTAGCGTGATCTCAATGATTCTCGCTGGGGAGCATTGTATACTAGCTATCAGAAGTGCGTTCATTGCACACCGACATCTTTCGACGCGAAAACCCTTCTATTCGTATAGGTACTTTGACAACAGACCCATGCGTAATGTAGTCATACATATGTAATGATGTTTTCCAGGCAGGCTTCGGAACCGATAATGAGGAGAGAAAGCCCAAGAACTCTAAGCCCCCGCGGGCGAATGGTATACAGCGGCGGACGGCGGCCAATAAGCCGCCCGCGCCCATGTTTTCCGCTGTGGGGATGCGGGCTTTGCGCACGGCGAGGGGAGGAGTGAGCGCGTCTAGACGACCTCGAACGCCTTGCCGCCCGCCTGCGCGTCGAGCTTCACGACGCTGCTCAAGCCTGTAGGGAGGGCGTATAAGTGATAACATTCAACAAGCTGTGATGATAAGAAGAGACATACCCATGACTTCGAAGAACGCCTTCGGGTCCATGCCGCGCGCCGACGAGAAGTCCGTTCCGGTCTTCTTCAGCGACTGCATCGCCGCCCGAACACCGTGCACCATCGCCACACAAGACACTAGCGAGAAGACTGGAGTGCGCGGTCAGCTCATATTCTTGCTAGCGATCGGAGGGGAGACTCACTGATAATCTTCGCGCCGAGCGCCTCAGCCTCCGAGGTCGTGAACGAAGGCGTGAGGCCACCGGAGATGACGTTGACAAGCACCGGCTTCGGTGCGAGCGCCTCGATGGTCGAGGTGAGCAGATCTGCGCTGCGCACACCCTCGATGAAGCACACATCCGCGCCCGCCGCAGCCGCGAGCTGCAACCGGGTCACGGCCTCCTCCATGCCGAGGACCTGCGCGGAGTCCGTGCGGCCGATGATGACCTGTATTACTGTGAGTATCGAAGTAAATTGAGAGTGGGAATAAGACATACGAAGTCGGATCCGCCGGGTATCGAGTCGCGAGCGATGACGGCAGCGCGAATCCGGGTGAGAAACTCCTCACGGGAGACAACCTGCTTGCCGAGAAGGTGGCCGCAGCGCTTAGTCTGCACCTGGTCCTCGATGTGCAGCGCCGCGACACCGGCGCGCGCGTACTGGGTCACAGTGCGGGCAACCATCGCGGGCCCACCGAATCTGTAAATGAAAGTATTTTGAGTGTGAGGACTTGGCAAGAGATGAGAAGGTAGGCTTACCCGGTGTCGGCGTCCGCGATGACGGGGCAGGTGGGATCGATACTGCACACCATCTGCGCGCTCTGTGGGAGAATCGCGTGTGAGAGTGTGTCCGGGAAGAGAAGCAGCCCAGGATGATTTACCTGCACGAAGTCGTTCAGCGTGGCGATAGCCAGGTCGGGCTGGCCAAGCCGCGACGCGGTCGTTGCCGCACCGCTAGAATATCGCCGAGTCAGCATACTATCCAAGGACTCAGAAAACGCAAGTAACCTACCTCTGGTACAGGCAGTCGAAGCCAGCCTCAAGGGCGCAACGTGCGCTGATGCCATCGCAGATACCGGGAGCCACCTATCACGGTCGGCGTTAGAATTACGTTCCCGGGAGCCACGGAGATTCCGATAGACATACTACGATGCCGGGGCGGGCGAGCATCTGCCGGAGGCGGGTGGCGGGGTTCCACGAGAGCGGGCCTTCGAGGAAGTTCTTGGGGTCGAGGCGGGGGTTGTAGTAGGCCGCGGGCGCGGCGAGGCTGCGCGGTACCGACACCGCGACCTCGGCGGAGACCGCCACAGGCTTCGCCTCCTCGACTGAGGGAGCCGGAGCCGGCTCAGCAGCGGGCACCTCGACGATGGTGGAGCCGTTGGAGGGGTTGGAGTTGCCAAAGAGCTCGAGGCCGGGCATGATGGAAGAAGGTGAAGGGTGAGTGGGGAGGTGGAAGGTGAGTTGGTGAGTAGGGCAGGGAAGTCGAGCTCGAGTGGATGAGCTGGGTGATGGAGAACATACTCCGTCTTGGCCTTCCATCTTATAAGTGCCCGGAGCTCTTGCGAGATCGGCATAGGGCTACTGGCCGCACTAGGAGACAGCATTGATGATTACGGTGGGAAATTCGCGATGGACTCGGCTGCGCGCCGTGTGTAGCGGGAGGCGCACGACGCGCTAGCACGGGAAACCGCGCTCGGAGCGTGGAGCAAGACCGATACCGGTTCCTCCTCGGGCGCAACGGGAGGGGATGTGCGGCGTTATGGTTCTGTCCGCGCAAATACGCATGGTACGCCCGCCCGCCTCTGTTCGTATGTATCGGGCATCCTTCTTGTCCAACGCGGATCTCTTGGCAGTCTTGGGGAGCTTGCGCCAAGGCTGGAGGTACGCGAAGAGAACACCACGCTTGTCTGCGAGAATGGCGGGGAGGTCGGGGTAAGCGCACGAAAATCTACGAAGGCGGCAGTGAAAGTGCTCACCAATGAGAAGGCTGTCGAGAGCTCCACATCTGATGGCTTCGCTGTCCTCACGGGTACCTAGGAGCAAAATTTGCCATTGCGACCGCTGGTGGAGATAGAGCGGTTGGTCGAACGATGGAAGTATTGGGAATGTTGGCAATTAGTCTTCGCAAGACGCCTTCGTCCGTTCTAGCTGGGGAGACGCAGCAATCGCAACATGGCCCATGGCGCCGGACCATCTTCTGTGGGTATTATACGTGAGAAAATCCCCCATGCACTGATCGAAGAGTATAAACTGCGCCCAGCCCGTGGAATAGGGCGCAGTATGCACCCTTCGGGAACCAACCCACGATAGCGCGTAGCGTGTTATCTTCTGGAGATGTGCCTGAGCTTGGCGCTAGATGCCTTCAGTGTCTCTATCCTTGCGAAACGTCAGCAGACGGCCTCCTCAACCTCGAATACGGGCGTCGCGACTTCCCAAAGACGGTTGCACCGCGCCTCTGGTCCTTGCCAGGTACCATAGAGGCGGCAACACGCGACGCCACGATGCGCCAAGATAGTCTCGGCTCGTGAGCGTCGATCTGTAAGTGGTAAGTGCGGAGGTATATACAAACCACAACCGAAGTCAACGGGGCCAACCGGGAGGGTCAGCTGCCCCCCGCGGTTACGCGTGTGTCCCTGATTTCATTAAGGTTAAGTAACACCTGACGAGCCTCGACCGCTTGACTGGCGTCCCCTGATGCAGTGCTGTGGGCTAGGCTCTGTAACTTGACCATGAGTTCAATGGTCTGCTCACCGGTGATTCTTCTCCTCGGGACACTAAAAGCAAGACAAGCCGGAGCCTGACCCCGGGACAGCTGCCAAGGGAACTAGTGCCAATCGTCGACGCCACCCTCGATAGAACGTCCGGGCCATGGAGTAAGTTACCACCGCAAAGGCACACAAATTCTTCACGAATGATCCACGACTGTCCGCACACATCAGCCTGCCTGAGGATCCCAAGGTCTTGGCTCGTGGCTTGTCAACTTGCCCTTCATATGTACCGCGTGAGAGCTCAGTCACATGTAGAAGACGGTTGAGATAATACGTACCATCAGTGCATGGCCACGTAAGTAACCTGCAGCATTGGTACCGTGATAACGTTCTTGTCACACATGCACCCCGAACTGCTTTGCGATTCGTCGTGGCCGCCCGCATCTCGCGCACGTCGAGCACGGTTACGCTCGCACAAAAGCTGGTACCGGTCATCCCAGACTCTTCTCTGCCAATCGTGAGTAAACGCTAGATGGGGTTCTCACCGACGAGACCGGAGCAAGCCGGGCATTGTGAAGTACCCCGGAGCCTCTCACCATGTCGCTAGTATGCTTCCTATTCACACCCTGGCACATCGCCCAAATAATCTTTGTGCGAGTCGGGATGAGCGTCAGTGACGACTCGCACTGACAAAATGCAAAGAGCCAACGCACCTCATGCGATTTCATCTGCGCGTCATACATTGCACTGAGGCTGTTCCTCGAAGCGTCCTAAGAGGAATGGTCACCTCCCAACTCGTACCTTCCCCGCGATCCCGGGGCGCTGTATGATGCCGCTTCCATAAGAACGAGAAAATGCCGTCTAACCGCAGTTTGAGCGCAGTGACACAGAGCATTCGCACAGTGTAGCATGCACTGACATGCGAACGCGCGGCGCGCGCTCTAGGCTAAACACATCTCTCAAGGGTCATCTGCCAGAGGCTCGCGGCATACACGAGCACCCTGAAACCCGTAGAATGTTCTGCCTTCAACGGGGCTCCTTCGGCGGCTGCTCAGCGGCGCAACGGCGTGCGGTCGTCCGATGTCCGCCCAAACCCCGCCGCCGACTGACAGCGCACGGGCAGACGCCCAGGGCGTTATGGTCTCGCCTTGTTCGAGGGGTCGCAGACGGAGTGTCCGATGGGAGACAACGGCTTCTGCTCCGCCAGAGTGTGTTGGTTGACGGGCCAGCGAGGAGACACTTGGGAATGTAGATGCGGGCGAAGGCAAATGCCAGAGCCGAGCGGGCTCCCTTTCTCCGTCCGCTGGGGCTTCAAAAGTCGCAAGCCAATTGCGGGGGTACGGTTCAAAATCTGCTGTGGAAACGGGTGATCATTTTCCAAGGCCCAGCAATGTCCGATATCCGCGTCCTCACCTCGTCGGAGGTTTCCGCCCACGCCACCCGGGAGAGCTGCTGGATAATCGTACACGGTGAGCTCGACGCCTGTGCTCCAAGTTTCCCTACCAGCCACTGACAAGAGGATCAGGCAAGGTATACGACGTCACCGACTTCCTCGACGGTGCGCAGCAGATAACCCCCTCGGTCGACAGTAGGCACACTGATCGCTATGTGACCTGCAGAACACCCGGGAGGCAGTAAGATTATACTCAAGTATGCAGGGAAGGACGCCACGTACGTTTCAGCTTCGCCGTTATCTCCCGGCAGCGGCGGACGTCGGTTGATTGGTACTGGTGTTCCTACAGCGAGGCATACGAACCCATCCATCCCCCAGACGCGATCACCACAAACCTACCCCCGGAAAAGCAGTGAGCCTTCCATGCTCCGATTCTGTGACGTAGCCGCCAGTTAATCTAGCCTGGATAAGACTTGGGCTCATCGACCAGAGCACGCTCGTCAAGGCCGTGAAGGAGGTGACGGAGGAGGACCGGCGGCGGCAGGCGTTGCTCGACGCGCGCCCGCCGCTCGACACGGTCCTCAACATGCACGACTTCGAGACTGTCGCCCGCACGGTTCTGCCGGAGAAGGCGTGGGTGCGTGTTGCCATGTCTCTCTCATCCATGACCCTGGGTCTGGGACCCCCTAGCTCACGTCAACCATGACCAGGCATACTACTCGTCAGCATCGGACGATGAGATCACCCTCCGCGAGAACCGCATGGCATACCAACGGTACGTTGCACCCCCAGAGACGCTCACATGCACGGCCGTAGCGCTTACAGAGGATGACAGGGTCTGGTTCCGCCCGCGGATCCTGCGCGACGTCTCGTCTGTCGACTGGTCGACGACGATCCTTGGGCAGAAGTCCAGCCTCCCGCTCTACATAGTGCGTCTAACCATCAGCCCTTTATCTTGGTGGCGCTGGAATACTCGCTCACCAATTGCGCCATAGTCGGCGACCGCGCTTGGAAAGCTCGGCCACCCCGATGGGGAGCTCTGCCTCACGAAGGCGGCCGCAAACCATGGTGTTATCCAGATGGTGCGCTTTGTGACCAACGCGCACCGACGGACCGTTGATCATCGCCTGCGCAGATCGCAACGCTCGCGTCCTGCGCGATCGACGACATCCTCGACGCAGCAGCCCCGGGCCAGACCTTCTTCCTCCAGCTGTACGTGGTTCACGTGCCTTGCGACGTGCTCGATGCTGATACTCCGCTCGCAGGTACGTGAACCGCGACCGCGAGATCACGCGCAAGTACGTGCAGCATGCAGAGGCGCGCGGTGTCAAGGGCCTTTTCATCACCGTGGACGCGCCCCAGCTTGGGCGGCGCGAGAAGGACATGCGCATGAAGTTCGTTGGCGACGACGCGGGCGCCGAAGTGCAGAAGGGCCAAGACGTCAAGAAGGACCAGGGCGTGGCACGCGCCATCAGCGTACGTATTTATTTTCCTGTGTGCTTGAGGTTGCGGTGACTGACGGAGATGGGGTAGTCCTTCATCGACCCGAGCCTTGCGTGGAAGGACATACCGTGGTTCAAGAGCATCACCAAGAGTGAGTACTTTCCCAGCACGGGTTTCAGCATGTTGCTCACTTCAGCTGCACAGTGCCGATTATCATCAAGGGCATCGCGACCGCCGAGGATGCGATCCTTGCATACGAGGCCGGCGTGCAGGGCATCGTGCTCTCCAACCACGGAGGGCGACAGCTGGACACTGCGCGCTCGGGGATCGAGGTGCTCGTTGAGGTCACCGCGGCCCTCCGCCGCCGCGGGTACTGGCCGGACCCACGTTTCGAGATCTACGTGGACGGAGGGGTCCGCCGTGCAAGCGATGTCTTGAAGGCGATTGCACTCGGTGCGAAGGCGGTGGGTGTGGGGAGGCCCTTCTTGTATGCGTTTTGTGCGTACGGGCAGGAAGGCGTCGAGAGGGCGATCCAGCTGTTCCGGGTGAGTGCCTCAGATGCTGATGAGAATGACGGGGCTCTTGGCTGATTACGGCGACCACAGGACGAGTTCGAGATGAACATGCGTCTCTTGGGGGCGCGCACGATCGACGAGGTCGTACCGGATATGGTGGATGCGGGGTCGCTCGCGGCGCATACAGTCCTGACCCCGGAGGACAACTTGTTCAGCCAAACCTGTGAGTGCATATTAGTGACATTCTACACAGGAAGAGGCTGACGAGAAACCTTCCCCGCTTTAGACCAGCCACTGTCTCTAGCAAAGTTCAAGGAGGCAAAACTGTAAATGCCTCTTCATCTGTTATATCTGTACTAGGAGACGTCCCCATACCCCTTCGACGCATGTAGGTGGTGCTCTGACATGTTTTTGTCTTGTTTCCGTTGTCCGTATGATTGTGTACATTAGCATATGTATATATCTGTCTCCGCTCAATGTTCAGCGCATGCAGAAGGCGATAACACTCGAAGCTTACAGCAGTGGCGAGACCATTTTCCGGAATAGCGCTCTGGCGCCCTGTTTCGGATACGGAAGACTCTTGTAAGTGTCTGACAGCGCCCATTCTAAACACGACTTACACATCTGGTCTTCTAGAGTGGTTGTACCTACACGCCTATGCGAAGGATGAACCTATAGCGCCGTTGCGCCTTACTCGTCTTGCTATCCCTACGCAAGAGAAAGAGGACACTGCGTGCAGAACGCATCGAGGTCGCGGAGCCGTGCTGCACGCCGTGCGCCGTGCGCCTAACGCATTGCAAGTGCGGAGTTGTGTCGTCCAACTGGAGAGCAAACGTACCAGCCGGGCAGCGCATTCAAGCAGGGAAAAGTAGTAAGCTACCTTCTGTTTCAACCAATATGATTAGAAGCTCACTTACCAGGCGAACTGTGCCGCTCGCTCCCCCGCTAGATGTCTTTAACAAGGACAGGTCTCGGATAGTTCGCAAAGTGGCCCATTACAGCAACAGTGCTTCCTGCAGACCTAAGTGCGCATGCTATATGCTGACGAAACGAGTCCCTATTCCTTCCTGGTAAATTATGTCAGTTTCTTCACTATGTAGCGGTTACACATGCGCTGTCCAAGTACACACCTCGATCTGCAGATCGCCGCGAGGATACCCACTCATCCGCCAGCGAGGCTGTTCTCTGCCGTCAACCTCGATACGATACTTTCCCCCGGGATCCAGGAATCTATGTGTCCGCTTGCAATCCCTCAATTCTGGCAGAAAAGTTTCGCTGTAGGTTTTTTTTGAGCCCGGATACATCTTGAATACTTATCGTGTTTGCAAAAGTGATTACACGTGCAGGTCGCGACGGTGAACGGGGTCACTTCTACAATTCCTGTCCTGCACAAGACTTTCGTGAGTCTTCAATAACACTTGTTTAAAGAAAGACTTACCATATGTAGGCCTCCGTTCTGATTCACTGCTAAAAACTGGTCTGGACGAACGTCATGATGAGGGAAAGCCTTGGGCATCTTCGCAGGTGGCCCTGCTGTGCCAGTGCTTCGTACAAACCCGTTGATTTGCTGCATGCTTCGACATACGGTAGGCCTGAGTATTCCCATGCTCTCTCGGGCCTCGGTACGTGGTACCCAGCTAATGTCATGGGGATTGCTGTTCATATTTGCGCTAACGAAACATGTTCACAGTCGAATCGCTCTCTTTTGGAAAGCTACGTCAGTTATCCGGGGCACCGTGCATCTTATCTGAGCGTACACACCTTTCTCTATAGATCACCCGCGCGGAGGTCCGCGCATCCGCCAACAAAGAGGTCGTCGTCCACGGTCAACCGGTCAACACGCACAGGCGCCCGCTTGCAGCCGCTTGCAGCGTAAACGTCGGGAGCGGCCCGTCCTCGCGGACGCCCGCCTTCCGTCGGTAGCCCGGCCCGACCCCACGGGGCCCATATGCGCGTGAGCATCTCCCGTCTCGAGAGACTCAAGAGTCGCTGAACAACTCTTCTGGTTATCACCACCTCCTCTTCTCTCTTGCTCTTCTTGGTTGCTTGGACGTCCGGAGAGCAGCAGACTGCTCACAGCTGTAAAATGGCAAGCTCACAAGGAAAGGTCGTATCTGGGAAGGAGGTTGCGCAACACAACTCGCGCGAAAGCTGCTGGATCATTGTCCACGGTGCGTGGTCCTCTATTGATGAGTATTCAACGGCGCAAAGAGGGCTTACGACCAAACAGGCAAGGTATACGATGTGACGGACTTCTTGGATGGTGAGCTCCATGCATGCATACAGTGTGAGAGCAGACTGACAAATCTTCTTACTAGATCACCCTGGTGAGCCATGTCAACGGCATAGTGTATACAACTAGGCCCACTCACTGTGCCCAGGTGGAAGCAAGATTATTCTGAAGTACGCGGGGAAGGACGCAACGTGAGTTACATCTGCGGCTTGGGAGATACTCGAACTCATATGTTCTCAGTGCGGAATACGACCCTATCCACCCGCCAGATGCTATCGAAACACACCTCCCCAAAGAGAAGCAGTAAGCGCCATATGCCGTACTGTGTCTGGGGCAGCTACCTACACGCTCAACATTTTCTTACAGCCTCGGCGCTGTCGACCCCGAAACCGTCCTCAAAGTCGAGGTCAAGGTTACCGACCAGGAGAAGGCGCGCCTGGAGCGGATGGCGAACCGCCCACCACTCTCCGAGATCCTCAACCTGCACGACTTCGAGGTGCGCATCCGTCCCTGGCGCCCTTCCCCGCACTCGGGAAATTCGCGCGGCGTGATTGGCTGACTGACGGACCAATCGCGTGCGCGTATTTCGTTTGGCCAGGCTATCGCGCGCGAGGTGATGCCAGAGAAGGCGTGGGCGTACTACAGCTCTGCAGCGGAAGACGAGATTACGAACAGGGAGAACCACAGCGCTTACCACAGGTGAGTCGCCTGGCTCATGTTGGGGGATAACCTTGGGCTGACTGGTGCGGCATAGGATATGGTGGCGGCCGCGCATCCTACGAGATGTCACGAACGTGGACTTTGCGACGAAGATTCTTGGATACGATACCAAGCTGCCTCTGTATATCGTAAGTCGCAATGACGAAGCTCATGTACGTCGTCACTGAATGCGCGCGCAAATAGTCGGCAACCGCGTTAGGGAAGTTAGGCCATCCTGATGGCGAGCTGAACCTGACCAGGGCCGCGGCGAAGCACGGCATCATCCAAATGGTACATATACTACTTGCCACCCCTCTGGTAACACTGGCTGAGCGCGCGTCCAGATCCCGACCCTTGCGTCATGTTCCTTTGACGAAATCGTGGATAACGCGAAACCTGGCCAAGTGCAATTCCTCCAGCTGTGAGTGCTCGTGTAACTTCACTCCACGCTGTTGTTTGACGACATACGTAGATATGTCAACAAGGAACGCGAGATTACCAAGAAGTTTGTGCAACATGCGGAGAAGCGCGGCATCAAGGCCCTTTTTATCACCGTCGACGCCCCTCAACTCGGTCGCCGCGAGAAGGTATGCCAAACGTCTCAGTTTAGTATCACTGAACGCTTTCTGACCACCCGATGCAGGACATGCGCCAGAAATTTGACGCGGAGGACCCGGCGGAAGTCACGGAGAACAAGCAGCAGGACAAGGTCGACCGCTCACAGGGCGCTGCGCGTGCTATCAGCGTATGTTTTTCACTATCATTTTCCCGCATATATGCATAGTAACGTCCAATCAAGTCGTTCATTGACCCCGGCCTGGACTGGAAAGACATTCCTTGGTTCCAGAGCATCACGAAGAGTGCGTACGTCTTCTCGAGCCTCGATTTCCGTACTGACCCAGTCCCGCAGTGCCCCTCATCCTCAAGGGTGTTCAGTGCTGGGAGGTACGCCCGCCAACCCGCGCATATATCCTGCCCTTTACTCACTAAAACTCCCTCAGGACGCGCTCCAAGCCTACGATGCGGGTCTCGCTGGCGTCGTCCTCTCCAACCACGGCGGGCGGCAGCTGGACTTCTCGCGTTCTGGTGTTGAGGTGCTCACGGAGGTCACGCGCGAGCTCGGGAAGCAGCGTGGACTCAAGTTCCCGAACGAGAAGTTCCAGCTGTTCGTCGACGGAGGCGTCCGCCGTGCGAACGACGTCCTCAAGGCCGTTGCGCTCGGGGCGACTGCAGGTGGGTGCTCCGCCGTGCGCTGTTGCAGTCAAGGTGGCTAAGCTGTTTGTGATAGTCGGCGTCGGGCGGCCATTCCTCTACGCGTTCTCATCGTATGGCTTTGAGGGTGTGGACCATGCGCTGGACATTCTGGAAGTAAGTCGCATTGCTGGACTTGTCGAACCGCACATATACTTACCCTGGCGGCTAGGACGAGTTCGAGATGAACATGCGCCTGCTTGGTGCGCGCAACCTGAAGGAGATCATTCCTGCAATGGTCGACGCCTCCTCACTGCATTCGCACGTCGTCGCTGTCCCGGGTGACAGACTGTACGACTCCAACTGTGAGTATCTTGCTGTGTGTCTTTGGCTTCTTGATACTGATGGTATGCAGACGAGGGCATGCAGCACGCTCGCCTGCGGGAGGTCAAGTCGAAGATTTGAGCGGGATGGGATGTTTAGGTCGCTATAGATCTTCGTGCGAGTTTGGCTTGGATGTGTACGTATATATGGCTGCTCATGATTTTACGACATACAAGGCCTTGGGCAGACCTAGCTGAGAGACTCTGTGCTTCTCGGAGGGGATTTAGTGGTTCTTGGCACTATCTGCGTCCACGCCATGGTGACATTGCTTCGATGTAGCGGACACCCGAATAGACTTTCTTTCTCCAACCTTCTCTGCTCTTCACCTTCTCGATATCACCCTCTTCGGTTTCGCTGCGAATGAAGAAGTATATGAACTGGCTTTGTGAAAAGTCTCTCAATCCTGCACCCTTGCTTTACCCCCCCCCCTCACCTGTGTGGCTCTACCCCGTCTGCCAGCTTCGTATCCGTACTCTTCCGCACTACATACTACTGCCCAGACCTGGGGCCTCCTCTTCGCCGCCCCTTCCCGAAAACTTCCAACGTGTGGGTGCCGAGTTCACCCATGACGGAGCAAGGGTCAAACGTGCGCCGCATACATCCACTCTGGAGCGCCCGTGGCAGCCGGAAGTCTCCTTGCTCCGCGCCTGTGGAAAATACGCGTACGACGGGCAACGACGGTGAGTTGCCTCCGTGGCGCCCGTATTCAAATTCGATTGCAATGCGGGGTTTCGGGAATTCTGACGACGGAAGGGCGATATTGGTGTGGCGAGTTTAGGAACAAAGAGGAAAGGTGAGTAAACATCTGCTCACTCTCTCGTATGTCCTGGGATGGGTCGTGAACAAAACGTGGTCAAGTACGTACTCAAGACGAAAGGCGGAGGAGGATGTCGAAGAGAGGACCCACCCGGATCGGAGATCTGGCCAGGCACAGCTGAATTGCCGCCGGATCATGCCGAATAAGGAAGGTCTTTAACCCTAAATTTCGGGCAACCCGCATGCTCCGGACGAACCGTGCCGGAAAAATCGAAACTGAATACAAGTCTCGATCGGCCTAGAGGACCTTCGCGGGCGACGTCCTCCCCGCTCTCTCTCGCGCAGACCACGACATCCCCCACCCTCACGTTATCCATGCCCACCGTACTGAAGGCGCATCCGCACAAGAACTCGCTCGACATCCGCCTCGCTGAGTCTGTGGTCTTCCTGCGCGCGGGAGATGCCACCGGCCGACAAAGAAACCTTCAGGCCGATGCGCCGCCGGGCATGGTTCGAGGCCTGCTCGTCCTCAATCTGGCCAAACCGACGAGGATTACCAGCATCGAGATAGAACTGGTTGGGAAGACGGTGACGGCATGGCCTGAAGGTGAGCAGTGACATCATTTCCATTAACTATCGGATCCGCCCTGAACTTCTTCCAGGCGTTGGTGCACGCAGGATAGAGATAACGGAGGAACATGAGATCTACTCCCAATCATATGTCTTCTTCCGCGCCGGTCAAACTCCTGGAGCAGGGTCTCGCCGTAACCTTTCGGTCGGGCCCGGCTTGTCTTTAGAGCACGAAGACGAAGATCACTCCGAACGGTCCAGCTATGTTCAGCGGGACGGACAAACCGAGGAAGACCGCGGCAGGTCTCCATACCCCCACACTATGGATCAGAACCGGAATCACAGGCGATACATGAGCGTCGACCAGACCCACTTCCAACGTACCTTCGTTTCGCATCGTCAAAATGCCGAGCTGCCCGCGAATCTACCTCTTACTCCGCCGTATACGCCCACATATTCTCCCGAAGCAACTCCGCATTTGAGCCCTACGACAACGGTTATGCAACGTTCACCGTTTGGGACGTTCGACGAGTCTCCCGCGCGGAGTCTCGATGACTTGCGGCGTGCGTTCCAAACAGAGCTCGAAGGAGAGCACCACCACTACCACAGTGAGTGCACCTTCCCTGAGCATGGTGTCTGACACTGAGCCGTGTAAGCCAGGCTTTGCATATGATCGCACGCGTTCACAATCGCGAACCGGTGCCGGATCATCTGCGAGCATCCTGTCTCGCCCGCCTGACTCCCGTCGCGTCAGTTTTGACGACGATCGCGAGTTCCAGGCCGGAAGCAGCGCGTCACAGCTTCCGCAACGCATGCCCTCCCAACCGCCGGTACGCGGTGCTGGCTCGCGTACACCATCAAGGCAGAGAGAAGCGGATGGGGATGACAGAGGGCGGAAGAACAAACCGTTCACCTTCGCGAGCGCTTTGCTAGAGGCGATGAAGGACCGCGTACGCTCGAAGTCTCCCCTTATCGAGCGCGAGGCTCATCACGGCGAGGTTACTCCTCCTCGTGGTCGGGCGCGCGACCGTGTCATCTTGGAAGAGCCGGAGAAGCCAATTCTCAAGGAACTGTCGGCCCTCGGCAGAGTAGGCGAGGCTCTCGGTTTCGATGTGGACGATGGACGAGAACATGGTGACGGTTGGAAGGAATTTCGCAGAGGTATGGCTTGCACATTCGGATGGCTACAACCACGTCCTGACACCATTGGCAGGTGTATATACATATCCTGTATCCTTCGCCATTCCTGCGAATTCGCCTCCAACTCTGCACGTCGACTATGGCTCGGTACAATGGAAGCTCAAGGCCGTAGTACATCGGCCAGGCGCGTTCAAAGCCAAACTCCAAACTTCTCACGATCTCACCGTCGTCACAACGCCGTGTGAAGATGAGACGGAGGAGTCCGAGAGCATCATCGTAGAACGACAATGGGACACGCAGATGCAGTACCTCATCGCGATTTCCGGCCGCAGTTTCCCCCTCGGTGGCACGATGCCTATCAGCATCACATTCATGCCATGGACAAAGATGAAGATTCATCGAGTTTCTGTCCTCATCGAAGGTGCGACCTCACGCGTCTTCAGCTTGCTCTGTCATCTTATATATTTGCACCGACAGAGCGAGTGGACTACTGGACACAGTTCAAGCGCATATCGCGCACGGACCCTATCATTAGAAACTCTTTACTCGCATTGAAGTACGCTAAGAAGGATGGGCCGCCTATCCTTCCACTCCTTTCCGACGACCCGGATGCCTTTAGGCAGTCACCGCTCATTGACATCATCGACCCGAGCGACGACCTCGGGCAGGTGGTGTCCAACCTCATGGGCCCCGGTCCCTGGACGATCCGCAAGAACCTGCAGCTACCGAAGACGGGAGAGTCGCTCCACACGACGAACAAGAACAAGCGGAGCAACATCTCGGTTTCGCATATGCTGAAGATTATCTTCCGCGTGGAGCGCGGTGACGACTGCGCAGTTGACCCGCAGACGGGCAAGCGGAAGCTGTTTGATATTGTCGTCCAGACTCCAGTGCATATCCTCTCCGTGAGTCTTTTCTACCTCCCCACTAGACGTAAGGGCAAATGTGCTGACGGATGTCTCTAGCACCTGTGCAACCCCGACTATATATCCCTTCCACCGTACTCTCAGCTCCCCGATCCCGCAACTGCGCTGGCCCACCACCCCACCCTCAGCATCCTCACCGACGGCGACATCCACGTCAGCGCGGCACCAATCGTCGTCTCTCCCGCCCACCTACGTGACGGCTCTCACACGCCCATCCGGTCGCCATCTATGTCTGCCCACCCCTCGACCACCAACTCCCTCTCCGGCGCTGCGCCGTCTCCCGGCGTTCTACAGCGCAGGGAGTCCGGGCTCTCGGACGACTCCCTACCGAGCGGCGCGCAGAGCCCCATCGGGGGCCCGGGTGGAGCGGCGGTCGCGGCGACGGTGAGCCCGCCACTCTCGCGCCGGCACTCGCTGGAACGCCAGACGACGGAGCTGTTTGAGCAGCTCATCGCGGGCGAAGTGAGCGAGGAGGGCGAGGCGCCGCCGTCGTATGCGGCTGCGGTCGAGGGCGTCGTGGGTGCGCACGCGCCGTCGTCGAACGCGTCGCACTGAAGGCGGTTCAGTGGAAGTGAAAGCGAAAGGGAAGTATAAGGACGTGATGTTGTAATATGGGTGGTTGTACAGGGGAATCTAGGACTTCGTGCGCTTCGGTGGGGTTTGGGTGCGCGTGAGTATCTTTTAATTTTATTTCTTCATTTTCATCCTAGGCCTGTTGGACCGGTAGTGATCGCTTATGCATACTTGCTAGAGATATGACGTTATGATAGCCATACGAAGCCAGCTCTGTGTATCCTACGTGTATTCGAGTAGCCTAATAGAAGTAGATGTGATCTGCTAGTACGCTCGAGGACGTGTTCCGCAATTTTTTCGATGTGTTGCATTATGTATGCGGGCGGGAGGTCACACGGCGGGACATCACCATCTAACACGCCATATTTTCTTCATCCGACCTGGTCTCTCCTTTATAGCTAGGCGATGTGTGCTCTGTCCACGAGGGAAAGACATCGCCAGAGAGCACACCATGGAACGCAAACCGTAGCAACTACAACTCCGACATTGACATCAAGCAGCGCGTGCATTCACAATACGGTCGGTCCAGTAGCGGGCTCTCGGGTGCACTTCCGACTCCAGCGCATACATTCTCCGGGTGAATACATCTTCCCTCTCGTGACAGTCAAGGGGCACAGGCGGTATCACCGTCAACGCCGTCGGCACATCCGCGTCCTGCGTGGGCAGGCGGACGAGTTGCCCGCCGTGCTGCGAGTACAGCAAACATTCGAGCTGTTCGACAAGCTCCTCCGGCGGTAGCGGCCGGCCTTCCTCAGCCATGCAGCGCAGGAACCCGCGGAGGTCGTAGGTCTTGCCTTGCCGTTTGAGGTGTGGATCAATACAGAACGGCACCATCCCGGGATAGAAGCGGGGCTTTGAAAGGCAAAAACTCCTTGCGAACGCGTTCACATGCTCCGCATCTAAGTCGTCGTCCGGGCCATAGTGTACGAACGTCCACGTCGTGTGGCCGACTGTTTCTGTGCGACTCGAGTCCAAGTAGAAGGCCCAGCTGCCTTCGGGGCGGGCGGACACGGAAGGATACGGGTGCAGTGGCACACCGATGACAGCGCGGTCTGACCAGGACTGGTCGGGAGGGCGAGAGCCGCTGCTGAAGACGGCGAGCGTCAACATGGACGACGACAAGCAGAGGGAGCCCGGTACGTTCGTCTGCCAAAACCGGGGATCCGGCCCTATCAAAGACTGTAGCGGCGTGTCGGCGCCACCCATTGCCGAAAATTGGCTCTCGCTAGAATGCCATACCGGCGGAAGTATCTGGCACAGCGCCTGCAGAACCTGGGTCGGAGTGAAGAGCGGAAGGCCCACTCCGTTGATGTCTTCTTCGCAGGCGCACATGAACGTGAATGCGATTGGGAAGTCGGGCGGCTTGACGATCGTGAGGAAGGCGGGGTGAATGATAGCTTCGACCGTGAGGAACAGCGACGGCTGAGTGCGCACGAGGTCGAGCAGGGCCTGGCCATCGATTGCGTCACAGTCGCACACATTCAGGCGGCGGAGATGAGGGGCTGCGATGAAGATGGTGGGGATGTCGCTGAGGACGACGTGCGGGTTTTGAGATATATCCAGAGAGTCCATGCCAAGACAGCGAGAGGCGAAGTGTATGATTTGAGCAGCCGAGAGGTCGTATCCGGAGAGGTCTGCGAAGTGGTCTCCGGTAATGGCCATCAACTTCAGGAGGGAATCCAAGTAGTCTTCCGGAAAGGGGGAGAGCTGTCTGAGGTAGGCTCTTATGTCCTCCCTAGCGAATATGAATAGGGCCTGCTCCTTGTCCGATGCATTTTCCACATCGAATTCGGACAGCAGTTCGAAGAAGGGCTCCATCCCATCCGACCAGGGCATTGGTTTGAAGACGAATTTGAAGTTGAAGACGAACGGATGTCGGAGTAGATACGTTTTCAGCTTCAGGTCTGTTGCACCCAACATTGGAAGTCCCGCAGATTTCACAGAAGCGTGCCACTTTCGGGGCTCATCATCGTCTGGGTCGTCTATCAGACGGTCTATTGCTGTTGACCCGGCCCTGATAGTGTACCGAGAGCCTTCGGATAATAACGGGATGTAGGCTTGGGGAACGACTACGTGATCTTGGTCAGGCGTCCTACGCTTGAAACTCTCACGCGGCCAAGCCTCCTTCAATACGTGTGCCTCAACGAGTGGGATGCCACATAAACGAAGGATGTCAAGGGAATATTGGAGGATTTGGTCCGCGTCATTCAGGACTATGAAGCGTTATTTGGATTCATATGGCCAGTGATGGTATACTTGCCTCGTAAGCCATAAAACTTTTGAAGATACTCATATGCGGACAGCGGGCGAAAGCCTGTCATGAAACAGTAGGCCGGCCGTAGTGGGTCGGTCACATCGATTATAGAGATTCCGTCGGCGTTATCTACGCAGGAAATGAGGGTCTGCGCGGCCAGCGGTGCTTAAAACTCACGGCCGACCCAGCACCCTGGCATGTTGGCATCCAGCACACCATGTCGCAAAGTTACGCCGTCGTAGTGGGAGCCTCGAGACATGGTTGTCACGCTGTTGGCACTGGACGTGATGTCGGGGAGGTCCGTCGTCCAAGCAGTCGCTAGAAGCGAGACGCCGTACGGACAAGGGGCCCTGGGCACCGGGTCGCTCTCCTGGTGCGCATTTCCGTACTTTCCGTCCATCTCGCGCAGCTCCTCGCGTAAGATCGCTGCGTTTTCCGGCCGCGTTACGAGTCGGAAGAAACGGTACATGGCACTCAGGGGGAGGCTGCCGTAACACCATTGGTGATGGAAGGCCGCTATGCATCGATATGCGGGATCACCGTGTTTAGGGCGAACACGGGCGATGAGGAACACCTGGTGCCGTTGTCCCATAGTCCTGAGAGGAAAGTATCAGCACAAGCCAGAAGCCAGTGGTAGCGAGAGGACAAGCAGGCATTCCATACAACTCACCGTGATCATATCATAGATCGGCCTGGGAATGCACTGCGAAATCGATGAAGAGCGTCGTATGAACTTAAACAACCTGGCATGACCGTGGGTACTTACCGAGTATTCCGAGAACTAGGCCTGTGCTGTGACTGACATTCATCTGAGCCGCGGTAGGCCGAAGTCGCGGCATGATGTCCTCAGGCTACGCCGTGCCCAGTACAGCTGGCAGGCCAAAGCCTCCTGCCGCATGTGCTAGCCTGAGTGAGCGATCTCCCCGTGCGACGACAGCCTAGGAGTGAAAAAAGGGCTCACGCACCACAAGAGCACACAAGTCCACCTCATCGTGATCCAACCAAGCGCAAACAATGGCTCTTTCCGCTCGCAGTCACTTCATTTGCTAGTGAGTTATCCGAGTCTTCGTTGACCGGACCTCGATCAATCCGCGAAACTAAGAGTTCGGCCTGGGGTCCACGGTGGCCTGGGTGCATTGTACCATTGCCTGAATGTCCAGATGGTCTCGGGCCCGCGCTATCGCCTCTATTCCCTACGGACGATCCCTATTAGCTTAAAAGCGACGCTATCGGCGATAGCATAGGTATCAGTCGCAGCCGCCCAGCCGCGCGTAGGACGGCCGCTGAGCGCTAAGCCTCCCGCTCGACCATCACGGGTGTTGGTCGCACACGACTCCGAGGCCTGAGGCTCATGACGAGCACTCATTTGCCTATGGGCCAGCCATCTCTGAGAGAAGGAGAACACTTGAGCGAAGGCCAGCAACGTATAAAAGGCGGGAGTTAAATGCGAACTGACCAGAACAACACCAACCAACCCCCTCTCTCAACTTTGGAACAAATGCCTGTCTCCTACGCCATCATCGGTGCCTCTCGCGGTATCGGCCTGGAATACGTGCGCCAGCTGGTGCGTTTTGGGCTTGGGGTGCCGCTCGCTGTTGTCTGAACGGTATTTTGAAGGCCGCCCGGGCGGACGCCACGGTCTTCGCCGTTGTGCGCAACAAGCAGAGGAGCACACACCTGCAGGCAGCTATCACGAACATGAACAACGTCCACGTTGTGGAAGGTGATATCGTGGACTACAAGTCCATGCAGGTATGGGATGGTGCACGAACGATGGGCGCGTTTGACCGTGTTCTCATTGACAGCGTGCCGCAGAAGAAGTCGCATCGCTCAACGACGGGAAGCTGGACTACCTCATCCACAATGCCGCTAAGACAGACCAGAAGACCGTGTTCCACGGTTTCTACGACTAGTGAGCAAGATAATCTGCCCTGCCGTGGTAGATGGTACTACCCATTGTGTCTTCAGTCCCAGCATGGACGAGCTCGACGCGGACTTGATGGATGCCGTACGTTCCTCCCGCCCCCTAGTCGTGCAAGTTGACGACGCTCAACTGTGAACAGTTCAGAGTCAACACGCTCGGGGTCGTCCACAGCGTCACCCCCTTCGTGCCGCTCCTGCGCGCAGGCCCGACGAAGAAGATCATTGTGATCGGCACCGGAGGCGGAGACCCCAAGGCCGTGTTGACCGTAGGCATAAAGAACATGGTCGCGTACTGCGCGACGAAGGCCGCCGCCGTGATGGTCGCAACCAAGTGGGCCCTAGAGCTCAAGGACGAAGGGTTTGTGGTCGTCACCCTGACCCCCGGCCTCGTGGATACATCCGGCACTATGGGTGTGTCCGTTTCCTGCTGTTCGCGGCTAAGTCAATTGGAATGTGCTGAATATACCGCTGGGGACCTTGCAGGTGATGCCGCGGCTCAGGATAACATGGCGAAGGCGGCGGACGATTTCAAGTCGGCTGGCACGCGCGTTGTTCTGGAGAGCCCTGAGTCGTCCGTACGCCAGCAGCTGCTGGTCATCGACGGGCTGAAGTTGGAGGACAACGGCCGCTTCCTTGCGCACAACGGCCCCAGCTTTGTTTAAGAAGCTCAGAGGCGCAGCTGTATAAAGCATTTTGGATGTAGCCTGCGATATCATCTATAGTTGACTGTAACGAATGTAACACTTGATGTTGTATCAGATCCATTGTCGCCAAGCGATTGACATACACGGTACCTGCTTACTATGCTGCTCGCAGACCACAGTCCAGCAGTACACCACCTAATCGAGTATCCACAGGTGGGTGCATAGCATGGAGTCGTTCCAAGTTGTTGTGCAGCTGAGAAAATGCTCTGGAACATTGTTTTATCTTAGATATGCGGAGGGGATGGTGCCGCTGGACGCAGCGAACGAAATTATACCGACATAAAGCACGACACACCTTTTGCGTAAGGATACATTTTTGCTGAAATGTACGCTGGATAGGATGGGGAAGATAAGTAGCTTTGGACATGGGGGTGTGAAAAAAGGTTGAAGGGGAGCGTTTTGGCCGGTTTGCGGTTTGCCTTCTGCCACTGAGTATCCGCCTGATGTGCATGCCCCCCACCCCTCGGTATCGCTGTCCCGTCGCGATATCCCTGGAGAAGAACAACAAGATGCAATGCCAAGGTGTTCTGGAAAACAAACCGAGGTAGCTCAAATTCGCCAGGAGTCCAGGTAAGTGCGCACGCGCATAGAGCCAGGTTAAAGTCGCCAAAGGGAACTCCGGCGTCGTAGCTGTGGTATAGACAAAATCCCCGGTCTGAGCAGAGCGATGGTGGCGGAAGAGGACCAAGTTGCTGAATCATGTGAAGTCCGTTGTTGACGCCGCGACCGGCAGCGACGGTCCCCGGCGGACGGGTAATCCACCGCGACCATTACCCCGGCCGCCACCCCCGCACTCTTGTCCCTCAACCATGTCGACCTCGAAGATTGGTGGCGAGTACGGTGAGGTCCGCGCGAACATCGACGCTGCGAAGTTGAATGCGTACCTCGCGGCGCATGTTCCTGCAGTCAAGGCGCCCGTGGACATCAAGCAGTTCAAGGTGCGTGGAGAGTTGGCTCAGGGGTGTCCAGCACGCTGACGTTAGTGCAGTTCGGACAGGTCTGTGGGCATGTTGTCGGCATGCAACACATTGACTGAACAGGTCGCAGTCGAACCCCACATACTTTCTCACAGATGCTAGGTGCGCGAGACCATGCCACCTCCTATGCGACCGCTGTACTGAACTCGCGTTTCTACAGCTCCACGCGCTTCGTCTTGCGGAAGAAGCCTGCGGGCCAGCTTCTCTCCAAGACCGCGCACCAGGTCGAGCGCGAGTACACGATGCTCCGCGCGCTGCACACGCACAACACGAAGCCCTCCACAAGCGCAGACAAGAGAGTGCCCATCCCTGAGCCCATCGTGCTCTGTGAAGACGTGAGCGTGGTCGGCACGCCCTTCTACATCATGGAGTTCCTTGACGGGCGGATATTCACCGACCCGCGCATGGGCGAGGTGTCCGCACAGACACGGCGCGAATGGTGCGTCCTCCGCCTGCTTATTCGCTTGGAGCTATGACGGTGAGCTTCCTTGTACCCGCAGCTGGTTGGACGCGGTGCGCGTGCTCGGCGCGCTGTCGCAGCTTGTTCCCGCGGAGATCGGGCTTTCGACTTTCGCACCCAACACGCCCTACTTCCCGCGGCAGATCAAAGCACTCGCGCGCGTGTCGCAGGCGCAGGCCGAGGCGGTCGACGTCGAAACGAATCAGCCTACCGGCGAGATCCCGCGGTTTGACGAGATGGTCGCGTGGTACAAGACGAACCTGCCCGACGAGCGCAAGACGGGGCTGCGCGTCGTGCATGGGGATTACAAGCTCGACAACCTCGTGTTCCACCCCACAGACAGCCGCGTCATTGGCATTCTCGACTGGGAATTGTGTACTCTTGGAAGCCCGGTACGTGCGAGTAAAGCGTCTGCAAGGGGCTTTTATTCTGACTGGGCAACTGTGTAGCTCGCGGACTTGGCGAACTTCACCCAGCCGTGGTCGATTAGCAAGCAGGCGTTCCCCGAAGGCGTCACGCTTGCTATTGCGTTCAAGAATAACGATGCGGAAGCACCTATTGCGCTCGACGTGCTCGAGCGCGAGTACTGCCGGGTTACCCACCAGCCGTATCCCATCCCTGAGATAGTCTTTGCAAGGAGTTGGATGCTCTTCCGGGTTAGTCACAGGCTCGTATATTGCGTCGGATGATCACGACTCACCCAACCTTTGCAGAGCGCGATCATCATGCAGGGTATTGCGGCCCGCTATGCGCGGCGACAGGCGAGCTCGGAGAAGGCACACCTGTACGTGAAGGGGTTCCCGCTGATGGGCCAGCTGGCGTACAGCACCCTCGTCGAGGCCGGAGTTGCAGGAACGAAGGCGAAGCTCTGATTTAGGGTCAATATCTGACTGGGCGCATCTTGACTATTGCGGATCATCCCGAAACCTGCAGTTACCACTGTACATATACTACTACTCACCGGATTGGATGTATGGGGAATTGTTTGTGACTTTGGCAACAAGAGAGTTACTCCCTCCATGGATTCGGAGCCACTGCGAACGTGCACAGGGATCGTATCTAGTCTTTACCGCTGTAGATATTTCAACCTAGTAGCCCTCTTAAACCTGTTGAGTTTGTCCAGCGAGAATGCGGAGGAGTGCCAGGTGGATTAGGTGTCGGTATTATACAAGAATAAGTTATGCGTCCCGTGTCTAAATCAATCATCACTGAACGCCGAAGGAGGTCAGAAATTGCGTCCGGCACACAGATCACGGTGAAACTCACTCAGCGGTCTCTCGTCTAAGAAACAGGTCAATAGCAGCGGAGAAGGCAGCAAACGCCAGACCACCACCGACGACCGCTTTTGGCCCCGAATTCCGTGCGAGGATGCCACCAGCAACAAAGCCCGCGGCAACGGGGTTCACCATGTCGTTTCGCGCTCGATACTACCAGCGGCATCAGTCACGTCGTGAAGCATACGAACGGCAAAGCAAGTACTCACCGACTCGATCACACACTCGATGCCTGCGAAGAGCGCGCCGACCTTACCAAAACCCTTTCCGCTCTTGTACATTCCCCGGCCCATCTCCTTGAAGATCTCGCGTGCCTTCTGCTGCGTGCTGAGGTTCTGCCGTAGTAGCGGATCCTCATACGCGAACGAGGAGCTCATGAGCGAGAAGAACGCGCCGATCACGAAACCTAGAACAGGGCGACAGTCAGCAACGTGACGTGCTCGTGAGCTGGCAGCTAAACGCACCTCCACCACCTGCGATGATGGTCTTCGCAACACACGACTCCATGCCCACCGTCATGTAGTCCTGGTACTTCTTCGCCTGCAGGTAGTTGTCCCGGTCTTCATCGCTGATGCCTGGTGGCAGCGGCTCCTTTCCTGCGGGGAATACCGGGGCGACCAGCGGTAGGTTGTTCATGGCGCGAGCGCAGCAGGGGTCGCTGGCAGAGACGTCGGAGAGGGTGGTGAGCAAGCCGCTGTGCTCGCGAGCCGAAGCTAGCGCGGCACGCTTGCGCCCATATTTCTGCTGACTAAGCACCGTAAACGGAAATCTTGGGCAGCCGGCTGGGCGGGCCGTTGTGGCGTACGACCTTAGATTGATCTGTGGCGAGGTTTGGACGAGATGAATTCTTGCTCTCGACCGTCATGTTTCCTCCACAACAACAACGCTTACCAGAAGGCGATGCTGCCATACGTGCAACGGACAACGACGCTGCTCTCGCACGACTCTCTGCCGTCCGGAAAGGGTATCTGACGGATCCTTTCATCACGCCGCTCGTGCCGCGCGCACATCTCCAACAGGCTCGACCACCGCTCATCAATATCGGAACATATGTGCGATCCGAGGCCCTCGATGAACTGGTGGATGGGTGGCTCGCGCTATCTCAGCAGGAAGGCACCAAATGCCAGATCGTGAGCATGGGCGCGGGGAGCGACACACGCTTCTGGAGGATCGCGGTGCGTAGAACTTGCCCATCATTAAACGCGTCTCTGAACGGGCGAATTCAGGCAGACTGGTCCTAGGCGTGATAACCTAGCACGATACATTGAAATTGACTTTCCGGAGATCACTACGAAGAAAGCAATGGCGATCAGGAAGAGCAGGGAGCTCAGCGCGTCGCTCGGCAAGCCAGAGGAAGTCTCTCTAGGTGAGTTCGCCCGCCCGTTGTACCTCCTCGTTACTCATCCCGCCAAAGGTAGCGGAGGTACCACGCTGCACTCACCGGTGTATAACCTGCTCTCTGGGGATTTACGGAGGCCTCCTACGGAATTTCTGGCGCCCCTCTTAGCGGCGGGGACCACACCTCTGCTTTCGCCCTCTCTCCCCACCCTGATGATCTTCGAATGTGTTTTGGCCTACATGACGCCCGCTGCCTCCGGCGCTGTAGTTGACTGGTTCACCGACTATTTCGCCGCTCCCGGTGGCACAGCTCCCCTGGGATGCGTTGTGTACGAGATGTTTGCGCTGCACGGTCCGTTCGGGAAGGTCATGGTGAACAATTTGAAGGTTCGTCTGTCGCTGGTTCATCCGCGCATGCGCGTATGTCAGGCCAAGTTGACACGAACCAGGCACGGAATGTCACCCTACCCGGGGCGGAGCCGTACTCAACATTTGAGTCGCTGCCCACACGGTTTTTACAGCATGGGTGGGAACTCGCGCGAGCAGTCACGCTGAAAGATCTTCGGCGCGAATACATTGCCCCCAGTGAATTGGAGCGGTGCGTGCATGCGCCTCATCACCTCAGAGATTACCGCAGAGCTTACAGGGATGTGGTAGAATATCCGAGCTGGAGATGCTGGACGAAATCGAGGAGCTCGAGCTTGTGCTCGCGCACTACGCAATTACGTGGGGAGCGAAGCTACCGCCTGATGCTGGCAAACTGAAGGCGAGGTGGCAAGAGTGGAGTCTCAGGAAGAAGATTGAGTTGTGACCAAGGGAGTAGAAGCAGCATATGCAGCCGGTGCTTGTGGACGTCCAAAGCCACAACTAGGCATCGTGTAAATTAGCTCGACGAACATAACCTATATGATCCTACATGCGTATGTTTTCGTCAGGGTAAAGTGCGGAGAGCATTTCGACCACTCACTTAAATACTCCGGTGACCCCCTCTATCTACCGTATTGGCCTGCTCAACAGCTCTTGGTGGACATTGAAGTATCTGCGGTACCGATGTAAAATGCGCCTGTCTCTTCGCGAGAAGAACAGTGGAAAACTCACGGCACAACTTGCCCAATATCCTTGCAAGTACCCACCCCGTGCTCATCCCAGCTCACCACCCGCCTCCCAATTACGGCTCCCTCAGCAGTCTTCGTCTCCGCAATGGTCTCCTCCCCCGGGATGCGCCCCTCCGCGCGCGCTGTCTGCACCTCCGCCTCCGCAAGCTGGAACGCCTCCGCGAGCTCCCACGTCGCAAACGGGCGGCTCGTCGGGACGAGGAACGCCGTGTCGTACACCGTCGTCACGCGCTTGTGCAGCCCGAGCGTGAGCGTGGTCATCTCCAGCGCGCGCTCCGCCACCGCCCCCTCCGCGCCGCGCTCAAGCTCGAGGAAGCGCAGCGTGGTCACGTACGGGCGGCCGCACCAGGCGACGAGCGCGGTCGAGACGCTGCTCGTAGCCATCGCGATACCGGCGAGCGCAAAGCGGCCGGCGAGCGGTACGCTCGAGGTGGTCTCGAGCACGAAGATGAAGGGCGTGAGCGCGAAGGTGAGCGTGAGCGAGGACAGCGAGAGGATCTTCAGCCGCCGGAAGGTCGTCGCCAGCGGTCCGTGGTATTCCTCCTCCGGTTGGTCGGCAGCGGCCTGTGTTGGCGCGTCCGCCTTCTGGTGGGCCTGGGACCCCACCGGGATGTCTGTTGTGGTCGCGAGGAGCCGCCGCCGGAGGGCTGCGTGGCTGCTAAGGCGCAGGGCGACGGCCAGGGAGGGCGTTTTTGACTGGACGAGCGTAGAGAGGCATCGCCGGGATAGCGTCGCCGCCGTGAGCGGTGCTTGTCGGCGGAGCAAGAAAGAGAGACCTGCGGGCCTCATCGTGGGCAACAGCGAAGACGGACACGGCACGCGGAGCGCGCATACAGTCGCGTTTGCGCGTCATGGCACGCGCGTCTGCTCGGCTTGACCGCGACCGCGACCTCGACCACGCTCTCGCCCCGACGCAGCATGGACCTTCCAATATACTACACGCGCGCAGAGTATATTGAGACGGTAGGTGAATACGACTCAGCGCGTGCGTTCGGGACTTGAGCTGACTCGGGGGCGCACAGGACACCGGGAACAAAGTCTCCCGTAGGGCGACCATCTCGGGTCCCCAGAACATCATCCTCGGCGGAAAGACCGTCATTGCGAGCGGCGCTATCATTCGGGGAGACCTGCGACGGACAGGACCTGGACATGCGGTCGTGATATCCCTAGGGCGGTATTGTCTTGTCGGCGAGGGGTGCGTTATGAGGTGAGTTACTGCCACTTTTGAGACTCGGAGCTGTTGTGCTCAGACTCTGTGTAGGCCGCCGTACAAGACATATCGGGGAAACTTCAACTACTACCCTATGAAGATTGGTGACCATGTACACATTGGCGCGAATTCCATCGTGGAGGCGGCGACCATTGGGAACCATGTCGAGATCGGAAAGAATTGCATCATAGTGCGTCTCCATCTCACCCTCCATGTCGCAGTTCGTCACACTGAACACGCTTCATGTCGCAGGGAAAGTTCACGATCATCAAGGACTGCGCTAAAATCGCGGACAACACGGTTATTCCACCAAATACTGTTGTACCTGCGCTTGCGCTGTTCGCGGGGTCACCAGGTACGCTCATGCGGCGCCCCACACGCACGGTCCAGCCCTAACGTTGCATTGTGACATCCAGGTAGATTCGTCGAAGACCTACCGGAGTCGACTCCCGAAATTGTCGAAGCACAAACTAAGCAGTACTACACCCGCTTTCAGCCGCTGCCCGCAGAGCGGTAGCTACAGGGAATGCATTTGCAGAAACCATACCCCATATTGTATGTCTGATACTCTACTTGTGTACTTAGCGGTCTGAACAGGAGCCCCCAAGCATGTTCGATCCCGAAACCGTACAAAACGGCCTTCGCGAAAGTGCCGTCAGGAATCAGATGGTATGTTCGAAAACCATGCTGAGTGTACAATGCACGGAAGGGATGATGATACTTCTAGTTAAATCCGGGGTTTCAGCGACCGGACCTTTGGCGGCATAGGCTGGGCCCTGTCTGAACCCTGCAACTTCCTGCGAAGTCGCGCTGCTTCAGGCTGCTTCTCGCTCGCGATTCTCCCGTGGCTGCTTCCTGTGTAGACGACGGTGTCGTCCGCTCTGCTATGATCCGACCATACGCCATACGCTGCCACACCACTCCGACGCGGCGAATGCGTGAATCTCATTTTCAAGGGTGTGAGCGAAGCAACTGGTCCATGTGAGTGTGCACCTGCACCTGTCGTATGTATTGTCAGCCGACGCACGTTGATCATCTCCGCTGCCCCATTGCGCAAGAGGACGTGTGCCTGAGAAGGGTAGCATCACTCGGTGTTCCGGTCGTATCGTGGATTCCTGCCACCAAAGTCCGCACTGGAGCCTCGCAATCTGCGATCGTGACGCAGTAAGCAAGTTTCCCAATACTGTACCTGCCCGACCAATCCGGCGGGGGGTTTGGGGTGTGACCGCGGGTCCCGAAGCGGCGCGACCGCAAAAAGCGGCGCGCCCGGCCGCGACTGTGACCATCCGTACCACAAAGCGGCGCGGTTGCCCCGCAGGGCCGCCGGCGGAGCGATTTTGGGGTGTGACCGGCCGCAAAAATACGGCCTGGAGCGGCGGGACCCGCTGTGACCCGGGACAACTGCCAAAATGCGGGGCGGCGGGGGCCCTTGTGACCTGTGACCCGCCGGATTGGTCGGGCAGGTACAGTATTATCGGAAAGTGGTCGACGCCGTTGAATCGAATGTTATATCGTTTGACAAATTGTAGTGAGAGTTCTTGGGCAAGAATACGAGCTTACGAATGATCTTTCTGACAGTGCATCCGTATGTTTCCGTTCCATAGCGGGCCGTGTGCGCAGTAATTCGTCAACTTTTAATTGGAGAATTCCGAGGTGTTAGACGCCCAATAGACGCCCAAATAATGCGGTCATATCTTATTGTGGCTGGAGTTTTGGCGAGAGCCATCTCTCGCACTGACCACATCGTCTTCCCGACCACCACCTGCTTAACGCCAATGCTACTCTTTAAAACGAGCTAACATCCTCCCCATCCTATCCTCGTCGCCATCTCCTGCTTTTTACGCGTTCCACGACCCCGCCTCCGACAATGCCTACGCTGCCAGGCCGCATCCTCTCCCAAGCCCGACTCGGCGACTTCTGGGAATACATATTCCGCCACTTGAACTTCTACCGGATTCATTTATTGTTCTTGTGAGTACCCTTTGTCGACTGTTCGTGAACCTCATCGCGGTGAAAGGAAACGCAATCGGGGTGGCTAGCCGTTTACTTTGTGTGGTTGGTGGTCGTGTGGTTGACGTTCAGGCGCTGTGGTTGACATCCTGACGCTGACGGAGCGCTATGTGTGCGCAGGACGCGGTGTCGTGCCCTTTGTTCACCCTACACTCTCGGACAGCCGAGCGCGTCGCGGAGCGCAATTGCAGCATGATGCGTTGTGTGAGATCTTGTTCCGTGCGATCTCAGGCCGGTAGAAAGGAGACACCTTTGCCGACGACGCTTATAGCCTCCGTGGCCAGCTCACTGCTGTTGGGAATGGGTATCATGGGTTCAATATTACGGCATGTTTCCTGTTCAATATTATCATATGCTTTCCCGCGCGGTCGGGCAGTCGATGAGACCGCTCAAGCGAGGCTGGTGCATGCTCCTTGCCTCACTTACCATTCTGCCCTGCCCGCAAACCTGCATCTCCATACGGGTACGATGACGACCACGGATAAAGATAACTGGGATATAGCTCGCACACCGGTTCCAATCCACGATCTACCTGCGTGGTTCAAGGAATGTTGACGATGGAGGCAGTCGTGGGTTCATGGTTATATGCGCCCTTGTCTATCTTGAAGTAGCGGCATTGAGGCTGGCCTTCCGTATTCTGCACTGCGCTACAGCACTAAATGGATACGTTCGAGATGCATACCTTATCAGCACACGTTATGTGACCACGAGGCTAACGAACCTACCACAGCACCTTCACGCCGCTAATATTCTCCGGTATATTCTATGCCGCCAATGGCCAATACCATGTGGACTACATCGACTGCCTGTACAACTGCGTCAGCGCGATCACAGTTTGTGGCCTTGCAACTGTCGATCTGAGCGGTCTGACGCCGTTCCAACAAGCACTTCTCTTTATTCAGATGTGTCTCGGTAGCCCAGTGAGTGTTTGAAGTCAACATATGGTGGAAATTCTAACCTTGTGTAGGTCGTCATATCGTGGACGATGGTCTATATTCGAAGGTTAGAACGAGTGTTTTCTGCTAATACGTTCCTGCTCACTGTTCAAACTTACACAGGAGCTTCTTTGCACGCAAGTTCCAGCGCATAGTCGAGGCCGAATTAGCCCGCAATGCGGCACGCGAGCTGCACCGGCCGGTTGACGTGAAGATTGAGCCGTGGTGGAGGAAGCTGTGGACCATGCTGAAGTGGGAAAGAGGCACGCGCTTGCGCTCGTTCAGCGACATCTCTGTGCAAGAGATCGGCCCCGTCAAAGCGCGGGGACGCATACATCTGCGCCCGGATATGATTCGGCGCGTCGAGGGCGCACCGAAGCTAGTCGACCCCAGTGGATGGATCAGTGAGGGTGTCTCCGACCAACCAGGACAGGACAACACTGCGCAGAACGAGAAAATTGAGACAGACGAGAGTCGCCGAACGTCCGCGTATGGCGAGTCGAGTTCAACAGGGCATACCGACAGCACAGAGGTCGAGAAGAAAGAGCGTCCGCAGACCCAAGACCCACAGAACCCGTAGGTGTTATAAGGCGCGTAACACCGAAATTAAAGCTAAGAAGCCTTCTTAAAGCCGCGAGCGCCCACCAACGGAGACGTCACCACGCACAACGGCCTCACCAGCGATCAGTGCGTGACCATCCTCCACACGCAATTATGCATCCTCTTTTGTCTGACGCGTGAATCATTAACAGTGGCAGGCACCGGGCCAATATTGCGCTCGGCGACCATCAACAGGCCTGCAACGCGCGGGCCCCAATTGGTCCACACGCAGACCGTCGAGTTCGCGGCGCCTCCTGCGCCGCACCGTCGGTCGCTTTCTGCTGAACGCAGGTTCAGCAGGATCTCACAGTCCCCGGAAGGGTCGGACTCGGAGGTCGACCGTAGTGAGTGCAATTTGCCCCCCGCGTAAATGTCGCAGAACGTATAACATATTCTGTGCAGGGCATATGTCGCGGCCGACCATGTCGCGTCCTACGATGTCACGTCCCACGATGTCGCGCCCGACAATGTCTCGCCCAACGATGTCAAGACCCACGATGTCGCGGCCGATGACGATGCCGCGCACGGGCACTATCACGACGGGGGCTTCGCATGCGTTCCCACCACGGCGTACTATGCACAAGGGCTTTGGCGGGTTTCCCATGCCGCACGAGTTGATTTCCCGCCTGTTTGGCCGCGCGTTCCCATCTCTAGAGCGCAAGCTGACGCGGACGATTACCATGCCGCGGACGCGCACGATCGCCTCCGAGCGGGGAACGGTGGGCCCGGGTGCGCGCCCAGTGCCGTATATCTCGTTCGAGGCTGTTGTGGGCCGCAATTCCGTGTTCCAGAGCCTGACGCGCGAGCAGCTCGAGGAGCTTGGGGGTGTTGAGTATCGCGCGTTATCGGCGTTGTTGTGGATCGTTGGCGCGGTATGACCCTCTACTTTCACCCCTTGGGTTCCAGGCTTACGGTTGGCGCAGTACCATATCGGCTTGCAATTGTTGGCCTTTGTGATCATTGCTCCGTATATGTCTATCGCGCGGTGGCGGGAGGACTTCGTACCACCTGCACTCCACAAACCGGTATCATCTACATGGTACGTGTATCTCGCCTACCTCCACCATGCACTATGTTTACGTTTGTTTGGACTAGGTATTCTGCTTTTCAAGTGGTCTCCTCTTACACGAACACCGGCATGTCTCTTGTCGACGAATCCTTGGTTCCTTTCCAACGGGCGTATCCTATGATACTATGCATGATTATTCTTATATTAGCCGGCAATACGGCCTTCGTACGTGCATCTCCAGCAACTGCCACTGCGATTGCTAACGTCACCATATATTCCAGCCTGTAATGTATGTCCTTATGCATGCTTCGATGACTGGCCTCGGATGCACTAACGCGTTCTCGCCTATGACAGATTACGTTTTCAGATGTGAGTACTGTGTGTTGGGCTGTTTTTCGCTTGTCGCTGAACCACTGGCTTTGCAGTTGGATCTTGACGCGCGTCGTTCCCAAGGAGTCGCGCCTGAACGAGACGCTACACTTCCTCCTCGACCACCCTAGGCGGTGTTTCATCTATCTCTTCCCCTCCCATCAAACATGGTTCCTTCTCATCATCCTATTTGCTCTCAAGTGAGTGCGCCCTCCCTGTACGTCGGCCTGTGCGCTGAAATGCCCACCATCGCAGTGCAACGGACTGGTTCTTCTTCTTGGTACTAGACATCGGCAACCCTGCGATCGCGAATATACCACTGGGTGTGCGGTTCATCATCGGGCTGCTACAGGCTACTGCAGTGCGCGCCGCAGGGTTTGGTACTGTCACGCTGGCTGCACTCGCCCCCGCAGTGAAGTGAGCTCATCATTCACCCAATACAAGTCCACGGCTGACCGTTTATCCAGAGTCTTATACGTGATTATGATGTATGTCAGCGTCTGTAAGTAGTCATGCCCTTCACTAGCTTGGACGCATAACTGACCTCTCCGTGACAACCAGACCCGATTGCCATGAGGTACGGAGAGTGCAACATATCGTCCGTCCGCGCCGTCTCACAATAGACTCTAGTGTCCGCTCTACGAACGTGTACGAGGAGAAGTCCTTGGGCGTATTCCCATCCGAAGAGGAGCTCTCGCCAGAGGATGCATTCAGCCACACCGGCAACCGCGCTACAGTATGGGGAAGGTACCTCGCCATGCACGCGAGGAAGCAGTTGTCCTTCGGTTAGCAGTATCCGTCAGTATATTGTCAGGCGGCGCTGACTGTGATCGTTCAGATATGTGGTGGCTGGGAACGGCGCTGTTCCTGGTGTGCATCATCGAGGTACGTGTATCTGCGAATAATGTCCTGCGCGATGGCGATGCTGACGGTCCTGTAGAAGAATGGTTTGGAGGACGAGGCGAGCAACAACTGGTTCACCATCTTCACCGTAGGTGCGTAACGATTCAGTACATGATTGACGAACAAACCTAATACTACATCCGTATTGCAGTGTTCGAGCTGGTGTCGGCGTACGGCACGGTCGGTCTCAGTCTAGGCGTCCCATACGTGAGTGCCATGATGTCAGCCCCATGTTCCGAATCCGTACTTATACCGGTCATAGGCCAACTACTCCTTTTCCGGCGCGCTACGTCCTCTCTCGAAGCTCATCATCTGTGCCGTGATGCTCCGTGGTCGTCACCGCGGCCTCCCTGTTGCGATCGACCGCGCCGTCATGCTACCATACGAGTACAAACACGATCCTCAGGACGGTTACGGCGAGGAGAACGAGGGCGAGTACGCCATGGAGGACCACGACACTGCGTACCCGGAACGCGAGTGGGTGTGGCACGATCCGCAAGGGCCCGAGGGCGACGGCAGCCCGCATATCCAGATCAGCTCGGTGCCCCGGCCGAAGGATCTCGAGGGCGTGCTCCGAAAACCGGAGCAGCCAAGCGGCGCGCAAGGGGGCGACGAGGCAGCCCGTGCGATGGAGGAACGGACTAGTAGCAAACAGGATTAGCTATAGCGGACAATTGACTCGGCATAGACTTGGGGGCTGCCGCGCGCGGCGCTCCTATACATCCCAGCGACATCTCGGACTACCAATATCTCCAGTGCTATCTCATCCCTGCAGTTGTGCGTACGTACTCGTCTTGTATGTTTCCTAATGTTGTCCCGCCATGCGTTTTGTTTATCCTAGCTATAGAATTTGGGTCCGTATGTGGTCGTGGTCATTATCTTTGCGATATACATGTTCTCAGATGTTGGTGCACGATCTGGTCCAGGAGGTCGTTCGTGATTGGAGGTCTGGTAATTTGCATGATTTCGCACAAGGGAAACGAAGTACAAAACTGTCGTATACTACACGGAAGGGGATGCGTTACGGTATCGCTGAAAACGGCAGATACTCATACTAGATATGTGAATTTCGGGAATTTCAGCGTTGCTATGGAGGGCGAGGACCTGACGAGACTGGGGCTGGGGCGGAGCGACGTATACAGTCACTAGGGCGACCAAAGCGGACACATCACCTCTAGGACATTGCGACAGTGCGGACCCGCTTGCGGCCGGGTTCAAGTTCAGAGGTTCCGTCGTGAGACGCGATGCGTTTTCCGGGCTTCGGTACATCCTCCTGGAGTTGCATATTCTTGTCTGCTGATCGTACGGAGTAGAGCTGGTCGGCCTGCTTGTCTTCATCTGGCCAAAAATCCGCGCCCTCGTGGAGAGCCCAGTGAAGGATGTTGACCACTTCGTCGTGCGTTGTGAGCTTCTGTGCCTCCTTCTCGAGAGCGACCCGAGCCTGCAGGGCAACTGACTCCTTGCTAGGCTCAGAGGGATCCGGCTTTGGGGCTTTGGGGAATGTCAAATCCCTTGCATGACGACCGAAGAATTCAACGAACATCTCTAGCGCGAGCTCTGACATTTCTATTGGCTTGTCTTTGGGGAGGGGCGGTCGCTGGTACTCGTAGAATGCTTGAAAAAGCAGCAGTAGCTCCTGGAGCATGTGATCAATGGGGTGTCGGTCGCCGCCCTGCGAGGAGCCCGGGGCTGGTGTGGGCCGTCCTTTCGGTTCAGACGGAGACGACGGGGTGGTGGTACATGGGCTCCGCGGAGCTCGAGGATGCAGCGCGTCTGAAGGGACAACAACGAAGGGAGATACTAAGGTGGATAAAACCGTAGGAAGTGTCGGTAGGGGAGGTTGAAGGAAGACGATGGGAACGTGGTTCGAAGCAGACAGTCTGCCTGACTCGATGACCTGTGTCTTGAGCATGCCAGATGTGAACCCCGTATGTTCGTCGTCTGCGATTTCCCCGTCGTCGAAGTACTTGTGCATGAATCTGCCCACGTCGTCGCAGTTGTGAGGAAGGTACCGGATGGCACAGTACAACAAGACGTTGAAAGCCGACTCCAGCTCGTCCGGAATGCCAATCTTTTTGCGTGGTTCCTGAAGGGCCTTGACGGACATGAATTGCCATGTTCCCTGCCACTATCAGCAAGCGTTAGCGACTAGTAGCTGCGCTGCTGGCCTTTTGAACAATGTTAACTTACATTCCGGTCAAGGTACGGAACTTCCGGCTCCCCACCGATGCGTACGGACATCTCCTGGTACTTGGGCAGACGTGGTTGTGTGTAGAGAAGCATGTTGTGGCTAAGTTCGAAGCCAGGTGGACTGTTTTGGCGCGGCGCCCCGAATGACAGAAACCTTTGTTCACAAACACAGCTAATTCCGGAGAGAGCATGGAGTACATGAAACTCGCCAGTAGTATTCGAACCTACGAGTAGGTCGCTATATTTGATCCCGCGTACTGCGGAGATGTCGGGAACTTAGCTTCGCAGACTCGGAGGTTCAGCCAACAGGATTTTGCTTAGTGCTAGTAGCGAGGCACAGCGAAATACCCAATTACAAACGATCCTGTGAACGATGCGAAGCAAAGTCTTAAGCCTCATGCACGCCGTATATTCCAGGTCCGCTTTCTATGAGGGTTATGAAGAGTAGATACTCCGAAGCATGGCGTAACTTGCCACGAAGGCGATAGATACAGCGCGTCTAGATACAGAACCTAGGATCGCGTATGTGGTGCGGAATATGAGAGGGTAGACGGGGATGTGCGTAAGCGCGTCGCCTGAGCCACAGTGGCGAGAGCCGAGCGGGAGGGGGGGAAGGTAATGCGGGGCAATGGAAAGGGAAGCCTCGGCCACCGCTGGCGTTCACGTTTGAGATACCGCGCCGCGAGCCTTCTTGTGTTCGCATGCTTCAAAGGTATCAACGGCGCTGCGCTTTGTGAGCTTTGCCTTCTGGGGGTCTTCCACGTCTGCATTGTATGTCGGTAGGAGCTGATCGTTGATTTTGTCTTTCTCCGGCCAAATTTCCTTCTGGAACGCCGCCTCAGTAAGGATCCTGCCTATTTCTGTGTGCTCCCGCAGTTTGCGTGCGTTCTCCTCGAGGACCTTCAGCATTGCTGCGTCGGGCGGGCTACGCGGCAGGTGCTCTCGATCAGCAGCACGCGGCGCCTTCTGGAGGAAACGGTTCTTGAACTTCGCGTGTATCTCAAGTTCCTGGCTCTCATGAATTGTCTTCAGCTTCTTCTTAGAGCCCTCCTTGACCTGATCCCGGGTACGGTCCTGGAGCGAATATAACCCCTCAAAGAGCGGCAACATCTGGCGCAGGATGTGATCCATAGGATGACGCTGATCGCGCGTATACTCTTTCTGAGGGACGAGAGGCGTCTTTGGCTCGGATGACGGTGGAACGGGAGTGGTTGCCCGAGACGGCGACGGGGAAGACGGGGGATCGGCAGGAGATGATGATGAGGAAGATGATGGGTTGGCAGAGAGAGGCGATGCGTTCGAAGGGGGCGAAGGAACGTTCGCCGGCGGTGGGCGCTCCAGTAGGAAGACGATAGGCTTGTGCTCGTGAGTGCGTAGCACACCGCGTGAAACGACTGCAGTCTTGAGCGGACCAGACGTGAACTCTTTGGGGTTGTCGTCAACGGGCACCCCGTCGTCGAAATACCTCCGCATGAACTCGCCCACGTTACCGCAGCTGTGAGGCAGGTACCGAACGGAACAGTACAGTAGGATATGAAACACCGATTCCATTTCGTCGGGGATGTCGATCTGTTTCCTTGGTTGCTGGAGGGCATTGACTGACATGAATTGCCACGTTCCCTGACATACTTCGTCAGTTAGGGACCGATGTTGATGAACATTGCGTACTCACTGTCCTATCCGGATGGCGAGCTTCACTTTCCTCATCGTCTGTACGTTTAGAGAGCTCCCAGTCAGTCAGGAGACCGTAACAGCCGAATATTGTGTCTTCTGGAGCGGGCATAATGAGTATGTTCCCGACACTGAGGTCTTGATGGATCGTATGCGCGAGCGTGTATGCGTCCATGTGTGCTAGGGTGGATGTCAGCACTAAGGATAATTGAGTAGAGGATACGACGGACCCATCACAGCGTTCAACACGACCCACACGAGCGCCCTCCCATTCTTGAACGTCTTCAGTGGTTTCCCGACTTCCTTAACGACAAGACGATAATGGCGGTGGTTCTTCAAGGGGCATTCTTTCTCGACGCCGTTCACATCCTTCCAGATATCGCGCACCATGTCCGTCTTCTCGCCGATATCTCCATGACAAAGCATTGTGGGGATGTGACGAACACCCGTGCCGTTGAGATACGCGAGGATGGCGCCTTCCTGCTCCGAGCGTGGATGGACGATCCTCCAGCAGTCTTTCAAATACACGAAGGGACCGGGATTCTTGGGGTCGGTATAGTCGAGGGCGACGTAGCCGCGCGTGCCGCGGCCCACTACATCTGGGGCTGCGAAAGTGGGCTTCGCGACGAGGTACTCGTGCGGCGCCTGTTTCAAATCCCCGCTCGAGACCGTCAGCTTCCACCATGGCCAGGTGTCGACGAGTGACTTGGCGAAGAGCTCTCGCGCGTGGTCGTCGGCAACGAGCTTGGCGGACCGAACCATGGCGTGGTACTCCGCGCTTCCCCAGAGAACGCGGGTGGCAGAGGTATCGTGGCCCCGGACGTCCGGAGTCGTGGCGTGAGAGAGGCGCCAGAGGAGCAGCGCAAGCTTCGCGGGCTCGGCCACGAAGTCGAACCTGTCCGAGTAGATGCAGCCGGAGCGGTCCCACCTCGCCATGCGCGCGTACCTGCCGAAGATAGCCAAAGTGTAGTAGTGAGTGCGCTGTTGGCGCTGAAATACGATATCCGTGTGCTCGATGATCTGGTCGAGGAACGTCTGCGCGGTAGTCCTTTCCGAGGACGGAGGATTGGAGGTGCCTGAGACGAAGTCAGTGTATTGCACCTCGTCGCATTGAGGTAGGGTGTCGGTCGATGGGTCATCCTTAAACGGGTCTAGCCCCTCTTCAGCGCTGCATGCGATGTAAAGCTCGATGGTCGACCAGCTGCTGCGCTTCCCGAGGGCGGTGGCTGAGCTTCTTGGATTCATTTCGATCTCGATGGTCCTCGGCGGTGGGTCTCTTGCAGTGAAAATGACAAATTGCCAGTCGTCTCCAGCGACGTGCTTGTTCAGTGATTCCACCTGGACGAGGTTAAACACAGGGACAGCCAATACTTATTAGTGACTTACCAGTCGCTGGAAGATATCTACCTCCAGCTGATCGGAAACCGGGTCGAAGATGTTTCTGAACAGAACGGCATCTGGCTCATCGGCGACCGGCGGAATGAACTTTTCCATCATGGCCTCATACGACAGCTTAACCATCTTGTCCGCCATTGTTTGACCGAGTTCGCGTTTCCTGAGGGTGTCTGCTTGGTGGGCCTGCGATGCGTAGAGAATTTTTGTGGATAGATCCCTGCCGTTGTGAGCCGCATGGACGAACATGTCAGTCGCGCTGGTGTAGGTGTAGGGAGGAAGGCATCACTGACCGAAGGATAAACCGCGGTTTAGCCACGTAGTACGGATGGACGGATGATGGAAATGGAGATAGAGCGACGAACGAGATGCAGGGTTTCAGAATGCGGCCGGAGTCCTATGATGGCTGTGTGTACAGGAGTGGCATGTGGCTAAATTCCGGCTGCTTTGAGTCCTGGGCCGGGTGTTGGCGAGAGGGTACGTTGGCGCTAGCGCCCGGTAGGACAGAGACCTTTGTTTTTGAGATTACATGACCAGCACTGAGGCCTGAGGGGTCTTCAAGTTGGTTCTGAATTTCTTGGACGAGTTTCGGAGATGACAGAACTGATGAGCTGGGTTGTCAAGCTCAGGTGCAGAGAACGAGACAGGACTGTGATACTATATTACTGCTGGCCATCGCGGCGGCATATGCCCGGGGTTGCGAGTCCTACTGTCAACCGGCAAGATGTCGTAGTCTCGAACCACTGTCATAGAAGGCTGCAGCGGCAGACGAGGCCTCCTCGTTCCCCTGGACCTTGAGAAGGAGGAGAATCTGGGCTCGGATACGAGGTCGGATACGAGAAGATACAAGCATGTGGCCAAACGAGAGCTGGCATCGGAATTCAGCTGCAGAGCAAGAGAACGACTCGTTACTAAGCGCTGGCTCTCCTGGCGCGAATTGCCTTTTCAGTCAAATCTACCAAACCACGAGCGTTTAACGCCACGCGTCCTCTCACTGAGTGCGAGGGGCGCGGCGCGGGCCTCCGATGGACGGTCCAGTTCGTGGCGGTGCGCGCGGTAGTGGTGGATGCACGGGAACACACGCGTACCACAGAACTCGGCATAATATACATAGCAGAGTGTCATGGTACAAGGTGTTTCGAACGGACGGGAGGCTGCGAGCGGCCGTGATGTCACTAGTAGCAGTACACGAAAGACGTATGAGAAGTAAGGTTGGAACCGTGATATGACAACGATGCATGTAACAGAATAAGGAATAATTACGCGACCCGGAGAGGAGAGAATGGATGCGGGCTAGAGCACGAAGAACGGACGCGGGCTCCGGCGAGCGGCTCGAGCGGCGGAACAGGCCCAACATGACGGACAGCGTTCACGTCCTCGATACCGTGCTGCTACGGGGCCGCACCGCGGGGCGACCAGTCTCTTCGAAAGTTCCGTCGTGAAGCGAGGTTCGCTTTCCCGACTTCGCGGCACTGTCCTTCACCGGCTGGTTTGACACGTACTTGGGAGCGAGTTGGTCGGCCTGCTTGTCTTGCGCTGGCCAGTAGTCGGCGGCGTTCTTGCTGAGAGCAGTGAATAAGATCTTGGCCACGTTATCGTGCACTTCAAGCTTCTTTGCCGTCTTCTCGAGAGCGGCCAAGTCCTCGCTCTGATCAGGCAGATCGACCCCGGGAGTTCCGAGGAAGTTCAGATCGTCGGTGTCCAGTCCGGAACTCGCAACCCATTCCTCAATCATCTCTAGCTCCAGCTCCGGCCTTTCCTTGGACCTGAGGAAGGGTACTTTCTGGTGCTCGTATAGGGCCTTGAAGAGCGGAAGTAGATCGTTCAGTAGGTGATCAATGGGGTGCCGATCACCCTCCTGGATCACCGGCTGGGGAGGTGCGCAATCTGTCGGTGCTGACCGGCATTGTGGGGTTGGTGTACCTGAGCGAGAAGTCGTGGGGGAATGGGACACATCTGACTCCGAATCGGAATCGGTGGCACCTGGGAGTACCGAGGGGAGAATTGCAGGAAGTGACGGCTGGGGAGCTTTCAGGAATACAATTCGAGCGTTGTTTGGTGCAATCAGTTCACCCGATGCAAAGACCAGTCTCTTGAGGAGACTAGCGGCGTACTCCTTGTGCTCTTGGTCGACCGGCACCCCTTCGTCGAAGTACTTGTACATAAATGCGCCCACGTCGGCACAGTTGTGAGGGATCCATCGCATGGAGCAGTACAGCAAGACGTGAAAGAGCGACTCTAACTCGTCTGGAATGTCGATTTCTTTCGTCGGCTTGCATAGGGCATTGATTGACATGAATTGCCATGTTCCCTGGTAGTCGGTGTCAGCGGTCGATCTATGCTGGCTATCAGTTTCCACTCACAGTCCGATCCGGATGGCGAGCTTCCGTGTAGTTCACATCGCTGCGTTTAGAATGTTCCCAGTCGGTCAGGAGTCCGTAGCAGCCGTAGGCATTCTTTCCTGGTGCGGGTATGATGAGGATGTTTCCGACGCTGATGTCTCGATGGATTGTGTGTGCCTTCGTGTAGGCGTGCATGTGTGCTAGAACAATCGTCAGCGACAGCAAATGTAGTGGGAGAAGATCGACGGACCGAGTAGAGCGTGCAATATCACCCAGACCAGCTGTTTTCCGTTCTTGAACATATTCAGGGGTTTGCCAACCTCCTTGACAACAAGGCGATAGTGACGGTAGTTCTTCAAGGAGCACTCCTTCTCAGCGCCGTGCACCTCCTTCCAGATGTCGCACGTCATGACCGTCTCCTTGCCGATATCTCCGTGACAAAGCATCGTGGGAATGTGGCCCACTCTCTTGCTGTTGAGGTACGTGAGGATCGCACCTTCCTGCTCTGAGCGTGGATGCACAACTCTCCACCAGTCTTTCAGATACACGAGGGGATGCGCGGGATCGGTGTAGTCAAGAGCGACGTAGCCGCGCGTGCCGCGGCCCACCACATCTGGGGCTGCGAAAGTGGGTTTCGCGACGAGGTACTCGTGCGGTGCCTGTTTCGGATCCCCGCCCGAGACCGTCAGCTTCCACCATGGCCAGGTGTCGACGAGTGACTTGGCGAAGAGCTCCCGTGCGTGGTCGCCAGCAATGACTGTGGTGGACTGAACCATGGCGTGGTACTCCGCGCTTCCCCGGAGGACGCGGGTGGCAGAGGTATCGTGGCCCCGGACGTCTGGAGTCGCCGCGTGAGAGAGGCGCCAGAGGAGCAGCGCAAGCTTCGCGGGCTCGGCCACGAAGTCGAACCTGTCCGAGTAGACGCAGCCGGAGCGGTCCCACCTCGCCATGCGCGCGTACCTGCCGAAGATAGCCAAAGTGTAGTAGTGAGTGCGCTGTTGGCGCTGGAATACGATATCCGCGTGCTCTACTATCTGGTCAAGGAACGTCCGCGCGGTAATCCTTTCCGAGGACGACGGACTGGAGGTGCCTGAGTCGAAAGCAGGATTGTGCACCCCGTCGCATAGAGGTGGGGTTTCGGCAGATGGGTCATCCTCGAACGGGTCTAGTCCCTCTTCATTGCTACATGCGAGGTAAATCTCGATGGTCGACCAATCGCTGCGCTTCCCGAGGGCGGCGGCTGAGCTTCTTGAATACATTTCGATCTCAATGGTCCGAGGCTGCGGGTTTCTTTCAGTAACAAGGACGAGCTGACAGTCGTCTCCAGCAACGTGGTTGTTCAGTGATACCACCTTGAAGATTGTTAGACGCAGGGATGGCCGACATTTATGATGACTTACCAGACGCTGGAAGAAATCCATCTCTAGCTTGGCGGGAACCGGGTCAAAGATGTGTCTGAAAAAGACGGTATCTGGCTCGTCCGCAACCGGCGGAATGAGTCTTCCCATCATGTCATCATACGACAGCTTAACCATATTGTCCGTCATCGTCTGACCGAGTTCGCGTTTCTTGAGAGTATCTCCTCAGCGGATCTGCAATGCGTAGAGCGTATTTGTGAGTAGAGACCTGCGGTTCTGAAGGGCGACGGGAATGTCAATCGTGCTGGTAAAGGTGTAGTGAGGAAAGCGTCACTGACCGACGGATATGCCGCGATTTAGCCACTACAGCTGGACAATAAAGTGATGAACGACACGCAGTATTCCAGAGTATGACTTGGGTCCTACGACGGCCGTGGGTAGAGCAGTGGCTTGAAGTTGTGGCTAACGGTCCAGCTGAGCTGTTCACGGTACGGTATTCAGAGAGAACTACTCGTTAGGCGCTGGCGCTCGTGGCTGGTATTGCCTTTTCGGTCAAATCTACCAAACCACCGGCGTCTAACGCCGCGCGTTCTCTGGTCATCTACTACTACCCCGACTTCCAGGCGATCGCTCTCGCTTCCGTAGAAGACCAGCGGCATTGTACCTCACGGCCGGCAGCGTAAGTAAATTTTTATTGACTATACCTTCGGCGCCACCAGTTCCTTGCTTTTTTTCCGGCGCCCCATCTGCGCCCACGACGTGCTCCTCATACACGATAACACCCCCTAGTCACACGAGGCTGAGTACACGCTCAATGGAAACGGTACACGCGCGCGCGCTGCTCTATGTGCCCTTCTCGACGTCAAATCTACGCGTGGGAAGCTGGGCCTGTCGCGATTCAATGGGACTCGGATACAGGTACGTAGTACTGCAGATTAGAGGATGAATTGTGTATGGAATGGCATATTTGAGGTGTCTTCAAGTTCGACGATGAGATCAAGTTATAAAGTGTATAATGACAATATCATTATGGTCGAGCAAAGCTGAAATTATAGATTGAGGATGGGAGACTATGAAGCAAGCAATGAAAGACGTACGGACAGTGGACAGTGGACGCGGGAACACGGCGGAAAGGTTCGAGAACGCACAAAACGCCTTATTGCATGATCCTGCCAGCGTACGGCGAAGTAAGTATACGTACCGGCTACTCAAACCCCGACCACTCCAGCTTCCTATCAATACGATCCACCTCCGGCCACGCCTTCTTGACCAACGTATCCACCAGGAGCGCCACCATCGCATTGTGCGATTCCAGCTTCGCGCGGACTTCCCGCATTCTTTCCCACCGCGCCGCCGCCTCCGCATCCTCTCTCGCCTGAATCGCGTCGTAATCGATGGTGCACTTGGGCTCAGGCTCAGGCTCGGGTTCTGCCACGACCAGCGCCAAGCCTAGCGCCACTTGCTTTGCCCTCAGCCGTTTCTTTCTAGCCTCAAGCCGAGCCAAGGTCTCCATGATCTCGAGTACGTCTGGGGGAGTCGGCAGTGTCATATCGCGGGATTCTGCGACGGGCCTTGGGTTTGGTTTGGGAGTGTAGTGGGCGCAGAACCAGCAGAGGAGCTCGTCGACGATGTTGTTGAGCGGATGCATGACACGCCGGGGCTGCGAAAACACCTCGTCAGTATTGGAAGGCGGAGGTACTTGTGGTGTCTCCACTGTCGATGTCGGGTGGTTTGATGCCTTGGGGCACAGGAACGTCAGTGCGCCCCGAGGAGACGACGCTCTGTCAGCTTCGCAGATGTAGGCCGTGACGCGGATTACGCCGCTCCCCATGGCATACGTCTTCGCGTCGGGACTCATGTGTTGTCCGCTCCGATGAGGAATAGAATCCTCGAAGAAGTCGTGCAGAAGGCGGGATATCGCCGAGTCAGAGCAGTTGTGGGGAAGGAGTCGGATGGCGATGTAGAGGATGACGTGGAGGAACGACTCGAGCTCGTCCTGGACGGACGGCTTTGAGTAGCTGTTGAGCATATGCAAGGATAAGAATTCCCATTTTCCCTAAAAACGATGTAAGATGTCAGTAAAAGCAGTAGGAGCACAGAAAGCGCGACACACTATGCGGAAGGGTAGGTGATCGCGACCCTCCGCTTCTTGTGGCGGCTCGCGATGATCAGCCTCTTGCCAACCGCCTTGAGTGACTTCCATGACGGTGTGAGCTATGAGCGGATGGGCACCGTGTGGATGTAGTCGATGGTGATGGGAGGACGGGACGGCGGCGTTGTGGCTGCGCCTTGGTTTTGTGTGGGCTCGCGGATGTGGCTAAGCATTTGTGCTCCGCATTGTGCTCCGGAGCGCGGCTGAGTATGGCTTACAGCTGATGGTACAACATTACATATCTGCTCAGTTCGCGGCTACTGAATCCGTTCGGAAAGCGCAAGTTTGAACCGGCGTGTCTTCAGTGACTCGTCCGAGGAAAACATAGTTAACTTCGATCGCGTGGGGAGGGATATAATGGTCCCATATGGGCGCCGTGCGACATAGCAGAGTCCGCTTGTTCAGAGGAAACACTACGAGCGCGGAGAGATAGAAGTAGAGCCATGGAGTGATCGAGATCGCCGTCAAACTGTGAGTATAAGGTGGATGCATGCACTAGTCAGCGATCTGAGATGCTTACCACTAACATGCAACGCGCTCGTCGGAGCGCTATGCTTTCCAGAGGCGACATCCGGCCTTATCGAGCGCCTTCTTGATTTTCGATTCCCTCCGGTTCGGTGCGAGAGCAAGGCACGTCGGCACGTTCTCCGGCTGTTCGACCCAGAGGTGATGCGGAACGGGTGGGTCGCTGGCGGCGAGGAGGTTCGCGAGACGTTCGATACTCGGTTGGTCAGTCGTCTATCCAGGCGGCGCGAAGCATCAGTTTCCTGTGTTTCGGAGATGAGTGTTGTTTTACCTGTAGCACCACCTATGGTAAAGACGTGTCAGCGCAGTCCCAAACAGAGATCATGCACATAAGCACACCCACCTTACGCATGTTTTTGAGATCTTCTAGGTAGGCCTGGGTCTCAGGGCGCTCGCGAGTCTCGTGTAGCACCTGATTTACAAATATGATCGATTAAACAGCTGCTCAGCATATGTCTGCACTAACATATGCTTACGGCAGAAGTAGCGTGGGCGACTTGGGCTATGAGTGGACCGACACCCCATCCCTCAGCCTGCGTGCAAGGTAGTGCCGTGTGTCGATGAGGAAGTTCCAAACGGATCGCGTCAGTCAAAATGAGATAATTAAGTATGTATGGCCAGCTTGATCGCATGCAAACATGCAAAAGGAAGCGACGCACATCAAAGAGGTCGCGTCTGACGATGATCTGCATAACAAGCGGCTGCTCTGTGGGCTTCGGCGCCGGTGCCGTCTCTCCGTTTTCTACAGACTCCGGCATGTCTTGCGTCCGCGTTGTGAATCCGAGGCCGAGCGTTACGGTGCGTAAAGGATCCCACCGGTCCAGATGGAGAGGGCCGATTTTCGCCCGTCGGTTGTTCCACGGTGTCGCACAAGACTGAGACGGCCGTAGTCTCGCGCTCCGACTCAGGATATTCGTGTTCGCTATCTCGTATGTGTAAATATGATGGACTAGGTGGAGAATTGCCGCGGTGTGTGGTAGAATTGAAACGAGGGCAAGCAGGGGGAAGCGTCGAGGAGGAAGTCGTTAGGCGCCGGTCTTACTGCACTCCGAATTACCTGTTTTGTCGAAGCTACCAAACTACGGGCGTCTAAAGTCGCCCCTAAGAGCAAAAAGATGTAAGTAGTAGGAATGAAATTGATGAGAGTTGTGCTATGTGGACCATATGTGAACACATAAAGCGTTGAGTTGTACAATAGCGCGTAGTTTAAGTACAGTATGCAGGGACATCGTGATGAAAGTTGAAGTCGGCGTCACACCATGCGAAGTCGAGGGGAACTTGATGCGGGGAGGCCTCGTAGAGTGGCGGCGTACGCGTCTACATGCTCCATGATGGTCTTCCTTGGAGGCGCTCGCTCGCCGAAAAACCAGGTGACCATCCAGACGAGACCAAGGAACACGAATCCCACCAAGACGAACCACAACATGGCCACCAGGGCAGCCCAGGGCGCGTCCCACATGTCGAAAAAGCCGTGCGATTGTACAAGCTGTACGCGGTCATCCATCTGGCGTGACACACAAACAGTCAGCTTACGCAGACGTCGGGTATGGAATGCTCGACGTACAGTGAGCGGGAGTTGACCCGCCGCGTCGGCACAAAACAGGAGGGCTGATGCCACCGATCTACGGTGGCGTGCCGCCCGAGAGTTCGCGCGGAATCGACGGGCGAGGGTGTTGCTTCTGTGGGAGCTCGATTTAGAGCCCAAGGATGGAGTCGCCGGATCCGCGCAGAAGTAGGAGTATGTCGCAACCTCGAGGAGGGATACGACGAGCAGAGTGGCAGAGATCTGTGGTCCTAAGACGTATGCGCCGGCGAGCATCACAATATCGCGGACGTTTTCGAAGAAGCGCTTGATGTTTTGGCGAGCGACCTCTGCCTCGATGATGAGTTCCACGCAGAGCCGTTCTCGGAGCGCGCGGTCGGTATCGGGCTCCCCTACACGATCGGTCAGCGCTCATATTGTGTAGTAGCGAAAGACAAAGAATGGCTCACATTCCCAGCTACGGACTTCGGCATCCAAGTCGGGGGGAAGCGCAAGTGTTTTGACACGGGGGGACATGACAATAAGAGGATGAAGCGGGTGGGTGGTCGAGTGCAGGCGAAGACAATAGAGAGAGGTGGTTGCGGTTTGGACAAGGACTCACGGACATATTTATAAGAGAGAGGGTTCAAGATGGTCAAAGCTGGACCATGCGCCCTGCACGTCCGCTTGGATACCGCAAGATCACGAAGGCGGAGGGGACGCTTGGGCCACGGCGCGAGATTACGTATGCTGTGCTTACCAGAGACTTCTGTAAACCATGCGCCTCGCCTAAGACACCGTAGAAGGGGAATATGCAGCGCCTCGAGTAGCTTGGGTACCGCCATGGCGCCAAACGCGGGGGTGTCGTGGCGATCTTCTGTATGGGTACCAGTGGGACGCACCAGTGGAGCGTCTCTCGAGCGAGCGAATGCATTTCCGACTCCTTCGCGTACATCTCCCGAGTGAGAAAGCCGGCCAGAGCGAGGGTGTTGTTGACAGATGCATGTAGTATAATTGTCGACGCCGTCGACACATCCGAGTTCTCGCGACGAAAAAGTGAGCGTCGACGCCTGTTGAAACGTTGACTCCGCTAAGCCACTCATTTGTTTACTGACGCTTCTTCGCAAATTTCGGGCTCATCGCGCCGGGCTCGCGTGCCCGTGCTATCACCTGCTATCACTCTCGTGTGCCCAGCTACGTTACTCACACGGTCGCGCAGATCTAACCGACCGCGTGCGCAACTCAGAGTCCACAACTCGCTCCTTGAAAGCGAGGCTGAATCTTTCTTTTCAGTACCTATCCCTAAAAGTTATACACCCAGGTAGCTATGTGTGCAATATGTCATCGCTCAATCCTCCACATGCTGAGACTCTCGTTTATCCGCTTAGCTCGCGCGAGTCGGCTCTAGCCTTAAGCTTGATTCAAGTTCACTCCCATGGGTCAACCGTACCAGGTGTATTTGATCGCGCGCATCCGCCCTGCGCACGGCAAGCCCGCATATCGATGCATAACCGGCTTCCACATCCAGTGGTGCTATGGCGCATACCCCCTCTTTTCCCTCTACCGATTTCTCCGCCTCCTGAGCCAGTCGGAGAATGCGGCAGTAGTACGTGCAGAGCTGCGTGAGATGGACGCAAAATACGGACGCAAGGGCGATGTCGACAACCCGATGCCCGACTTCCCCTGTCCCTACACCCTCTCACTGCTAGCAACAGCTTGCACGGCCAATCTTGATGCAAGCCTCGGATGTCAACAGTACTCCGGCTACACTTTCCGAGATGATATGTTCTCAGCGGATATACAATCATGCTGGCATTGCGGTAATTAAAGCTTCATGTCGTTCTACACTGGCACACCGTTGATCATTGCCACGTACCCCATCTAGACAATGGATCAGGCCTCTCTATCGTCGACGTCACCGACCCTCTGCACCCATCCTACTGCATTCTGCCCATTTTGAAGACACGCCCGATGTCTGCATATGAATATCTACATGAGTACTACGAATCAGCGGCAGGCAAGCACACACTCGCTGTCCACTACGTAATGTCCACCTAACGTTCGTGCAGATACCGATGAGGAGGACGAGATTCACATGTTTCTCGCCATGATCACATACCTATCCGGCATCCCACTCCTCTCGGCAGACATTCTGAGGGAGGTGTGGCCGGAAGACAGGTTTGACCGGCGGTGGCCTGTACAGGACGTCGTAGTGGTGCCGCACGATCATGCACGCTCATTGTCCGACCCTGATTACACGTTGAGGGTCTGGGAAACAGCAGTGCAGCGCTTGCTCACCCTCCCCCCGTCGGACGTCCTGCCCTTCCCTTCGGACGACGACGAGCCTCGACAGCAGAACTCGGACACAGCATATCTCAAGCTCAACTCATGTCTACTCCGACAACCGTCGGTGTTCAACTTTCGGTTCGTCTCCAAACCTCTATCGTTGTACGATCTGCAGCCCCTCTTCGCACTTCTGCCCAAGCTCGGCAGGGGCGGTGCGTCCTACAAGGAGTTAACCGCCCTCATACACGCAAGGGACGACATTAGAAACACCTGGAGAAAGCTCTCCTCGTTTCCCGACAACCATCTGGACTCGCTCGTGAAGCTGATGATCTTGAGTGGGGAGCCATTCGCAGACCTCTCTGGATATGACCTGTCTGTCGCCCAGATTACACGCTTCGTCACTCAATGCCCAGACCTGGACTCGCTCGACATCTCGCAAAACCCGCACGTCGTCCTCAGCGACATCCCCACCCTCCTCGCCGCAGCCCCGCACCTGCGCCGGCTGAACGTGTACGGCTGCAGCGGGATCGACGGTGATGCGCTGCTCGACCTGGTGCGCACGCAGCCGTCGCTCTTCCGCACTGTCGAAGCCATCGTCCACCCCGCCTTCCTCACGCTCGACAAGCCACCAAACTACCCGGTCGCGATCACTTTCATGTGCGCCTGCGCGCTCCAAAACACGCGCTGCGGGGTGGGCTTCAGCTTCCCGCTCTTCACGCCAACGCAGGTGGTCCAGGCGCTGTGCCACCTGCTCCCGTTCGCGTCTCGTACGGACGAGACTTACTACGTGACGGGGAACACGGGCGCGGAGCACGCTGGCGACGCGCGGCGCCGGTGGATGTTCCCGAAACGCGGCACAGCTTACACCATCTCGGGTCTCTTCTTTGAATCGCTGGACTCGCCTATGGCGGCGTACGCCGCGTTCAGCGGTGGCTCGCAGCGGCCGGGTGCGTCCTGGTCCGACCGCGCGGTCGTCAGCGTGCCGCTGCGCTCGAAGCCCTCTGTTGCCCCCGGCCCCGAGGGCAGCTGGGCGTTCTACCTCGGCTCGAGACGACCGTCGAAGGCGGACACCACCGACGTACCGTGGGCGTTCATACGCTATGCAGCGGGCGTCGACGCAGGAGAGGGCCTCGCGGCGCTGAGCCTCGACGGCAAGCTGGACGACACCGCAAGGTTGGCGGGGGAGGTGAAACGGGGAGGCAAGGTCTACGACCTCCGTGGGTTTCTGCGCTGCATGGAGGAAGAGGGGCGGCCCATGCCGCCGCTAGAGGTCGTGGCGGAGGTGGAGACTCTGCTGTCTGTGTGGCACAAGTTTGACGGTGAGATCAGGTGCCCGCTATGTGGCGAGAAGGAGCGCTGGAAACAACCCTTTGCTTGGAGGTAACGCCACGGAGTCGGTTCCGAGATATGATGGAGTTCGGCTTTAGCCGCCGGTGGTTTGGTAGCTTCGACGAAAAAAGGCAACTCGAAGATGGCGTCCGTTGAACGATTTCCTTCTCGCCGTCGACCAACACCAATATTCAGACTGTACATATTGCGACTATTCCAGCCAATGGTCTTGTCATAAGAGACGGCTAAGACAATACATGGTGGCCACTGCAGACGAACGACGTACGCACCAAGATCGTCCACCCCCGCTGACTCGACTCACGCCACCGCACCCGACGCACAACACAAGATCCATCACCCCTCCCAGGCCCAACAAACGCACTCAACGTACCACACACTTCGAACCTAAAAAAACTATGTCGACATCTTAGTCACGGACATTGGATAACGCATGCCAGTGTGCCGCACAGGCACCGCGTAGTACTCACGCCTCTACTTCGAATCCACACTTAGTACAATCGTGCCACAGTCTAACTCAGACATCCGCGATTCCGCGTGATCTATCGCGTGCGCAGGAACCACATTATCATCTCCTTATCTCTTTGTGCACTCGCACGCAGTGCGTCTAATCTCCGCGACGCGCCAGGAAATGTCAACTGCCCTCCTAGCCGCTTACCATGTCGCCTTTTCCAGGATCTCCAGACAAAACCAGGGACTCATTGTGAGTAATCTGTGCATATCCTTCTATCCGCAAGCATTTCACTACTTGACATTCTTGTTAGACTCCAGAAGCTTGCGCTGAAGCCGTGGGTTCGAGATAAGGCGCCCCGCTTGATCCTGCGGAACGCGAAGATCGTAGACCCTGCCGAGGGCACCCTCCTGACAGGTCTCCACGATGTAGTCGCTGAAGACGGGTTAATCATTTCTATGTGCCCGAGCATTGCGGAACATGGGGCGAAGCTAGACATTGCGGACGCAAACCCCAAGGATCCCAAGCCCTTCATTGTCAACCTCTCCGGCAATTATCTATGCCCGTGAGTGGTCAGCCTGTACTACGATGCTCCCTTACTTATAGTAGTTCTGACCTGACTCTGTGCGTCTAGTGGCTTGATCGACTGCCATGTACATGTCACTGCCGTGCCGGGGGTCAAGACTATGTCAGAACTCGTCCAAACATCTGAAGAGCTGATCCATCTCCGGACGACGTATGTTTTGCGGGGTAAGCGCAAATCCCGCTACGGCGCTGGAAGGATGTTGACATGGCCTACTTTCAGAGATGCTCCTGCGCGGCTTTACGACAGTCAGAGACACGGGTACGTAGACATTCCCGTTTGAAGGCTAGTTCTCAGTGTGATGTTCCAGGCGGCGCGAGCAAATCTCTCGCTGGCGCAATTTCGGAGGGCCTCATAGCGGGTCCGCGCCTCTTCCAGTGCGGCAAAGCCCTTTCACAAACAGGTGCGCGTGCTCTGAGACTCAGGTAGCATACCATTAAGCGCGACCCGATAGGCGGACATGCCGACTTTGGCCCTGCTAATTCGAGCACTGGATGCTGCGGAGGTCATACTCAGTCTCTCGGACGCACGTGCGACGGCGTCCCTCAGGTTTTGAAGGCTACGCGAGAGGAGCTCAAGGGCGGCGCGGACTTCATCAAGGTTATGTGTGGCGGCGGCGTCGCTTCACCCACGGTGGAATCTCCCGTAGCTCTGACTCAGAGTTATGCTGACATGCGCTTTATCAGGATGCAATTGAGACAGTGCAATTCACGGCTGAAGAGATAAGAGCCATTACGACGACGTGCACGCAAATGGGAAACAAACACAGTACGAAACCCTCGGCGCGACACGTCCGCCGTCGTCAAAGCTGACGAGATCGCAGCGACCGCTCACGCATATACCGATGCCTCCGTCTTACATGCAATCGAGAACGGTGTTCGTGGCATCGAGCATGGTAATCTGATTAGTGCCACTACGGCAAAGCTGTGAGTCATTCTATGCATGTCCCTCCTCATTGAAGTTGCTTATGATCACTTCGCACTACAGTATGGCGGAGAAAGGTGTTTTCCTTACCCCCACGCTCGCCTGTTACGGGATTATGGTTCGACCCCCGTTCGAAGAATTCCTCCCGCCCGAGGGCAAGGTCAAGAATGCGCAGGTCATGGAGCGCGGCCTAGACGCGCTGAAGGTCGCGGACGAGGCGGGGGTGACTATATGCTAGTACGTCTACACCTTATTATCTGCTGGATGTGTTTTTGAGCATATATTGCTTCGCGGTGCAGCGGTTCGGACTTGTTGACGTCCATGCATGCGCTGCAGACGGAAGAGGTGAGCATGCCCTGCCATAAGCTGCTCACCACGATAATTGACTGATCCTTGTGGCAAAATGCGGTCCGGATGTACAGTTCACAGTTCGCAGCTCGGTACTTTGCTCGCGCAAGGTCCTGCAGCACGCCACCACAAACGCGGGTACGTCGTATCTCTGATCTCCGCGCTCTCTTCTGCAAGTCCAGCTAACCTCTAATCCGCAGCGCGCATGCTCGGAGATGCCAAGCTCGGGAGAATCGCTGTGGGATGCTACGCCGACCTTCTCGTCCTCGACGCAGACCCGTTGGACGACGTCACCGTGCTCGACTACCCGGAGAAGCATCTGTTCGCCGTGATACAGGGCGGGCGCGTCGTAAGTAGCCGTGTCGATGAGCTGCCCGTGGAAAACCGCTTTTGAAGGGGCGCGGCACAACGAACGAGTGTCTGGACTTCCCCATGGTAGTTAGCGGGAACGCCACAGGTCGCAGGATCAAACGTATGAAGACGTACGGTATAGCGAAGGTCGTGCTACTATAATCAAGGTGTACATTGCGAAATACGATTGATAGTGTGTAGGAGAAGCACATCAAAAAATATGTCGATACCCGGTATGGTGATGGTAAAGCGTTCATATTATAAGGCCAGGGACACTGGCAGCGATTAAACCTTGCGGTAGCGTGCCGTACTGGTGCGAGCTTTTGTATGAAAAGGCCTTGAATTGATCAATGGTATCGAGGATTTTTCCAGCGATACATACCGAGGTCGTGCGGTAGCACAAACTTGAGTGACTTGAGAACGTTGTTAAACTTGAAGCAGAAAGTAAGTGGCGGCACGTCAAGTTCTTGAGTGGCGGTGGCGGTGCAATGGTGTCGATCCTGATTCGGAATGTCTTCTCAGGAATAATTCTGCGACCTTACTCAAATCTTCGGGTTGTCTCCCGTCCTCCACACAAGAGCCTGTTTCACGACTTTGAAAGAGTATTCCAGGACACAGAGTGCTTTTTTCACGCCAAAATTTGCTCTGAATCAAACCCCGTAGTGGTAGCCCGAAAGCTACTGGAACCTGATCTCCGCTACGTCGCGAGCTGGGCCGTAGCGAGCACTTTCATCCGGCTCAAAATCAGACTGTGAGCTCTTTCCTACACAACCTACTCAGTAACTTATTTGACCTTGGCTCGCCGCATGGCTAGATAGGTATCAGGACACGACAGAACCTCCAGTGCAAACGCGTGCCTTGCTAGGCCGTCGATTTTCCCTCATCCGAGAATCAGTAATATCTGGGCAAGAGATACGATTTGTAAGGTGTGTTGCAACTCTCCCGTCCCTTTACCGTGTACAAGCAAATCTAACCACCTAAGTTTCTCGTTGTCCTTGGCAGGTACTTGGGTTGGGTTCCTCCGCCGCAAGACCCTCATCCGCCGCTGCTACGCGCATCCCCCGCATATATCCACTCATTTCAACCGTTACGGTCTCTACGTTGGTCTTTCGGTGTTTTCTAAGAGCATTTATGCTGACAATATGCGGTGACATCACAGTGCGGGGTGTAGGCGGTGCCACATACTCTCGGGGTCCTACCGCGCACGCCTGATTTTTTGTTTCGAGGTCCTCCACGCACCTTGCCTCCGTCTTCCACCTGGACAGACATCGTACGGATTGCTGACCGCCAGCATCCGATTCCTCGAGCTTTTAGACCCTACTCGCGACCTTTCGTTCGCCTGCAGGCAGGTCATCTTTCACGACCGACCTTCACGCGACGCCCCGTGCAATTATCAATCAACACCATCGCAGCAATTCGTGAGTCTTTCTCCTGACGACCCCGTTTCCCACTTCTCATTCTCCCAGAATGAGCAAATCCTCAACCGCTTCTACGCCAAAGACGTCGTCTCAGCTACCGTCAAAGTCTGCTTGGTCCAAGGGCCCGCCAGCAAACACTGCGACAGCGCCGTCTACCCGTCCGCAATCTCCCGCTCCTTCAGCTGCCGCTCCTTCTGCACCACCTACCCACTCTAGACGATCGAGCACGTTGGGACAGGGCGTTGCGTTCAAGGATGGAGTAGGAGCCCGGAACACAGCGACTCCCACAAAATCAGGTACGTCCCACCCACGTCTGTCGGGCGTGGTCCGTGCGATCTCACCCGGGCGCAGGCTCATCAGTGACCTTCGGGTCGATAGACGATGCGGCCGCCCCCATATCCTCCTCCCCCGCGGCGGTGCCGACGATCAAACCTGAGGGGATAAAGTCGTTCGGCTCTGTGCCAGCCTCGACCTCGAACGGAAAAGGCCATTCCCGGACAACGTCGTTCTCGACAGGTACGCCCCCGTCTGTGGCGGCCTCTACCTCTACCACGCCCTCCACCTCTACCGCAGCCTCAGGCTCGGCTTCGACGCCCAAACCTCCAAAATTCGACGTCAGGAGTCTCTTCCAAAAACCGAGCCAAGATGGACCATCAGCGTCGTCGTCATCCGCTGATGTTACCTCTCCTGCGATCCGCTCCGCCCCCCTCCCTCAACCGTCGCTCGGACCCCAAGGGCAACATCCTCCACATCAACCACAGCCACCTCAGATGGGCGGTCCCTATTCGAACTTCAGGCCGCAGCAAAACGGCTCAAACGCGGGTGTTCCCCGCTCGCCCAGCTTCCCCCGCCAGATGCCTAACGGCAACGTCAACGGGCGGCCACCACCCACGCCGAATGGCCCTCCATCAGCAGGCATGCCACAAGCGATGCCCAGTCCCAGAATGGGGCCACCGCATGGCGGGCAGCCACAGCCTGTGCCACATGGCGCGCCTGGTGCACCCGTACCGGTACCGCAGTGGGGGGGATACTACGTGAGTCAAGCTGTCGTTGATAGCAGATTACAACTAACAGACGGTGGACAGTACCCCTATGGGATGCCGATGGACCCGAACTACTACCCGCACACTCCCCAGTGGATGCCGCAGCACATGGCACCGCAGCCACACACACCGCAAGCGCCGCCCGGGTCATTACCCGGCATGCCCATGTCACCGCGCGGCCAACAACCGACACTCCATCCACCTGGGACGCCCACCATGGCACCCACGATCCCGCCCAACGCCCACCCGCCACATCCGACGCCCTCGCCACATATGCACACATCTTCGCTTTCCAGCATCTCCTCCACCCCTTCCACCCCGGCATCATCCACCGCGCCAGGCGGTGGCCTCTCCCGCTTGAACTCGAACGCGAGCTCCTTCACGCCGAAGCGCGTTGTCATCAAATCTGAGTCTGGCCAGGAGGTCGACCTTGAGCGTTTCAAGAAGCAGGCCCCCGCTGTCTCGTCGCCTATCGTACCGAGTTCACCCGCACGGCGACCAGTATCGGTCCGGATAGAGACCGAGGAGGCCAAACGGAAGCGGATAGCCGAGGAAGAGGCGGCTAAGCGGAAAGAGAAGGAGAAGGATGCCGAGGTGAACGCGAAGAAGGCGGCGGAGGAGAAGGCTCGGCGCGACGAGGAGACGCGCAAGTCGGAGGAGGCGGAGGCTCAGAAGAAGCGGGAGGAGGAGGAGCAACGGAAGAAGGTCGAGGAGGAGCGGGCGCGGAAGGAGGCGGAGGAAGAGAAGGAGAGGTTACGCAAGGAGAAGGAGGAGAAGGAGCGACTGGCACTCGAGGCCGAGGAGAAGGCGCGCAAGGAGGAGGAGGAGCGCAAGCTCAGGGAGGAGGAAGAGCGTGCTGCGAAGGAGGCAGAGGAGAAGGCGAAGGCGGCGGCGTCGGCTGCGACAAAGCCCGAACCTTCAGAGGAGGGCGAGGTTTCAGAGTCGTTGGATGCCGCCGACGAGGCTGCCAAAGAAGAGGCCAAGGACAAGGTCTCGGACAAAGCACCCCTCCGCATCGACACCTCCCTCAACAGCGATGGCAAGCGTCGCCCTGGCCGTCTTGATCTATCGTCGACGAAGACCAATGCCATCCCTGCCCCTCTACCTTCGGCCCTGGCCACCGCTCGCATTATTGAGGACATCGGCAGCATTGAGTACCCCGAGGGTATTCTGAGCCCCAAACCGGAGCTCAATATGAATGCCAAGCAGGGCAAGTTCAGGTCCGTTCCGCTTTGGTGACGCTTTGTTCCTCATTGTCTGCGATGCTGATAAATGCGCGTAGGTATGACCGAGACTTCCTCCTCCAGTTCATGGCTGTGTGCAAGGAGAAGCCCGACTCTCTCCCTCCTCTCGACGCCATTGGTCTCGAGCCGACCGACCAGAGCTTCGCTATGCCTCCTCGCGGTGGCTCGCAACACGGCCACAACCGTCGGCCTTCCTCCACTGCCATGCCTCCGCCTTCATCCAACGTGTCTCGTCAGGCCAGCGTCGGCCTCGGCATCTCCGGCTTCCAGAAGAACGTCAACCCTTTCACGATGGGCCAGTTCTCAACTCCGAAGATGTCTAGCGAAGAGCGGTTCGCGGCTTCGAGCCGATCGACGTCTGTGTCTAGTGGTCCGGCTGGCCTGCCTTTCGGGCGCCCCGCGCCCATGGTTCGTTCTTCCAGTCAGGGTGGTCCCAGCAGCAGTGGTCGCACACGGAGTCAGCGTGGTGGCAAACGGGACAAGGACCGTCCCGACGCCGGTCCTTCCAGACAAGGCAACGCCTTTGGCTCGTCCCTTGCCAACTCAATGTCACTGGAGCCGGTTGCTCCGCTGGAGGTCTCGGCGAACCGCTGGACGCCTGGCAGCCTTGTCAAGAAGGGCCCGGTGGCCGACCAGGACTCACCCGAGGTTGTCGACCGCAAAGTCCGGTCACTGCTCAACAAGCTTACCATGGAGCGCTTCGACTCGATCTCGGACCAGATCATCGCGTGGGCGAACAGGTCGGAGAAGGAGCAGGACGGCCGGACACTCATCCAGGTCATTCGGCTCGTGTTCGAGAAGGCGACAGACGAGGCGACGTGGTCGGAGATGTACGCGCGTCTGTGCCGGAAGATGATGGAGCAGATCAGCCCCAACGTCCGCGACGACGGCATCAAGAACGCCGACGGCAAGCCCATCGCGGGTGGCCAGCTCTTCCGCAAGTACCTGCTCAACCGTTGTCAGGAGGACTTCGAACGCGGGTGGGTTGCGAAGGAGGCCACGGCCGCTGCGGCAGCGACGAAGGCCACCGAGGACCAGGCCGCGAAGGCGGCTGCCGATGGCAAAGAGGACGAGGAGAGCGCATTGTACTCAGAGGAGTACTACGCTGCGCAGAAGGCGAAGCGGCAGGGTCTCGGTCTCATCAAGTTCATTGGTGAGCTCTTCAAGCTCCAGATGCTTACGGAGCGCATCATGCACGAGTGTGTGAAGAAGCTGCTGGGCAACGTCGAGAATCCCGAGGAGGAGGAGATCGAGAGTTTGTGCAAGCTCTTGACGACGGTCGGCCAGATCCTCGATACCCCCAAGGCCCGCGCCCACATGGACGTGTACTTCTCGCGCATGAAGGAGCTCTGCAAGAGCCCGAACGTCAACTCGCGTATGCAGTTCATGCTTCAGGTAAATAAATTCCTCGTCGACCTGGCAGGCAATGGAGCTAACAATGTTCTTCCCTCAGGATATCATCGAATTGCGCGAACGCAAGTGGATTCCGCGCAACCTGGCCGCTGCCCCTACCACGATCGCCGCGCTCCGCGAGCAGGTGAGTACCATTTCATTGGGCTGCACTAGCATATGCCGATACCTTGTCCCCAGATCGAGAAGGAGAAGGCTGCATCGGACAAGGACGCCATGAACCGTACTCTGAGCATGTCTCGTGGTGGCTCAAGACGCGGCGGCGACCGCAACGACCACCAGCAGATCGGCCCCGACGGCTGGGCAGTTGCTGGCGGACCTGCTCCCCGCCAGCCGCCCAAGGCCGGTGACCTCTCCAACTTCGGCAAGATCAACAAGTCGACCCCGATGACCTTTGGCCCCAGCTCTGTCTTCCAGAAGGACAAGACAAAGAGCCGGGAGTCCACGCTCTCCCGCCAGGGCTCGACGAACATGTTCTCTATGCTCAGCGCGAACCCCGAGATTGCGGCGGAGGTCACTTCCGCGAAGTCCAGTCGCCCCCCGAGCCGGAAGAGCAGTGTCGACCTCGGTCCTGGTGGTGCTCCGGAGGCGACCCCGCAACGGAAGCGCCTCCAGCTCCTTCCACGCTCAGTTCCTGTCGACGGCAAGGCGGAGTCGACGCCTGCTGGCTCGACCGCCGGGTCAGACGACGAGGGTGCCGAGTCCACGAGCGGGCCCTCCATGTCGGTCGAGGAGGCCAACACGCGGATCTCTGAGGACTTGAAGGAGTTCTTCAGCATCCGCGACCTCAACGAAGCCGACGTGTACTTCACGAAGCTCCCAACAGAGCACCGGCACTTGCTCGTCGACAAGCTCGTCACGAGGGCGGTGGAGTCGAAGGAGGCCGACGCGCAGCTGGTCGCCGACCTCCTCGACCGGGCGCACTCGAAGAACCTGGTCTCACCAGCGTCGTTCGAGGAGGGCTTCAACCCTGTGGCAGAGATCATTGACGACATCGCCATCGACGCGCCGAAGGCCCTGAACCTGTTTGCGATCATGATGAAGGGTGCACACTTGCACGAAGACGAGGAGCGCCGCGCGCGCCTCACGGGCAAGTCCATGGACAGCGACAAGCTCGTCTCTCTTCTGTCGTCATAGACATTCACCGGTACCATATTCCCCCCTCTTCCGCTCCGCTTCCCGTCCCCCGTCCGCTCGCTTACCGTGCATTCCCTGTCTGGCTGTCCTGCGAGTACCTACTGTTGTCTGCTGCACTCACTCTTGGTGTTTTATATTCCGCGCGTCCGCGATGGTGTTTGCATTAGTATGTACCTATTACATCGCACAGTATTGCACGATAATATCCCTTCCTGCCTCTGACACTCCTGTTGCTTGTGTGCGAGCCTGTATGAGTATCTGCGTATCCTTGACTGACACTTGCCCGAGTGCACGATCCAGCACGACGTCTGCCCGGCACCTGGTTAATGGGTGCCAGCCACGCTCAGCGGACAAGGGTGGTAACGCTCATCAGACTAGACGGTGCCCGGTTGCATTTTGTGCAGGTGGCTTTGCTACTTGGAGAGTTCGAGGCGGATCCCGCGAGCAGGAGAAGACAAAGCCGACCCCAAGACTAGACATGTACAGCCGTGCTGAGAATACTTATAACCTTCGCTGAACGAGCTAATCTGCCAGAGACCGACCGTTGAAAGGCGCAGGGAGGGAGTCCGCGGGATAACAGTCTGCCATACCAGTACTAGTAGACTGGCACGTACAGAGACCTGCCGGTCCGCGTGCTCTTCCATAGTGGGTTTGCATAGTCCGGCCGGCTGGAGAAAAATCAGGGGCACACAGGAGGCGTGCTGTACGTGAAATGCCTGAGGTATGTCTCGCCCGCGAACGGCCATGCATAGTATGGCCTCAGGAACACAACAATATTCATCGGGGCATCGGGGAGAGCTGTAGATTAACCGCTGGCGTAGGACTTGGAGCATAAGTACGACTCACCAGCGTTCTAGCACGATTTCACATTCGTGTCTGATACACCGTGTCGAAAAGCCAGTACGCTTCGGGTTCAGTATACCTGTCAGTGAATCGTAGGTGTGTCTAGATAGGCTGCGCACTGGGTCGCCGCTCAGGCTAGTAGGGGTTATAGATTGTAAGGACTGGCCTCGGGCATCCCACTGCCCGTAGAACAGATTCGAAAAATGCTTGCTAGATGGATGGCATGCTCACCCCAAAGGATAATTTGTTCGCATAATTCCGGAGTCTCTTGCGTATGTTAGACATGCGAGAGACGCATGCCTTCGCCGCGCGAGGTGGTGGTATGTATGCACGAAGCAGCGGGCGCCTATATTAAGGTCTGCCAGCGTGTGGGCCAATCGTTGGGACGCCTTTACAGGCACCTTCGCAACGCTCTCTCTGGTATGCAAGGTTCCGCGTCTCCTCACATGAGTTTGTGCATTTTTGTGAACGGTGGGAGGATGATCCGTCGGCCGTTGTCGCGCTCGCCCGACTGCATGTTGGGCGCCTACTATGCGGGGAGGGCGTTCCGGAACGTTCCACGTAGTCCGGGGTAAGCCGATGCCCTTACATAAGATTACGCGTTCAAAAATTTGAGAAATTCGGATTTGCTGTCATCCTTCCTTCTCCCCATCCACCATGTTTGCTGCTGCTCGTTCCCTCCGTCCTGCTGTGTCCCGCTCCGGCAACTATGCGGTGAGAATGACCTGCGCAACGCTGGAGCGTACTAGGCAGTGCTGACGTGCTACGTAGGGTATCCCGCGGTCCATGATTGCCAGGAATATGAACTCCAAGGTCAACGGTCAGTCACACGTCATAACCCTCTACTTGCACTGGCCACCAAGGCTGACGCGTCTATGCAGGCCCCGTTGTCGGTATTGATCTTGGTACGACAAATTCTTGCGTTGCCGTCATGGAGGGCAAGACTGCGCGGGTGATCGAGAACGCCGAGGGTGCCCGGACAACACCGTCGGTCGTCGCGTTCACCAAGCACGGCGAGCGCCTCGTCGGTCTCCCGGCGAAGCGTCAGGCTGTCGTCAACTCTGCCAACACTGTCTTCGCCTTCAAGCGTCTCATTGGACGCAAGTTCAGCGATGCTGAAGTGAAGGACGACGCGAAGCACTGGTAGGTTTCTTGCGCCCACAACAGCTGACATAGCATGCTGAGCCGCGGATTCGTTTCCTATAGGCCGTTCAAGATTGTTCCCAAGTCGGACGGTCGGCCAGCGGTGGAGGTGGAGAACGGCGGTAAGAAGCAGACCTTCGTGAGTATACGTCCACGACATACCAGTAAGGTAACGCTTGCTAACGGAGTCTTGTAGTCTGCGGAGGAGCTCTCGTCGATGGTCCTCGGCAAGATGCGAGAAACTGCTGAGCAGTACCTCGGCAAGAAGGTCAAGTAAGTGCTGATAAGCGCATTTCTCTACGAATTCCTCTCATATTTTCCTCAGCCACGCTGTCGTCACCGTTCCCGCGTACTTCAACGACGCGCAGCGCCAAGCGACCAAAGATGCTGGTACCATTGCTGGTCTCGACGTTCTCCGAGTCATCAACGAGCCCACGGCCGCTGCGTTGGCATACGGTCTTGACCGCGCAGACAACTCCGTCATCGCTGTCTACGATCTGGGCGGTGGAACCTTCGATATCTCCATCCTAGAGATGCAGAAGGGTGTCTTCGAGGTCAAGTCCACGAACGGTGACACTCACCTCGGTGGCGAGGACTTCGACAACGTCCTTGTTCAGCACATCCTCGACGAGTTCAAGAAGGAGAGCGGTCTCACCCTCACCCAAGACGCGGTCGCGCTCCAGCGTATCCGCGAGGCTGCTGAGAAGGCGAAGGTCGAGCTCTCGTCGACCACCCAGACCGAGATCAACTTGCCCTTCATCACTGCCGACGCGTCCGGCCCCAAGCACATCAACATCAAGGTCCTCCGCTCGCAGTTCGAGAGCTTGGTGTCCGCTCTCATCCAGCGCACCATCGACCCGTGCAAGAAGGCGCTCACCGATGCCGGTGTGAAAGCCAGCGAGGTTAACGAGGTCATCCTCGTCGGTGGCATGTCCCGTATGCCCCGCGTCGTTGAGACCGTCAAGTCCGTGTTCGGTCGCGAGCCTAGCAAGGGTGTCAACCCCGACGAGGCTGTCGCCATCGGTGCTGCCATTCAGGGTGGTGTCCTCGCCGGTAACGTCACCGACATCCTCCTCCTCGATGTCACTCCCCTTTCCCTCGGTAAGGTGTAGTCCCTCTCGTTCGTAAGCAATGTCGCTGACCATTTCTATAGGTATCGAGACCCTTGGCGGCATCATGACCAAGCTCATCTCCCGCAACACCACCATCCCGACGAAGAAGACCCAGACCTTCTCGACGGCTGCGGATGGCCAGACCGCCATTGAGGTCAAGATCTACCAGGGAGAGCGTGAGCTCGTCAAGGACAACAAGATGCTCGGCAACTTCAACCTCGTCGGCATCCCTCCGGCGCCCAAGGGTGTCCCCCAGATCGACATCACGTTCGACATCGACGCAGATGGTATCGTCCACGTTACTGCCAAGGACAAGGCGACCAACAAGGACCAGTCGATGACGATCGCATCGTCGTCTGGCCTGAGCGACAAGGACATCGAGCGTATGGTTGAGGAGGCCGAGCAGTACGCCGAGACCGACAAGGAGCGCAAGCAGCTTATCGAGGAGGCGAACAAGGCCGACTCTGTCTGCGCCGACACCGAGAAGGGTGAGCATCTTGGCTTGTGTCGACATCACAATTATCGTGCTAACATGGTGTATGCTAGCGATCAACGAGTTCAAGGAGCAGATCGACGCTGCTGAGAAGGAGAAGGTCGAGAAGCTTGTCACTGAGCTCCGCGAGCTCGCCGTCAAGGGCCAGGCTGGCGACGCCTCCGTCGACGCCGAGAAGATCCGCGAGAAGATCAACGAGACCCAGCAGGCGTCTCTCGGTCTCTTCCAGAAGGTGTACGAGAAGCGCAGCGCTGAGGGCGCGGCGTCCGAGTCGTCCAGCGAGGAGAAGAAGGAGGAGAAGAAGGATTAAGTTCCCACTCTTCTCTCCCTCGTCCGCTCCCCTTCGCATACCGCCTCTCTGTTCCCCCGCATCTTCGCACCACCCCCGCATCGCATCGACCCCCCGCCCGCGCACCTACACCCCTCTCTCGGACCCCCGCAGCATAGACCCACGAGCAAAAGTAATGTTGACGCATTATTGACTTATATCTTACGATCACGTCCCGCACGCTTTATTCATAGTAACTAGTATGGAATACTTCACTCACCCCCCCGCTCACCAGCACATCTTCTGTTTGCTTTGGTAGTATAGTCTCGCTTGCAGCAATGTATTACAGCCTCGCCCATGCGATATGCGTGATCAAAGCCATTCGATCTCATGTTCCGTTACGCCGTGTATTGCAACACGACCATTAATCGTGTTATCGGGTCCAGGGGCGGATACGCTTCAGTCGTTCTAGCCCACCATCTCAGGATGTTCGAGGGGCCTTGGTCAGGAGTGACTAGTATCCATGTCAAAGCTGTCACTAGTATCCATGTCAAAGCTGTCACTAGTATCCATGTCAAAGCTGTCACTAGTATCCATGTCAAAGCTGTCGACATATCCTCGTCCTGCATAAGTGGGCAGACGAGCCGTCCATCAAACTCGCGCCGCCGCTGCAGCAGATCCTCAAGCTCTGCGACGAGTTCCGGAGGCGGTGGGTGCCGTCCCTCTTCTGCCATGCAGCGTAGAAACCCGCGGAGATCGTAGGCTTTGCCTCTCCGTGTGACTTCCTCCAGCATCAACCCTTCGTCCTCTTTGTCCTCCTCGTCCTCCCTGTCGCCGTCGAGGCTCGGTTCAATGGACTTCTGCTCCTCGTCCGGTGCATAGTGTATGAACGCCCATGTCATATGACTGGCCTCCCCAGGCAAAATGTTCTCGACACGGCTCGAGTCGAGGAAAAAGGCCCAGCTGCCCTCGGGGCCGGGAGACACCGCGGGATACTAGGGTGCAGGGGCATACTGATGACGGCGCGGTCAGACCAGGATGCGCCCGCACGCCGCGAGCCACCACTCAAGGCGCCAAACGCCAGCATGGGCGATGAGTCGTGGAGGTTGCCAGGTTGGTTCAGCGATGTGTACTCCGGAAATGGGAACCGCCGCCGCCCGTCTCCTTGGTGCGCTCCGCGCCCACCGTCACATGGTGGCCGTCAACGGAGTTCCACGCGGGCGGGAGCAGGAGGCATAGTGCCTGTAACACCTGGGTGGGAGTGAACAGCGGGATGCTTGCGCCGCTGGTATTCAAGCGGCCAACCCTTTCGGCGTTGGCACATATGTAGGTGAACGCGATTGGGTACTCCGACGGCTTCTCGATTGTGAAAAAGACGGGGTGGATGATCGCTTCAGTGGTGCGAAAGAGTGACGGCTGTTTCCGCAGAAGGCCGAGGAGCTCCTGGCCGTCGATCGCTCTGCAGCCATACACACTTAACCGAAGAAGACACAGGGCCGCAGTGAGGATGGCGGGGATGTCACTCAGAGTGACGTGTGGGTTGTGCGATATGTCGAGTGAGTCCAGGTCAGGGCATTGGCAGAGGAAGTGTATGATTTGGGCAGGAGGGAGGTCATAACCAGAGAGCTCTGCGAAGTGATCTCCGGCCAAGGTAGTCAGCTTCACGAGGCAATCGAGGCGATCGTCCGGAAACGGGGACAATTGTCTCAAAGCGGCACTTATATGCTCTTTTGCGGCCCTGATTGCAGTCAGCTGCTCGTCAGATGCACTGCTCGCGTCCAGGTTGGGCAACAGCGCGAGGAGGGGGATGTAGTAATCCGAGGGCATTGGCACGGTGACGAACTGGAAGTTCAACGCTGCCGGGTGTCGGAACAGATATGTGTTGAGCTTGGAGTACGCCACGTCCGAGTCTGGGAGTCCACTGGGTCCGAACGAAGCGTACCACTGTCGGGGTTGATCGTCGTCCGGATCCGCCAGGAGGCGCTGTACGGCCGTTTCCCATACCCTGAGCGTATATTCAGGGTCGGACAATGAGCGTACGTGGTCGTGCGGGACAACTACATGGTCCTGTTCAGGCCGGGGGTAAAACGTGTCATGCGGCCACACCTCCTTGAGTATATCCGATTTGAGGAGTGGGATGCCAGATATATACGTGATGATTGCGAGAAACGTGTTGATCTGGTAGATGTCATTTACATCTAGAGGGGCATAAGTGAACGACCACGCAAAGCGGTGCATGGGTGCTTGCCTTCCAACTCGTGGCACGTTGATAGGTACTCATACGCAGACAATGGGCACGTAGATGCCATGAAGCAGTAGGCAGGGTTCAGGGGGTCAGATATGTCGATGATGGAGATGGCCTCGCTGGTCACTACGAGGATAAAATAAGCATCAGCGATCAATGACATGCCATATAGGACAAGTAATCATGTTGAGCTTACAGCAGCCCCAGCATGATTCCATATTTGCATCCAAGGCATCAAACCACAAAGTGTGACCGGCGAATTCCGGGCTCCCGAATCTTTCATCGAGGTTGGTCGTCCAAGCCGTCGATAAGAGGGAGAGGCTGTAAGGACAAGGAACCTCGGGCATCCGATAGTTATCGTCCTCGCAATCGCGATCGCGTTCAAACTTCCCGTCCATCTCTCGTAGCTCTGCCCGTACTACCGCTGCATTCTCCGGCCGCCCACGAGTCGCAGGAATCGGTACATGGCAAGCGGAGGGGACATTCCCCAGCACCATTGATGGTGAAAGGCAGCTATGCACCGATATGCAGGTTCGCCGTGTTTAGGACGAACCCGAGCGATGAGATATGCCTCGTGTCGCATACCATGGTTGCTACAAGGGAGAACTGGAGCAAGCTGAGCTCGCTGAGGTGGATGTAAGAGGATTGGGTAGTTGCGGCAGTAGTGCTAATGATTCTGAGTCTGGACGCATCAGCAGCGATATGGCAAATCCCATGATAATCAGCCTGGGAATGCATGCAACGTGGACGTCAAACGCCAAAATTGAAGCAAAATCGCTTACCGATAACTTCGAGGACGTCTCTCGGGCGGGCGGATGTGCTTCTGACTCCTTCACGAGACTACATCGCCCAAGTGAGAAGGTCGGCCAAAACCGCAAAGTTGTAGACAGAGACAGACGGTATAACTGTCAACGCCGTATGCACATCCTCGACCTGCATGAGCGGACTCCACACGAGCTGCCTGTCGAACTCGCGACACGACTGCAGTAGGGCCTCCAGATCCGCTGCGAGTTCCTCTGGTGCTTCCCGCTGTCTCTCCTCCGCCATGGAGCGTTGAGACATGCGGAGGTCGTGCACCTTGCCTCTCCGTTTCAACTCTCGCGCCAAGCCTATGGGGTCCTCGGGCTCGTCGTTCAAGCTTATCCTCGCGAGGCCCTCTGCGTCGACGTCTGGGGCATAGCGTATGAACGCCTACACTATGTCCTCGTGCCTCATCGAGCGCCTCGAGTCAAGGAAGAACGCTCAGCTGCCATCGGGCCCGAGGGACACGGCGGACTATGGGTGCGGCGGCACCCCGACGACGGCGAGGTCAAACCAGGGACGTGCCCGTGCCCTGCGAGCCCCCACCGAATGCGGCGTATGCGAGCATGGGCGACGACATGAAGAGCAGTTGTGCGATGTGTGCAGGGGGACCTTCCATCCACCGCGGCTGCGTGTCCCCAGGTCCCCAGGGTGCTCCGTGCAGTCGACCGTGACGTACATACTGGCTGTCGCGCGAGCGGGAGTGGCAGGTTAGGAGAGCGCCTGGAGGATCCGGGTCGGAGTGAAGAGTGGGAGGCCGACACCGTTCATCTCTTTGGCACAGGCGTACATGAAGGTGAAGGCGATGGGGTAGTTGGGCGGTTTGTTGATTGTGAGAAGGTCGGGGTGGATGATGGCCTCGAGTGAGCGGAACAGGGACGGATGATGGGCCCGCACAAGCACGAGCAGCGTCGGCCGTCGATCGCGCCATATTACTGAGTCTGGAAGCTGCAGATCTAGGTCAGTTCCTATAAGTTCCTCTGGTACATCGTCAGATTAGACTTCCCTGTGGTAGCTAGTTAGTAGCTCCTTGCTGTATATCATAGAAGCTGTTCATGCCACGGCAAGTTGGGAGGAGGAGGCTGCAGCTGCCAAGGCGCTAACTCGGCAGGCCATCGTAAGAAGCGCACAGCCACAGTCGGAACCAGTCAGTGGTTCAACGGCGTCGCAGAGCCTCGGTAGCCTCCGTTGGTCACAATATGTTCAGGCTTCCTATCAATTCTCAGAATAAATTTAAATATAATACAAAGCAGAGTAGAGCTCGCAATAAACGCATTTGAAGGATTTTTGCAGTTCTTTGTCGCTCCAGGCGGCTACCAGTGAGACGCTCAAAGCGCGCGGCGCTTGGGCGCTTACATACTTCAACTCCATCTTAGCCACCACCACCATCGTCGCGCACTCACCATTGTTTGGTCCCACCTCCCATAGAAGAGGGAACGTGACAACAATAGCGCGCGCAGTGGCTAAAATCTGACCTTATAAATCGCCCCGAGATTGTGTTTGGTGCGTATCATCTCTTACCACACCCACTCATTCACCATGTCTGCTCCCCCAAACAAAAACACTGACTCTCCTAACAAGGCCAACCGCGTTCGCAACGAGTTCACTACTGGTGACTTTGACCTGACGGAGAAACGAGACGAACTACGCTACACCATGCACCGCAAGGTCACCCTCGTCGAGTACGGCGTGTTCATGGCCGAATTCATGCCGGAGGCGCCGCTAGCATGCCCGTCGCCGTTCGCAAACATCATTCCTACTTCACGGCAGCGGCCATCATTCAGACGTGGCCCATCGTCGAGAGGCAATTTCATCAAACCCACGACAAGGGCATCTACAGCGGCAATGAAGCAAGCCCTAGAGTCCAGCCCATTTCAAACCAAGGAAAGCAACCCTCGAGCAGAAGTGGATATGTACACTCGTATCGTGAGTTCATTCGCTTAAATCACATACTACTAGCGCGAGAGTTGGACTCGTTTTCCCGCTGAGTATTGGAGTTGGCGAGCCGACTCTCGGCGTCCTAGTGGAGTGTGGGCCAAGAGGATATGACCACTATAGATGCTGATATATGCTTTTCAGCCGTCGGCGCTGAACAACTCCAAGATTTTCGAAGGATACACGTTCGTAGCAACCCCTCACAAAGCCGACAAGAAAGACGAATCCGGGCAGGCAGTCGACTGTGGCCTGTACCCCAACGATGCACTTCCCAAGCTCGAGGTCAAGGAAGGATCAAAACGCAAGTTTGGGCGTACGGATTGGTCGCTGATCGAAATCGCAATCGAGTGCAAGACGCATTCCACCGCTGGCGACCCATTCGACGAAGAGACGAACAACCACGAGCCCAACGCCGAGGGACGCCGCAAGGTCCTCGGGCAGATTCTCGACTACGCTGAGAAGGTCTTCGAGTACCAACACCGGACGTTCCAGTACATGCTCCTCTTCCTCGGCGACTACGCTCGGATCGTCCGGATCGATCGCGCAGGGATCATCGCGACAAAAAAGTTCAACTACAGGACGGATGGTCATAAGCTCGCAGCTTTTCTCCGGTACTACACCCGTCTCCCTCCTGCCGAGCGCGGTCACGATACCACCGCGGTGCGTCTCGATCCTGAGTCGGATGAGGCCATCCGGATGAAGAACCGGGTGAAGAACGCCGACCCGAAAGACTACGTCGCGCAAATGTTCAAGCAGCAACTCGACTCGGATTGGCCTTGGTGGAAGCTCGAGGTCACTGACGACTCGCTCACGAATCCTAAGGACAACGACGACTCGCCCATGAATCTTGAGGCCACCGATGACTTGCCTTCGAACCCTGAGGTCGCCAGCGACCCGCCCAAGAAAACGAAGCGCTACTACTTGGTTGGCAAGCCGCACTTCCAGGCTGGCGGGGTCGCCGGTCGCACCACCCGCGGGTACGTTGCCCTCGATGACGACATCACGAAGAACGACTTCGTCCATCTGAAGGATGCGTGGCGCGTCGTTAGCGACGATATCGAGAAGGAGGGCGTCATCCTGGAGACCCTTCGCGAACGCGAGGTTCAATATGTGCCTACGCTGGTCTGTCACGGCGATGTACCCGGTCAGGAGACGAAGACGCAGGAGGTGTGGTCAAGGCTTCACCCCGAGGAGAAGTGCCACCTGAAGCATCACCAGCACTACCGCCTCGTCGTCAAAGAGGTCGGGAAACCTCTGGAGGAGTTTTCGACAGGTCTCGAGCTTCTCACCGCGATATGCTATGCTGTCCTAGGTGCGTCGTCTCTCTCTCGCCGCGAAGTTTGCGTATATTGATATATCCGATGATTCAGCGCACTCCCAGGCATACGAACACGGTATCATTCATCGTGACATCAGCGCGGGGAACATTTTGCTCTACAAACCTCACGCGGACGGGGATTGGCAAGGGCTTCTCAACGACTGGGAGTTATCGAAGCAGTTCGCCCAACAGACCGAAAAGGGGCGCCAGCCTGATCGCACGGTATGTATAGAGACCAGTTGCCACTTGTCTATGACGCTAATGTAATGCCACATGCTAGGGTACATGGCAGTTCATGTCCGTGAATGCGCTCAATGATAACAAGAAAACCATCGTCATTCAAGACGAGCTCGAATCGTTTTTCCACGTCGCTCTCTTCGAGGCCATCTGCCTGCTCCACCACAACTGCGAGGACGCGAGCGTCCCACAGCTCCTACACGACTACTTCGACGAATGCACGCCTCACGCTAAGGGGAACCACTGCGGACCGGTGAAGAGCAATGCCATGCGCGAAGGGCGTATCAACCTCTCCGTCTACAATGAGAAGCGGGAAGGCGATGTTGATTACGACCTGCATTTCCTCTGGCCGCCACCGCCACCTCCATCTCCACCGCAGCCGCAACCCCAACCGCAGCAGGAAGGGGAGAAGAAGAGCAAGGGGGGCAAGAAGAAGTGGGGGAAGAAGAAGAAATGGGGCAAGAAGGGGCAACAGCAAGCGGCGCCTTCGCAGAAGCAGGAGCCCATGCAGGAAGATGTGCATCCGCCGGAGCAGACGCCCCCGCAAGGGCCGGAGCTCGCCGGCAAGGAGCAAGAGCCCCAGCAGGTGCAAGAGCCCAAGAAGTCCCCGATAGACCTTTTCTTCACGACCGTTCTCTCCTGGCTTAGCGCGTACTATTCATTGGAGGGGGCTCGTCGCCGTGAAGCCGAGGCGAAGAAGACAGCCGATAATCAGGAGGTTGAGCTCCAGAACGCCATCCCACGCGCCGGGCCCGGTCTTGCCGCTCTGGTGTCGGCAATAAAACGAAAAGGAGAAGCGATCTCGGAGGCGGACGGACGGGCATCGTCACCACAAGGCTCAAGTGGCACCAGCAAAGATCTTACCCCGGGACAGGATCTCACATTGAAGCCGTCGCTGGCGCAGCTCGAGACTCTGGCCAAGAACCTGGAGACTCATCAACCGATGCTGGAGCTGATGAGTTCGATTTTGACCAAGACATGGCCTAAGAACGATCGGCACGCCATGAGCAAGAAGCTCAACAAGCTGAAGAAGGCGAACGAGCAGGTCTCAAAAGGCACCAAGGTCACGAAGGGCACCAAGCGCAACTCCGCTGCCATGGGCGAGCAGGGAAGCGGCAGTCCTAGCAAGAAGAGCAAGGTCTAACTCGACATGTTCCGGCTGAGGGGCTCGATCCATCCGGTCTTGTTCACCTCTCTCGTCACCAACCTCCCTTCGTCGTCTCTGAGTCTCTATCACTCGCCGCCCTATGCTCGGTCGCTACCCCCGCTCGTACTGTGAACCACCTCCGAGGAACGAGCTCTCCATGTCGCCTTCGCCCAGCGAAGTGCCCACTACCGATCACCCAGCCCACCCCCCCCACCATCTCGGTGATGTTCATATCGACTTATCACGGCGAGGGCTTGTGCGCCCCAACGACCGCGGCGTCATGTCATTCATCATCGTATCTTGCCGCCCATCTCGCCCCTTCCTGTCGCTCCGCAGGACGATGTGCGTCTCCTACATTTGCTCGTCCTCGTCTCTTGACGTCCACTCCGGTAGCTTAACGACTTGTCGCTTTTCAATGGACCCCCACCAGCATTCAACGACAACACGCTTACTTGGAATGTCCTCATCGCACGCCGTGGCTTGCCTCCGCGCCGGTTGGCTCAAGAGCACTCTCCGCAACCGCGCTGGCGACCAAGGATCTTCACCATCCTGCAGCATCCTCGCTCTAGATTTCAGCTCAGCTCGCCTCCGTCTTCACTGTACTATACCAGCATGAGTCGTCTGCGTTACAGTGTGTTTTGTATTCTCGCTTCATAGATACCCACGGACGTCTCTTGTACATATACCATTCTGTCATCTGCAATGCTTCCTCGTATTCGGACACTCTAACAGTCGCCCCTTGCCTGATGACCCGTGCTGGCGCGCTCTGACGTTCTTCCCAGGTCGTCCTAACGTAGACATGCACCGCAATAGTGGGGTGTCGCCCAAGATTTATTTTCAAGATCAATAGTGTCGCGCTGGAGCGCCATCTCGGGCCTCGCACACGGACAAAGTGCGCGAACGATAGTACTATGTGGCGTCGCAGTGGTGCGTATCATTACTTCCCCGACCCGAATACTCTCTGAAGCAACCATCCATCGCGTCTAGCCGGTCGTGCAACGGTCACGGCGTTGGACGCTTTGTCCATGCAGTCGGTTTCGACTGATACGCAGAACCGGCCACTCGGGCACCTTCTCCTCGGACGTTCTCCATGCCAGAAATACATCTCCGCCCTACCCTCGCCCACGAACGCCAGGCCGCATCGAGCAGCGCCGCTCTTCGAAACGGTCGACCCGGTGTTGAATTGCTGAACCAAATATAGGATACATCAGCACCAGGGCAAGGAAGGTCCTGTCGTGGGTCTCATGTCGCCGCCACCACCTCTGGCAGGCGTAGCCCGACATCGCGCCGGAGTGTTTTCAGATCAGGCTCGCGTGGATTCGAGGTGTAGAATGAAGCCGGAGATCGAGGATTGGAAGCCGGAATGCGCAGCCGACCGCCGTCTCCAGACACGAAAGCGTTCCTGTGCGCGAAGCTTCGCGTATACGTAGTAGAACGCGCTGGGATGGAACGTACGTGTACAGACGTACGGGACACGGTGCGTGGCCAGGGTTTTGAGTAAAGCTGGCGACATATTGATCTATGGTTTACAGGCTGCGACGCCGTTCCTGCTTCGAGTGTGCTGTTATCTCCTGGATAAGGAGAGGTCAGTCATAAGACCGCCACGAAGGAGGAGCCGCAATACATCCACTTACACGTTTCATCTGCCACAGGGTGTGCTCAGGGAACACGCGAAGAGCCTGCGGCCTTCGGAAACTGCAGGCTGCAGCAAAATAGCCCAGACCGGACGCATCCCGAATCCATCTGTCGACTAAGCTCAGCTTGACAGGTCAAACTTTGGATGCATCTCGAGCCTTTGCTCGCGATGCGGCGCGCAGGGTAGATTACCCTTCAAGCTATGCGTCCTGCAGTCTGCGACATGCCGATATCGACGCGACGTCTTGGCTGGAACATCCATCCTGAAGACAAAACCAGCCCACGCCCTCCGGGAGACCAAAGATGGAGGTCATGCGACACGGCCAGCACGCCGCCATCGCGTTCCAGCTCTGGCGTAACTTTGGTGTGCTTCTCGTCGAGACATATCCGCGAACGCGTTTGGATGCGCGTGCTCCCCATCGCCTTCTACTCGGCCTCTGCGGTGTTCTCCTACTAAAGGTTCAGTCAAGAACCCACTGTCGCGGCTTCGCTAAGTTCGCTGCGGCGCGACGCTTGACGTACGTGTGTATAGTGTTCACGGCGAACCTTGCTGGGCGGCTGATCCGTGCCTCTCCGCCAGCGAATGCATCCACTTCAGCTACCTCCTTTCCTGAATAATTCTTGGCCGAAAGTTGGACCTGGAACGTGCCTTCAGTGTGAGTCGGCTGCACTTCAGTGTGAGTCGGCTGCAGACTCGACCGCGGGCAAGAGTGCGCGCGCCGGCACACCCCGCAGTCCTCCGCCACCTCCCTCGTCTTGGGACCGGCTGCGCAACGTCATCGGCTTGTCACTCGCCACAGGGCGTATATAAACCCCCTGTGCATTCTCACCCGGTCCTCCAGTCCCTCCAGACACCTCACTTCCTACCACCAACTTCACCACCAACTACTCCATACTCTTCACCACAATGGCCGACACTTGCACCTGCCAGAGCGCCTGCAGGTGTGTCCTCACTCCAGCGTAGACGCATGTCCCTGTACTTACGTGGACGCGTCACGCACTACAGCTCGTGCAGCTCCACTGGGTGCGCGTGCGGCGCCTCGAACAAGTGCAGCTGCCAGAACTGCGTCAACAACGCCAGCTCTGCCTGAGCGTGAGTATTCGCCCCCTTGCCACGAGTCCCGTGCGCCTGCGGACCATCTTGAGTAGTTCTGACGGTTTCTCGATTGGCAGTGCGCTTGCGACGACACGAACGAGTCCGCCTGTGCCAAGGTGGGCAAGGCTTGCTCGTGTGGCAAGCAATTGGAAGTCCGAGTCGCCGCCCACGATGGCCGCGCTGTCTGTAGTCTCGAGTTCGCTTCAGGGTTGATGATGGTTCAATGGTGTATATGGAGGTCTGTGTAGAAGTATTCGATGTCAGCGTGCGATGCAATGCGAGGTGTACCATATTGTGGACGTACCAAGTCAAGACGGACACGCTGTGCAGCCTGCAACGCCTCGGAGAGCCTGGAGGAGGCTTAGCGCTGGGGGCGCCTCAGTTCAGCCGCGGTCACTGAGTTTCTCAGCAGCGACTTCGCGGAAAAGTCTGAGATTTTTTAGAGAGCCTCCTATGCATCTCTTCAATATCTTAGTAGAGTCTCGGGACCATTGGGAACATCTAGAGCCATACAAACCGAGCACGGCGCGAGCAGGTCCCTGGTACGCAAGCGCCGTGGAATCGGCCGCAACTTGAACTCGTACCTGAACGGTTCCTGCTTTCCCCATCCTCTTTGCTCGAAGTGTGCTATATCTCCCCCGTGGATCAGAAATGCTACGAGTCATCCTACGACCCCCATCGTGCTATGTGAGTATAAATGGTGAACTCAAGCATCGCTGCCACGAAGTGGGTCAAACATTCAATATTCCGAGTACTAGTCCTGACCTTAGCAGGATAGTAGCTCAGCCGGCGAATAAGCCAGACGGAGGAGTCGGAGCGACTCCGCCGTACCGCCTGGTACACCCGAAGATTCTCCTGAACAGCGGCATTCTCGTGTGAGTGAAATATCCGAACACGCGAGCCTGATTCATCGATGCCTCAGGCTTACATCGGTTTCCTAACAATCTCCATCTGGCCACGCCAAACGAACAGAAAACTATACGACAATGCCTTCACAGGACCCATCGGACGTCAGCCTCGTAGATGGCCAGAACGCGGACGGTTCAAAACGCTCGTCTGTGTTGGATGAGCTTGCAGATCGATCTATGCGAAACATCGCAGCAGAGTTGTCGATACTTCGCCAGGACAACGCCCTACTACGGCAGGATAGCCAACGACTGAAGAAACTCGTGGAAGTGAGCTTTTTATCTGGATATCACCATTCAATGGCCGATCTAAAGTGTTCATCACGGTTGCGTACCCCAGGAGATGAGCTTGGAGATGGCTCTTCTGCGAAAAGAGAACACCGCTTTCAAAGGAGCCTCGCGGTACTTCATAGAGGAGAATAAAGGGAGGCGTTAGTCCGCCCCCTCAGCTCCCTCACACACACACGAGTACATATTGTGAGCGCTGACGAGGCATGATTCCAACAGTACATACCACCGACCACCCTACGACAGCCCGTATGTACAGGCAAACTTCCACACGAGGTACTCCTCGTTATCCTGAGGGCAACCCGCGCACCGCGCTATCAACTCAATCCGTCAATTGCTCATTGCCGAGGCTGGAAAAGTGCTTGGCTCGTTGAACTACGCTTTCGCAAAGGCCTCATCCTGGTCTGCAAGTGGTGGTCAGGGCGAGCGACGGAGTTGTTCTACGAAGACATCGCGCTCCGGCGGATGGGCCAAATTCTTGCGCTCGCAGACGTGCTCGCTGTCAACCAGGCGGCGCGCAAGAACCTCGCGCAGCTGATCAAGAGCATCCGGCTGGATGCGTGCGTGATCCTGGGGCCGTGCGCAGACGTCGCCCGCGAGGCTTTGCAGTCGATCTTCACCCTGTGCACGGCGCTCCAAACGTTCGAATACCACCCCGCGAAGAATTTCTGTACAGCAATTACGCCACCACCTGAAGACGACTCCGGCGTGTTCAATCCAGCCTGGTTCGTCGACAGCACCTTCGGATCATTCCAAGTCGCCTTCCAGGAGCGAGTTGCGGGACTCGTGGTGCTCGACATCGCGATGCCCTTCACACATAAGCAAGTCGCGCATTTGCATGAGCTTCTCTCCGTTGCTGTGCGCCTTGAGACTCTAAAACTGGGCCCTGTGCAAGACACGGAGGCTGAGGAGGATTATCTGGGCCCTTTGCGCGTCGTGCAACTCCCACAGCTGAAGGAGCTCTATGTCCCCAATGACGAGGCGCGCTTCGTTAGGTACCTCTCCAGGACCTGGGAGATGCCCCTGTTGGAGCGACTCACGACGCGCCATGCCTCCTCGATCCCATCCACGCTGCTTGCAGCACACGGCAGACGTCTCCTCTACCTGCACGTCTATCCATCCAAGATCGAGTCGGCGGCCGCCGGTGTCGATTTCAAACGTCTGACGGAGCTGTGCCCCCTCTTGGAACACCTCGTACTACCACGCCTAGTACATCATAACCACTGGAGGGCCCCACATGCGCTGAGGGTGCCGCTGGGCGCCCTGCGGTATGTGGACATATGGGCTTGGTACAATCGGCCCATGGCTGATTTTTTCGGAGGTGGGTGCAGTCCAGTTCAGGTTCTTGCCTACAGACCTCCTGCACGTGGACCTCCCCGCGATATGTGACCCCAGGACCCCATTGGGCGACGAGGCCGGGCGCAAAGTATACTTCCCTGGGATGCGCGCCTCGTGGTCGAAACACCGCATCCTCCACGATCGCGGACTCTACGCGGGCGATGACGAGCCGGGGGACTACTACGTGGAGAGCGAGGAGTCCGACTCCAACTCCGAGAACTCGGACGACGAGGATTCGTCCATTGGGCCGGACACAGACGAATCCGAGAATTTATCGACCGAAGAGGACATGAACGACATCGAAGAGGAGGAAGGAGATGATGCGGACAACGTGAAGTCAGAGGATGGGGATGGAAGCGAGCCAGAGGGCAATGGAGGGGGCGAGGCCCAAGAGGACGGCGGCGAGGGGGTGCGCGAGTCTGGTGAGCGCGAGGAGGACATCTCGGAGAACGAGTCGGACTATTGGCAGCCCGACGAGCAGCTCGATCGCGACACCGTGTTGGAGATGTTCATGGCGAGCCGTGACGGCGATTAGGCTGTGAAGATATCTATCTCAAGTTGCCGTCGCTCAATAGCGATATGAGACAGTGGTACACAGTATGTAATATAATACGAGATCTTTGAGGCACTTGTGAGCCGTGTACGATATCTGAAATGGAGACTGCAACGCGTATGCTTCAATTGAGTGTCAACCCCGACGAATCACGTTTGCGCTGCGGGCGTGGTGCGTAGCCGTTTGAGCGCAGAATCCTCGCAGGAACCTTCATGCAGCGCACTGCGCTTGGACGACCTTTTCGCCGGCCTCTCCGTCGTATTCTCGTCGTCCGCCTCGGGGTCGGAATGTTGCAGGAGCTGATCCGGCTGCTTGTCATCCTCCGGCCAAATCTCATCGACGGCACAGAGCCACTCGAACAGCAAATTGGCCATGGCTCTGTGACTCTCGAGCTTCTTCGCGCGCCGCTCCACCGCCGCACGGTACTGCTGGAACAACTCTGTCCTAGTCGCCAACTGAGAGGCGCTCGGGAGGCTCCGCTGGTACTGCTCGAAGCGCCTGCGGTCGCGAGCATTGGTAGGCTCCTTGAGGTGGAGTATCGGCGAACGCGCAGGCTTGAGGTCGGGTAGTTGGTAGTACGCCCGGAACCAACTGAGGAGCTCGGTGAATATGGCGTCGATGGGATGGAGGTCGGCCGTAAACCATGTCCGCAACGCTTCCACGGGTGTAGATGACGCTTCGCTTGAGTGTGAGGTGGGATCCCCCAGGCTAGGGAGCTGTCCCATAGCAGGAGCCTCCGTGGTTGGCTTCTGCGGATAGCGACGGAAAAACTGCAAAGGAGTTATCGGGTTCGTGCGAAGCCCCCTGCTGCCGTTGAGCGTGCTCTGCTTGACCACGCCGCAGTAGTAGTCCTTGCCGTTGGAGGTACGCCCGGTGTCGAAGTACTCGAAGATAAACTTGTAGACATCATCGCAGTTGTGCGGGAGCCACCGGATGGCGAACCAGAGCATGGCATGGAAGAACGACTCAAGGTCGTCTGAGATGAGGATCGGCTTGGTAGGATTGTTTAAAGCGTTGACGGACATGAATTGCCAGGTCCCCTGAAGGTGTGTCAGCAATGGCATGATCTCTGAACGCAGGCGCGGAGGAGCGTACCGGTCGATCAGGGTCGGTCAAGGTTTCGCTTCCTTGGTCGACGCGCTTCGACAACTCCCAGTCGATGAGGAGCCCCTCGTAGATAGTTTTTCCATCCGACTCCTCCCTAGGCAGCATGAGGAGGTTACCACAGCTGATGTCTCGGTGGATCACTCCCGCCTTCAGGTAGGCGTCCTCATGAGCTGGATAACATGTTAGCAACCGCAAGACATCAAATGCATTGAAATGCTCACCTTCTAAACAATCGAGGAATATAGACACTAGTTGTTTTCCATTCTTGAACTCGCGCAGGGGGATTCCAACCTCTTTCACGACGAGGCGGTAGTGCCTGTGGTGCTTCATACGGCATTGTACTCCTGCGTGCTTGGCTCTCCATACGTCTTGCAAGACGGTCTCTTGCCCACCAACGTCGCCGTCGCAAATCCTAGTCGGAATGCTCCTCACGCCGCACCCGTTGAGATACGAGAGGATTGCACCTTCCGTCTCCGTCTGCTCGTGAACGACTCGCCAGCAGTCCTTGAGGAACACGATAGGATGATCCGGATTGCACAGGTCAAGAGCCACGTAGCCTCTGGTGCCCCTGCCAACCAGTCCGGAAGCAACGAACGTAGGCTTCCCGACCAGGAAGTCGCGAGGGCCCCCGGCGTCCTCGACTGTGATCCGCCACCAAGGCCAGTCACCGACGAGAGTTTCCTGGAAGAGTAGGCGTGCGTAATCTCCGGTACGGCTGGGAGTCGAGCCGCAAGCCATCATCAAATCGTAGTCGGGGGTCCCGGGAAGGACTAGAGACGCAGTTGGATCGTGGCCCCTTTGAGCGGCGGAGAGACGCGAGAACCGCCAGAGGAACATCGCCAGCTTGGCAGGCTCCGCCGAGTAGTCGAACTTTTCCGTGAAGATAGCGCCAGCACGGTCTAATCGGACGACGCGAGCGCAGGTGCCGAATACGATGATGGTATAGTGGTGGGTGCGGTATTGGCGATCGAAGACGAGAGTCCCGCAGGACAAGATCTGCTGGAGGACAGCTTTTCGCCTGCTCCAAGAGGAGTCCTCATGCTCCGTGCTGTCGTCGAATGGATCGTCATGGACATCGACCTTGCACACAACAGAAAGTTCGATCGTGGACCAGTCCGCTTGGCCGCCGAGGGTGGGGGCGGAGTCTTTGGCATACATGCCCCCATGGCTGGTCTGTTGAGTATCGCCAGATGCATCGTCATCGGCTTTTGTGGTTACGAAGACGAATCCCTCCAAGATGCCAGCTTCATTGATGGCGTCGGCCTTGATGGAAACAGTTTGGAACATAAGCATGGACTGCGAGCAGGAGGACTAGAATTCGCGTACCAGAGTGCGGAACGTATCAGCTTCCCCGTCCCCAACCTGCGGGATATCGTTGAACAGCGCTGCGAACGGAATCTCACCAGGGTCCTCTCCGGGCACGAACGAGTCCAGCATTTCATCGAAGGGGACCTCTACTGATTTCTCGAACATGGTGAAGCGAACTGGGTACAGCGGAGCGAACGAAGGGGAGAGCACGAGTGGGGGAGAGACGCAGTGAAGTGTCAGATGAAGGGCGTCTTTGCCCTATGGGGGAACGTTATGGCAAGAGTATGGCCCGATTGATGGCTATTGTTCGCCTAGTGGCTAACTGGCATGCCTCGGCGACGTGGCAGTTGATATCCCTGAAGGTCCCCCTAGGGCCTATATTCTGATCCAATGTGTCAAAAATTCGTGGATATGGGTCATAGGATGCAACTCCCACAGCGCGCCGATGGTCATGTCTGGTTACTTGATACAGGCCAACGGCCAACTGTTTCAGCAACTTGAAGATGCTCACGATGTTCAGAGGTGCGTGAGATTCAGAGCTGCAAGGGTCCAATGAGGTGTAGGAGCGTGTGCAATACTTCGATGTGCATGGCCAATTACGATGGATGCATTAAAGTAGTATCAGCTTCGAGCATGCGGGATGGATGATGGAACGTGGCAGAGTCGCATAGTCTCGCTCGATTTGGAAGACGGAGGCTTTGGATCCTAATACAACCAAACAACGCCACTTACGCTGCCGCCAAGCCTGAGAATGCGGGGTTAGCACTGGACCACCTGCTTGAGTTCCCTCATTTTGGGCCGATAAAACCAGAAATTGTGAGTATTATGCTTGAATTTGTGGACATGCTTTGCCTGACATTGCAGCAGAAACACCATGCCAGACGTGCAGGCCAGCCAAGCCCTCTACGACCGTGTGTTCACCATTTCTACTCATCGCGTCTCAAGTTTGGTGCACTCAGACATGGTCCACAGTCGCGCGGAAATGGTTCGCAATCATACCGCCCATCATATGTCCCGCGACCTTCGCGTTTGACGCCCCTTTCGGGCGGTTCACACCCTCGCAGGACAGCATATTCCTCGTTGATGGTGCGTCTACCCGTTAACTCCGTCAATACGCCTCTCAACCCCCACGCACCCAGGCCTGAGGTCATGGATCTTCATGGAGCTCATCTCCCCCGCAACATTCATCTACGCCTTCCTACACTCCCCACTATCACCTACGGCGGCGGGAACTGCGCCCCCTCTCACGCTCTCCCACCCGCCTACATTCCTGGCAGCGCTGTTCTTACTGCACTACCTCAACCGCGCGATCATCTCCCCCCTCCGCACACCCTCGCGCTCGAAGTCCCACATCTCCGTCCCGCTCTCCGCCGTGCTCTTCAACACCGTGAACGGCTCGCTCCTCGGCGCATACCTCTCCTCGCCCGCCGCGCACGCCTACCTCTCCGGGGCGTTCTCAAGCCCGCGCTTCTGGGCGGGTATCGCCGCGTGGGCCGTCGGCCTCGCGGGCAACATCGTGCATGACGAGATCCTGCTGAACCTCCGCCGCACGGCGAAGAAGAACAAGGCGAAGGCCGCGAAGGACGGCGACGGCGACGGCGCGCAGGAGAAGAGCAAGGGCGAGCACTACGCGGTCCCGCACGGGCTGCTGTACCGCTACATCTCGTACCCGAACTACTTCTGCGAGTGGGCGGAGTGGCTGGGGTTCGCGTGCGCGGCGGCGCCTGCGCCCGCGGTCACGTCGCTGAGCGCGTTCTTCGCGACGGCGAGCCCGCCGTGGCTGTTCTTCCTGTCGGAGGTGTTCTTGATGTTCCCGCGCGCGTGGAGGGGGCACCTGTGGTACCTCAACCGATTCCCGGACTATCCGAAGGAGCGCAAGGCGGTCATACCCTTCGTGCTGTGATCTGTAATTCTGCGCTACGTGCTACTATATACTCGTCCAACTGTTTCAGTACTCTGGACATGATGTTATGCATTGTATCAGGGCTATCTTTGCAAGTTTGTAACGCCGCTGAGCGGCAACACCCGCTACTGAAGCGATATCGCTGTATTCGCGCAGGAGCGAGCCGCTGGTGGAGGTCCCCAGTACTCGATGACACTGAACGACGATGCACGGCAGGATGATCATGCAGTGGTCGCGACCGCCAACCCTTCAAGATAGCAGGCGCTGCCAGAATTTCACGCAACGCGACATTACAGCCATGAGTATATCTGCATTATCCGGGGTGAATAGAGCATCGGTATGGTATACGTAGCAGATCGTCTAGGTCATGGCAAGCGCGTATCGACCTGTCGCATCACAAGGTCAGCCTACGTCTCAGTATCCGAGCTACGAGAAGAAGCGACATACGGAGTACAAACGCCCACACCCACTCATCGACGCGCACTGGCGCTGTAGCGCGCCTTGCGCCCAAAGTCGAATGGGATGTACTTGTACTTGATCATGTGTCTGTCGCGGGGGCTCAGCAAACACTCGCGGGAAAATCATGATGATGGACAGGGACGTACTGTATTTGGCGGCGCATGGTGAGCGCGAAGAGCACGAACCAGTAGACGACGAGGATCGGCCAGTAGACGGGCACGTCGAACATCTCGAAGAACGTGCATACGATCGCGACGAGCGTCGCGCGCGTCGCAGACAGCCTGGCGGGGCCACAATTAGCACGAGCGTATCTGGGGGAAGACAATTGCCAGGGGTGCGCACCAAAACTGCCACTCTGGCAACCGCCGCACAAATGGCCTGAACTCGTCGTCGCGCGAGGACGGCAGAGGTGACTGGGACTCCTCTCCGCCCTCTTCGATCTCGTCCGCGAGGAGGTCGTCTTGCAGCGAGGGGTCAAATTTGGGCTGGAGGAAGGCGAGGAGCAGGTTGAGGAGGTAGATTGCCTGGGCGTCTGAAGAAGGCGACGAAGTCAGGTCGTTTCTGGGTCACAGCGACGGTGTGAAGACATACAGGCCACTGTCAGGGGTTGTCAGTATCATCTCGTATGGTATGAAAGGAGGCAGGACGTACCAATATACCACTACGATAGTGCAAGAACAGGAGAGCGCCCGAACTCGTCAATTTCGCTATCCAAGGCCAAGATATACCTTGCAGACTCACCCCTTCCGCAAAGACGATCCTCAGCATGAACAGTGACAGGAGCCCTGCAGTTCCCAGCCAGCGGTAGAGCACGAACGGCGTGACGCGGTCGAGCCATTGCTGGTACGTCCTCTGGCCCTTGGCGAGGTAGTTTGCCAGGGGCTCCATGGGGCCCGAAGACTCCGTATCCGATGAGGCCATCATTTTCCCGAGTTTTGTGGGTTTTCTGTACAGATAGCGGAGTACGGGTGGAAGAAGAGGGGGCGGCGGAGCAGGAGATGGAGGTGGAGGTGGAGGACAGAAACCTGCGCGCTCGACACGAGTACGCAGGTAGCGCAGCCAGCTTCCGCGCGGCGTTTGCCGAGCACTGGTGCAGCTCGGGCCGCGCGGGATCGCGGCTTAGTCGCGGGACCCATCCACTCCGCGGACAATATTGTCGTGCTCACGATGGCACATAGCGTTCGCGCTATCGTTGGCATCTACGACCACGACTAGCAGGAAGAATACGATGAGCGTACAGCAGCAGGTTGTGAGTTTGTCTCTACAAACGCGGGTTCTTGGGTACTAACGCGCGCGGATATCTAGACCTCTTCCGATGTTCCCGAGGCCGTGCCTTATATGGAATCGCACATACTCGCAGAACTCGCACGGTATCGCACAAGATGGAATGCGCAAGACGGGAAGCGCGCGATCCCGCCGCTCATTGTCGGCGTGCAAGGACCACAAGGCAGCGGCAAGACCTACCTGACGTCTATCCTCCGAGACGTGCTCCAGGCACCACCGCACAACCTCGCCGTCACGGTGCTCTCTTTGGACGACCTGTACCTCCCCCACGCAGGTCTCGCTAGTCTAGCGGCCGCACATCCGGACAACGCGCTACTCAGAGGGCGCGGTCAGCCCGGCACGCATGACGTGCCCCTCGGGACGGAGCTTTTGAACAAGCTCAAGAACATCAACGATCGCACGGCCGGAGGCGCTGAGGTGCACCTCCCAGGCTTCGACAAGAGCCTCTTCAACGGCGAGGGCGACCGTGTACCCGGACTGGTCGTCCGCCCACCGGTAGACGTCGTGCTCTTCGAAGGTTGGTGTGTTGGGTTCTACCCAATCTCGGCGGCCGAGGTCGAGCGTCGCTATTCCGCGCCCGTCACGGGGCTGGGAGACGATTTCTTCGGGAAGAGGGGATATCGGATAGAGGACGTTTTGGATGTGAACGAGCGGCTCAGGAGTTACGTCTCGTGGTGGAATCTCTTTGATGCGTTCATCCAGGTGGGCACCCATCCAGTGCACGGTAGCCTCCTGCCGCTAAGCATATTGCGTGTAGATCGCGCCTCCAGATGATCATCCATATGACTACATCTACAAGTGGCGGCTACAACAGGAGCATCATATGAAGGCACGAAACGGCGGAAAAGGCATGAGTGATGTGCAAGTCGAAGGGTAAGTCTGTCTTGTCAGTTCATAGCTTCGCTAGAGTAAATCCTGTATTCGCAGATTTGTGGACCGCTACATTCCGGGATACGTGTTCTTTGGAGACGGAGTAACCGAAGGATATGAGGAGAGCCCAGGCAGAAGAACGCGGCCACCATGGTCAGGTCGCGGCCTCCGCGTCCAGATCGGCGCGGAAAGGGAGCCCGTTCGCGTCGACCGATTTTAATTTTGAAGTAGTGAACGCGTTATGTTATTATAACATCTGAAGGAATTCTAGTCCCTGGGTTTGCCGTTTTGCAAGAGCGTTCTCTGGGTTCGCAATGCCTTGCTGGTTTATGACGTACTAGTAGATATGAAGTTTACGGCAATATGAATGCAGTGGGAGGCGGAAGGCTGGCTGACAGTGTTTACCCACGTCCAAAAAGTCGCGCGTCCAGAAATTCGCACATCCAAAAAATCGCGCGTCCAAGAAGTCGCGCATCCGAAAAACCGCGTATCCAAAAAACCGCGCAGCTGCGTACTCAATTGGTTGTCTGTCGGGATGAGTGTGGCAAGTTACGAGGCAAATGGGCGCTCCGATCAGACCTGGGGGGATATAAGCTGGGCTCCTCGACGACCAAGGGATTCCTCCAGTCCACCATCTCACAACTCCAAAGCTCATCTGCCACTCACCTCACCTCGCAACTCTACATCATGTGCTCCGTACGTGCCCACGGCTCACCCTTACCCCGCACTGCATGTGCTGACCACCGGTGTGCTCCTATGTAGACCACCGATGCCCCGAAGAACGCGGCCGCTTGCGGCCTCGACTCCTGCAGCTGCGGCGAGGCGTAAGCATCATCCACATTGAAGAGGGCTTGGTCACTCACCTTCTCTTCCAGTTGCGGCTGCAAGGCCAGCGAGTGCAAGTGCTGAACGCCTCGCCACTCCAAGCCCCCTCCCTATCCCTCATGCTCAGTGATCACATACCTCCACTTCCCCGATCAAGTCTTGCGTGGGTAGTACAGGGTCAGCGTGTCGGATAGGCTGTAGGATTGGGACTCTGTATCACCAGTGATTGTACTATCCTGTGAATGTAAGCCAATATGTGCTGTACCGCGAGGGAGAGACTGCTGCGGGGTCGTGCTCACTTGAAGTGGAGGCGATCCGGGTATCGATCCCATATGAGTGTGCTAGATTATGGTACACTAGCTCCTTCCCGTGTCTTCGGCCCGGCCATGCGTGCTTGACTGAAAATGTACTCATTGGAATGTTAAGTACCCCGGTGAGTGAGGTCAAATTCTATGGAGTACAATACATGACCGAGTCAGCCATATTACCGTTCGCAATTTTCGAAACAGATATATACACTTACCTCCGGGCAGAGATAGGCTAGGTGGTCGACCTACTCACCTGCGTGCCAGTGTACCCATACCCATGGGATGGGCGGCAAGCTCGTACCTACCTTGATATGTGTGTGTGTTCCTGCACGACGTCGGCGTTGGTGGACGAACTCGAACTGAGCAACCTGAAGATGTCGTAACCACGGGCCGCCAAACATATAATTTCCTGTATTGCCTTTTTGGTCAAGATCCCTCGGGCGCTTACTGCGCTTCAGCATCTTGACTCTGGACTCTCATCTCTGTCTGTAGGCCTTCGACGCACTCGTCTCTTTGCAGGATGGCCCTCATTGAAGTGAGTGGTTTAAAGGCCTCTAGAATGTGAGCTCGCTAATATGTCAAACCCACTCTCAATCACCCGCTCGCTCTCGTACTTTGCACGCACACTACTACGATGCCGACTCATGCAGGTTATTGCTAACGACCGTCTGGGGCGCAAAGGTACGCGGCATGTTCCTCCATACTACGCGTAAGCTGACGGGTCTTCTGAAAGTCCGCGTGAAGTGCAGTCCCGACGACACCGTCGGCGACCTGAAGCGGCTCATCGCCGCCCAGACCGGTACGGATCACACCAAGATCCAGCTGAAGAAGTGGTGCGTCCTGCTTCCCAATCTCGCTCAGTGCAGGGACCTCACTTTCAGCGTGTGTTTTCTTTCCAGGTACACGATCTACAAGGACCACATCACGCTCGCGGACTACGAGATCCACGACGGGATGAGTCTGGAGATGTACTAGGCTTGCATCCCGCTCTGCACCCTCCCCCGGCCGATGTCCCTTGCTCCTGTTCTATCGGCCCTTCCTGTCCTGAAATGTTGTTGTATTCGGTGATGTATCAATACTAGTCCGGAATGCTCTGTGCGCGTGTAGCCGCAGCCTAGCTAGGGGACGCCGTCAAGCAGACCATCCACTCCACCTTCAGAGATCGTCCCACTCGTACATGCGATCAGGCAAGAAAAAGAAGATAGGAAGGATTGTTCTACTCAGAGTCCCATTCGACGGCGACCCAACGGTGGGTCAAGACTTGCGGAAACTGTGCCCCGATGTGAACCTGCTGGCCATAGTCAATGAGCAGAATTGGTCGTCGGCACACTGTGTTAGTTCCTTCACAATTCACGCATTTCTGACAAATTTCCTTCGCGATTTAGATCCAGGAGTGACTTCCAAAGCTGCCAAACCAAGAAAACCCAGTTAGCCACCAGGTGAACAATCGTCATCGGCTTAGCCATATTTTGATCGTACAATGACGCCTCTTCGTTTAGCGCAGACGCCTCTTGATCCTGAGCCTCAACTTACCCGGGCATCGCTCTCCCTCGTTTGCTCTGCATCACTACCTTCTTTCGCATCACCATGTTAGAAGATGCAGTGGAGGTCTCCTTCGATGAGATGCTAGACTCGTTTGTGCCCGGAGAGGATCCGGGCGATGCACCGTTCGCAAAGCTATTCAACGACATCCCGCAGGGCGAGGGCAAGGAGAAGGATATGTACAACGCTCTGGTACGCACTTCATACATTTGCCCGCAGCCCGTGCTTATGTTTGGACCTGTTTCCTCAAGGTGAACGCCGTTCATGACGCTGGCATTCTAGAGGGGTTCGTCCTCGTAACCACAGAAGCTGTTGATGCAGCTGGTGAAACTCGGCAGACCATCCATGGCGGCATGTATGCTACGGACTCCGCCCCCACCCCCGGCAGCCAAGCGAACTGGTCCGCGATCGAACTTTCCGTTGTGTGCACGGTCGATGGCCAGGACGATCCATTCGAAAACAGCGCGGAGCATGGGGACCCTTCCTGGAGCAGGCGAAAAGCTGTCCTAGAGCAGATCTTGTCCTACGGAACTCTCGTCTTCGATCGCCAACATCGCACCCATTACTACACCATCATCGTATTCGGCACCTTCGCTCGCGTCGTCCGGTTGGACCGTGCTGGCGCTATCTTCACGGAGAAGTTCGACTACGCGGACGAGACTGCGAAGCTGGCGAGGTTCCTCCGGCGGTTCTCGCGTCTCTCTGCCGTACAAAGGGGCCACGATCCAACTGCGTCTCGAGTCCTCCCCGGGACTCCCGACTACGATTTAATGATGGCTTGCGGCTCAACTCCCCGCCCCATCGGAGACTACGCGCGCCTACTCTTTCAGGAAACTCTCGCCGGCGACTGGCCTTGGTGGCTGATTACTGTCGAGGACACCGGGGGCCCTCGCGATTTCCTGGTAGGGAAGCCGACCTTCATCGCTTCCGAACTTGTTGGCAGGGGTACCAGAGGCTACGTGGCTCTTGACCCATGCGACCCGGACCATCCCATCGTGTTCCTCAAGGACTGTTGGCGAGTCGTTCGCGGGGGCAGAGAAACGGAAGGCGCCATCCTCTCGTACCTCAACGGGTGCGGCGTGACGGGGATTCCGACCCGGCTGTGTGATGGCGACGTCGGCGGGCAAGAGACCGTCTCACAAGACGTTTGGAAGACGAAGCACGTGGGAGAAGCATCTGGAATGAAACACTACAAGCACTACCGCCTCGTCGTGAAGGAAGTTGGAATTCCGTTGCGCGAGTTCAAGAACGGGAGACAGCTCGTGTCTATATTCCTTGATTGCCTCGAAGGTGATCATCGTTGCATCCTATGCTTCCTGGTTGTACTAACATATTGTTCAGCTCACGAGGATGCCTACCTGAAGGCAGGAGTAATCCACAGAGACATTAGCTGTGGTAACCTCCTTATGTTACCTAGGGAGAAGCCGGATGGAAGAACCGTCTACGAGGGGCTCCTCGTTGATTGGGAGTTATCGAAACGTAAGGATCAAGAAAGCGGGAGCTCAGGCGACCCTGTCCGACAGGTACGCACCTTCGTACTTGCGTTCGGAGGTCTTCTTCTGACACACCTTCAGGGGACCTGGCAGTTCATGTCCGCCAACGCTCTAAACAATCCTGGCAAGCAAATTCTCATTCCAGACGAGCTCGAGTCGTTCTTCCATGCCTTACTCTGGTTCGCCATCCGGTGGCTCCCGCATAACTGCAGGGACGTCGGCCGCTTCGTCTACAACTACTTCGACACCGGGCGTACCGACAATGACAAGGACTATTACTGCGGCGCGGTCAAACACGACACGCTCTTATGCGGAAAGCTCTGCACGAACACGAAGACTCCGCTGCGTTTCCTCTGTCACTCCCCGCTGAAGCAACACTCCGAGGGCTCTTCTGCTTACCTGCCCACGTCAAGTAATCTCTCCAGCTCAAGCAAAGCGTCGCCTTCGCTTGTGAAAGCTTGCGAACGGTCCGAAGCGGAAATACATCCCATCAACGCCATATTCGCCCAGCTGCTCAACTGGTTCGAAGCATCCTACGCACTTGCCGACCGTCGCCCGGAGCCGGCGCGGATCGTAGCCCCACTGCAGAAACCCCTCGATCCGGACGGCGCTCTCCGCTTCGAGAGATACCAGCGTCGTCGTCTCGCGGAGGGCCTAAGCGCTCTGCCGACGGTCGCGGAACTTGAGCGTCAAGTGTGTAGTAGTCAACTGATACGTGCAGAGATGGAGTGGCGGGCGAAGAACCTCGAGAGCCACGCAGCCATGGTGGAGTTCCTGTACACGCAGCTCCTCGATGTCGACGTTGTGTGGCCGGAGGACGACAAGCAGCCAGATCAGCTCCTGCAGGATCCTGATCCGGAGAAGGAATCTGAAAATCAGAACACGGCAGAAAAGCCGGAGGGTTTGTCCAAGCGTGGTCCGCTGCACGAGAGTCCATCCTCGGGTTCTGCACGAAAACGGCTACGCACCACGCCCGCATCGCAGAATGCATGATTCGTGAGGTGTTATTGTAAACTTAGCGTGTTGGCCTTTATCATGTACCGCTATCTCATCCCGCTATCGAGCGACAACTTAAGTTAGATATTCTCCTCAGCCGAATCGGCGTCCTTGCTTGCCATGAACATATCCTCCTCACGCTCAGTGACCCTGGAGTATCCGCCCCCGCCGTCTTGTCCGCTTTGTTCGCTCCACTCCCCTCTGGCTCGGTCTCGACAGCCTCTCCAACTCCACGTGAAACTCAATCTTCGCACAAATCAGACATGTGTGAGCACAGCAGCACCCCGCCATTGGCGGGGCTCGGGAAGTGTTCAATTGGGGTCGTCGACGTGTACGACTTCGTAAGTAGGGAGTTGCAAAGGAAGACAGGGCGAGCACAGGCAGTCGATATCGGGTCTCAAGTAGAGTACTACAGCGTTAACTTATACGGTCCGTGACAAGGAGCGTTTTCTCCTACACGCGCGGAACGTGAACATATTCACCTATTCACCGACCAACATGACCACTCCAACGCGCACCGTCGTTATGCGGAGATGGAGACAGCCTTCGACGCGTCGTCCTTCTTGCCCGCCTGGGCCGCCGCGATCGCCTTCTGCGCCTCGTTCTTGCGCTCCTCCATCTCCTTCACCTTCTTCTCCAGGTCCGCCGCACTGCTCGACGCCGTGGGCGGCGGCACGGCCTTTGCAGCCGCTGCGTCTGCCTCCCCCGCGCCGTCCGCCTTCTTGAACGACATGCTCTTGTGCGGGCTCGGCGCGCCAATGGAGCCCGTCTCCGGCGTCGGCACGTTCACCATGCCCCCGGACGGTGCGAGCCCGCGGTGGAACGTCGTCGGCAGCACGCGGCCCTCCGGGTGCTGGAACGGGCACGACGCGCGGGTGCACGCCGCCCCGAACCGACACGGCTGCGCGAAGTGGCCGCCGGTCTGCTGCTGTCGCGGCGGGTGCGAGAAGGTGCAGCCGGCGCGCGTGCACCCTGCGCCAAAGCGGCACGGGACGGCGGTCGGTTGCTGCTGTTGCACGGGAGGGGTGGGCGCAACGAATGCGTTGGGTTTGGGGACTTCAGCTAGGGCAGAACAAGTCAGGGCGTGCATACGGGAGCCACCGAAGAAATGATATTTACCATTCGGGTTAAGCACTGCGGGACTGACGTGCGCCTTGATGCAATCCTTGTCCTTGCAGTTTTTGCCGTTCTCGCACGCGTCGTTGCTGAGCACGACACCGCTCTCCGGCGTCGCGACGGGCGAGGGATGCGAATACCGGCAAATGGGGTTCGTGCACTTCAGGCTGAACTTGCATAGCGTCGGTGACTGAGGACGTTCGGGGGCGACGAAACCACCGCGCGTAGATCCCGTGGACGTGGACGCCGTAATGGGCGCGGGGGCAGCGATCACAGGCGCCGACGTGGTCGCGGTCGCCGGTGTTGGCGCGGGAGGGTGTGGCGTAGGGCCGGACGCTGGTACGCCATTGCTTGACGGTCCCTCGGAGTGGTGACCAACATGGCCACCCCGTCCGCGACCTGTTCCTCGGCCAGCTCCGCGTCCTCGCCCGCGGCCCCTGTTATCCGGACCTCCGTGCGGCATGCCACCCTGCATCCCGTTGAACCCGCCCATATCTCCACCCATCCCGGGTTGCATCGGCATCCCACCGTTCATGAACTGGGGTCCCTGCGGCAGGATACCCATCGCGCCTGCCATTTGCGCCATCATCGCCATTTGGCTCATCATCATCTCCTGCAGCATCATCGGATTCGCCATGTTCATCGCGTTCATGTCCATCCCCGGCATGCCGTTCATGGGGAACCCGCCGTTCATCATCATCATGTTGGGGTCGGGCGGGCCGTTCGTGATGCTGTCAATGCGTGCCTGTACGTCGTCATGAGGATTGTATTGGCCGTGACCGCCTCTTGCAGGGCCGACTCGGTCCAGGAGACTGCGCGAGTTGCCACCGCCGGGACCATGTCCACCAGGACCATCACGGAACATTGCACGAGGGCCTGTGGGGAGGTCTGTACGTCGTGACTTTGAAGGTGGGCCGCCGCTGGGAGAGGGGGAACGGGCAGATGCGGTGCGTTTCTGGGCGGATGGGGAGGTGGATGGAAGAGCTTGGGCGATAGCAGACTGGTAGATGGGCGCGGTCGCACGAAGGCCGTTTGGCGGTCTCCGTTGCGTGTCAAGGGCTTGATGGGGAGGTGAATCGCGTACGGGAGGGTGGGTTGAGGAGGAGGGTTCTGCTACAGCGGGAGCCTCGGACGCAGGGGCGCCTTTAGCGGCTTCGGCGAAGAGCCAGTCGACAAAGCTAGCATCTACAATGGAGTCAGCTTGGAACTATGGACGATTGTCGCCACACTCACCGAAGTCTGACCCAATTACTATTGCCGTCCAGCAAATTCTCAGTACTCGCATCTCACAAAGCGCGAAGGGGGCTTACAGTCTTCCAGTTCCGACGATATCTGGGCTGTGGAGATGTCAGAGCGCGGACGTTCACGATATGCGCGAATACGCACCTGGTGTTTTGTTGTTGATGATCATAATGGTGATGTACTCCGCCATAACAGGGTCTTCGCGAGTGCTCAGCCTCAGAAGGACCCTGAAGATGTGTTTGCACTCACCGGCATCGGGGCTAAACCCTCGCTTCATTAGCTCGTCTCGGATGGCATTCTACGTCGAGATTAGCGCATGTGTGACTCTGACTCTCCATGAGCACTCACCTGAAGCGCAGTTGCACGCTCCGTGCCGATAGTGAGCCCAAACGCCATAGCAAGAGAGGAGGGGGATGGTGGTTAGGAGGCAAGGTGGGTGATTTGGCCACAACGTCGTTGCGTGCATATGGCTTAGATTACCAACAAAGGTTACCCTTCCATCGGAGCTTACATTTAAGCGCCTAATAACAGGTCAGATGAGTTGTATTTTGGAAGCCCGACATATGATAAGCAGGGTTGAGTATAATGCCTGAATTCAACACTCGGATAAGCCTCTAAGCTCTGAAATGATAGCTAATTAGTCGGGGGGATTAGACTTAATGGAGTCCTGATTCACCGCACCCTACTTGCTTGTACTCCTCATCTGCTACGTACTACTCATAAGTACTGTCCCTCTACCATCTCGCATCCGCGAGAACCTCGAGACCTATCAGGCCGAATGTGCGCTCATAAAAGTACGTGTGACTGGAACAATATCAGAAACCGTCAGACTGATCCTACTTAATGTGTGTAGAAATCTGAAAGTCGGTCGCTCCGCACACAGAAAAGATTTCCATCCTTTCGACCTCCCAACTGTACGTCCCCATGAACACCTCCCACTACGACCGCAATCCCGCCTACAGGTGGCGTAGCTATCCCAGAGCATTCAACTCGGCTATTCGATCAAGGGGTTCAGCTGGGGTGGCAGTGTCCGTTCAACTCAGCGAGGCGCGGACGCCGCAGTGCCTCTTGGCGCGCGGAGCGCGGCTGTACATCTCCCCACTGGCAACCAGCGTGCAACATGCCAACTCGTTCTTGTCTTTCGCCACCTGACATCTCTCTCTTGTACTTGTGAAGATCTGTATAACCTTCTGAACAGATGAGCGTAACCCCTATGCTCCGACTTCTCGCCTCGAGCTCCAGAACGTCTGCGCGCTCGACGGTGACATCGTCAAAAACTGGCGCGCGGCCTTCAGCTTCGAGTTCGAATTTCACCGCCGGTGGCAGTCGGTCTCGGAGCACATATACCCGCCGTGTACTGCGGCGCCCTGACGAACTCACTCGTGCAAAGATACAAGTCGAGGCTGTATCTGGCGAACTTCCGTCTACGCCTTCCGGATCCCCGACCGGCTTCGGGGGGTCTGGAGGCGGAGCAGCCAACGGCGCTCGTGACGCTGTGTTGACGACTATCTTTGGCGTTATAGTCTGTGAGTGTTGTATTTTATATGATGAATAAATCTTATTTGTTTCGAGCTGTATGTTTATGGCGGCTGTCTTCAGACATTCTGTCGGGTGTCTGAAGAAATCCGCATGTTCAGGTCGACGTGTTGTTTGTGCGTAGCTCACGCTCAAACAACACACCTCACGCCTATTAATTCATCCCACCTTGCGCCTTTGAGATGGGTTTTCAATGGCCGGATGATTCCTTCATTCTGCTGAATACGTCGGGACTCTGACGCATACAAGCTTCAACGAGGTGCCCGAGTGGTGCCTTGTGAGTCTATAACGTCACTCTTCTGTCCAGCATACTCGGGACGGCACCAGACATGAAGCGTTGGTAAAGGAGAAACTTCCACTTTATTACGGAGCGTCTGTCGCTCGCCGCGCGAGTCCAATTGATATGGCGTGCGCTGTCTGTGCGAGATTTTGCAGAAACTACAGAGTCGCCGGAAAGGCAAGCCCCATTCTGCCCAACATCCGCCAGGTCAATGGTGATACCTTGCCTTAGTCGCACTCTTTTTAGTCTCCAAGATGAAGCTGAGCCTCACGACGACCTCCCAGTTTCGTCGCTCAGCAGACAGAGAGCTGTGTCAAGCTGCTGAGCGAGGATAAGCAGATCAGGGTTACTGACAGTTGTCGTTGGCACCTGGAGAGAGAAGTACGGGACGTTCGCAGACCGCGAGACGGACACGGTCTGACTATATGCACCTAATGTGTCTTGTACTCTGCATTTCGTCAATTTGTTTTCTTGAGGGCCGTGATTGTAGCACTCAAAACAGCTGCTAACCTTTTCGAAAGTGTTCACAGGCGGTGTCGTGTACATGTCTTGGTACAAGGAGAACGTCCTTTGGAAGGTATGAGAATCTCTTGCATGGCCAACTTGCCCATTTCTACCCTCCGTATAGATCGAGAAAGCCTTCGCAGCAGGATATGACCCGGCACTCGAACTCGCGAAAAACGCCATCAAGAGGCCCAATGAGGCGGTAGCGGTAGTCGCAGGCGAAGAGCTCGAATGGGACCTCGAGGGGCCGTGGACGCAGCACCTGCGGCGCTCAGAGCAAGACCTCATCGACCGCATCATCAAGGGTCAAGAAGTCGGGCACTACTTCATCTTGCTCGGACCTAAGGTGCGTACTGTCTCCGCCCTACGCGCAGTGGGCTGCCGTTGATCATTGTCTCCTGTGACGGTTCGGGTCCACAGGGTACGGGGAAGACGACGATGATCCTCGACGCGATGCAGGCGGTGCAGGCCGAGGGCGTCGCGATGTGCGACGCGCATCCCGACCTCGAAGTCTTCCGCCTGCGCCTCGGCAAGGCGTTGAACTATGAGTACAACGAGGACACGCAGACGGGCCTCTTCCAGCGGAGGGATCCGCGCGAAGGTCAGTTCCCTGGGGGAGATCCCGCAACCCTAACTCTGATACCCTGATCTATGCAGGTGGACCGGCGTTGGACATCGAGCGGGGTAAGCGATGTGCGCAGGCGCAGTGAATGCAGACGCGAGATTGACGAGGCGTTCGAGCACAGCGTTGAACAAGCTCGAGAAGGTGGCTCTGAGGCACGCGAAGACGGCCGGCAAGCCGCTCATCCTCATTCTCAACAACGTCCACTACTTCAACCACGATGATGACGGCCGCAACATGTTGCTGCAGTTCCAGCAACGGGCTGAGGGGTGGGCAGCCAGTGGTATGTGTTCTGACCTCCTTTCTGGACTCATAGCTGAACACTTCGATAGGGATCCTGACAATGGTGTTCAGCTCGTAAGCACATTCTCCTCCTATACGTCGGCACGGCAACTCATCGATCTGCAGGGATGACTCGTGGCCATTCTTCGTCATGCGTAAGCCCCTGCCTTCATGTGTAGTTCACATAGTCTGACACTGGTCGCAGGCAAGAACGCTAGCAGGATGCATGTAAGAAGCAGCCCACCCGCCGAAGAACACGTTACTAACCTCATTTCAGGTCGTCTCCGTGTATGACCTGTCCGCCCAAGACGCACAGACCGCGGCACGCCGCATGCGCATGAATGCGCGCCAGCAGAAGGAGTCGCCGGAAGTGCTCACCGAGATGGTGAAGATCGTCGGCGGCCGTCTCACGTACCTCGGCAAGGCAACGAAGGCGCCGAACATGGTCGAGTACGCGAAGCACATGCTCGCGGTCGAGAAGGCGTGGCTGCTGAGCCAGATCGGGCTGATCCCGGACTGCGACGACGACGTGATGGACGAGCAGAAGTGGAGCTCGTGTTCGTGGCTCCTTCTGCGCGAGTTTGTGCACCGGCACGAGAAGGAAGTCGAGCGAATCCGGGAGGCGGTCGAGCGTGGTGAGGCAAAAGCCGAGGAGCTGGAAGGGATCCCGCTGCCTCGCATCCCCTACGTGCGTTGTACATTGTTCTCAAACTTTGTTCGACGGACTCACATGCTCGCAGTACGAATGCCGGCAGATCATGACGCGGCCGGACTTCATGGATGGTGCGTCCCTGCCTGTGCCTGCTAGTACACGTTTCTAAATTTCGTGAAATGTAGACCTGGACCGCAAGAACATAATCGCGATTGACGTGAGTGTCCTTCACCTGAATCACAACGCCTCGCTGCTCACTTTCCGCCGTGCAGATCAACCACGATGTTACGCCCGACTCCTGGCTCATCCTTCACGCCGCCGAGGAGGTGGTGGGTGAAGAAGGGTTCGACGACCTGCTCGATAGCGTCCGGGGCAGAGTAGACGAGATTGAAAGTCTCCACCGCACTCGGGAGCTCACCGTACGTGCTTCCGCGCCACACCTCGTGTCTTCCAGCCCTTCGCGGCCAGGCTCGCACATACTGATACGCCATTTGCAGTTTAAAGATGTCGACGCAGGCGATCGCATCCGGCTCACAGTCGACAAAGGCGGCGCACGCGTGGTATAGTATAGCACCGCACGCACATCACATTCCTTCCTCGTTCCATGTTTTAGCACCACGCCCACACGCACACGCACAATGTTCTTTCGCCCTGCTAGCCTCGCGTCCGCGCGAAATGAAGCACGGCGGCGCTCGCGGAGCCCACGTCTAACGTGCGCACAATGTTCCGAGGTCCAGATGCCACGTACGCGCAAGAGGGGGACCCCAGCGGAGAGAGAAAGAGGGTCGTTCCCATGCCAGATCTCCGTCGATCCGCTGGGCCTGGCCGCCGCGCCCCCGTCCAATGGCGTCCACCCATCGCGCATCAAGGGCGTGCTTCGTGCTGTGAACGCACGCGGGAGAACTCCCATCGGTGTCCACTAGCACGTTCGAGCACTCCTCGGGGCGACGTCGACACTTCTATGCCCCTTCGATGCTATTGCACGGGCCGTGCGGGCGAAACCCGGTATAGTCTGCCGGGCTTCGACTGTACCGGGATTCTCGGAGCACGATAGCACGTTGAAAGTGGTCATTTACTAACTCGACCCTAGTGAGAATGCACCACGTTCTAGGCTGGATGCGGAGGATGCGCCGGCTGGGCCTGATAGGCTTGCCACTCCCGCTCGGTCACCCGGACAACTCAAAGCCACGCATGCTCATCTCCATACATGCCACTCGGTGGCTATTTCATGGAAGCAAAGGAGCAACGTACCGGACGCGCACCTCAGGCTCATCCCCCGGCGAATTGCCCCGCGCAGAACAGAAGCGTCCGGACTACACTCCGACGAACGCCGCCCGCGATCAGCGATAGGTGTGCGTTTGTGCCCTGGGTTCGAGGGTGCGCACTTTGTGAGTTACGTCGACACGGACGCGGACGCGCGCGGAGCTACGGGTGGCCAGCTGGTGGCCCGGTCCCGGCACGAAGATGCCTTCGAGGGCGACGAGATGCACAAACGCAGGCTCGAGAAGGCCGTCCTTCTTTGTACCGACGTGGCATCGCCCGAGATGAGCTCCCCGAGTGTCCTCGCAGCCTGCAGCACGGTCGCCGGCTACAAGCTTTAGGAAGAGTACGTGCGAGTTCTGCCGTCCACTACGTGGTCGATCACTCATAGCAGCACGGAACGTCGACCGCACGATACCGCAGCGCCAGCTTCTGCTCGTCCCAAACGCGCCGCGTCTCTGGGCGTGCTCTCAGGCAAAACCAGGGCAGGCCGCAGCTCTGTTGCAAAGCCTGGAAGCAACTCGGCGCTGCCACAGCTTGGCTCCGGGTGTGATTGCGTATGGTGTGGCACCCGTTTGCACCATCGAGGGCCCGTAGCTCCGCGGTGTCGAGCCGCCAGATATGGCTCCCCGGCCCTCCTATCGGCGGCGGCGCAGATCATGGGACGGGGCAGCTGCCCAGGCCAGGGCGCGAAGGGCAGTTCTGAGTTCAGTTCCGCGCGTCCGCAGACGAGCGTGTCGTGGCCTTCCGGAGGGCTATCTGCAGCATCTGGATTCTGTATGCAGTCCGTGCATCTGCCATGTCGGCATTCCCGTGGATATCGCACTCCGCACTGTGCTTCGCGTTGTGTATCGTCTGGGAGCCTGGAGGAGACGGCCTGCTGCGATGTTCGCGGAGTTGTGTGGGCCGGGCGGTCTCGCCGGGCGTGTCGCAAACGCCCGCGGTCCCGCTGGTGGACCGTTGCCGATATGTCGAATGCTGGTGCTGGTGGTATAGCGATTCATTTGCGCCCTATCAGAGAAGGCAGTTAGAGCAGCGATCTTACTGGACTTCAGAGAGATCACATCTGTCTAGGATCGTATTCCTATGCGCCGCCGCAACTGCATCTATCCCGTTGCCCAGCACCACAGGCTTCAAGAACACCGCTCGACCACAGGCGTATGTCGGCGGAAACGACCGTCACCCTTCTCGCGCCCCTTCCAGCGTCCAGAACGGCTCTTAATCAGCGCACATATATCAAGGGCTGCGTTTCCATAAACACCTCGGCGCGCCATGAGGCGGGCGGAGGCCGCCTCTAAGCCAAATACAGCACAAGAACGCGCGCACAAGCACAAGAATCGTCTTGCTGCGCGCGGCACTTCTATTTCCACATAACTCGTATGTTATCTTCCAGGTCTTCCAAGACTCAGAAGTTCCGTCGGCCGCACACGCTATCCCGCCGTGCCTGGATTCTCGTGCCGCGTGCATGATGTGGTTCAACAAGAAGAGCCACTCCCGCGAGAGGGTACGCCACTCCGAGTACACCCCAGCGCTTCTCCCGCGGCACGCCCACACAAGAATCCACATATGCTATCACCACGAGATGTGCTGCTGCGTCGCGGGCGCGCAATGTGAGGGTCTGAAGCGGGCCTGGGTCTGAGACTTCGAAATCCAAATATCAGTCACCGCGCGGACCCTGATGATGCTAACGCTTCGAGGAAGGTGGGGGTAGGACCGTAGGAGTTTCGCACTGGAATATCTGTCAAGATGCATCAGCGAGCAGCGGCGGCGGCGAGCGGGGCTCCTCGTCTCCGAACCCGAATATCAAGGGGATATGTGGATGTGTCATTCGAGATCTGGGGAAGGAGGTAGGAACAAACGAAGGCTCGAGATGGCAAGTCTCGTACAGTCGTCGGAGGGAACACGTTCTGACTTACTGATATCGAGATCTCAGTGCGGCAGGGGAGGAGTAAGACCTGCCTTGCAGGGCAGGACGCGCAACGCCACCGCGCAGTCCGAGGACTGGGCGACGTCATGGCGCATCGGGCAGCCGCCACAAGCACGATCGGGACAGCGCTGGAGGGCGGGAGCTGTGCAGCCCGGGAGTTTAATGCGGATCGTCGGTTGCGATCCTGGTGCATCGGATCTTGGAGGACGAGTACACCACAAGCGTACTGCTGCATGCAGTGGCCAGTGGCGCACAACCGTATATGTCGGCGCATCCGAGCATCATCGCTGGGGCACCCGCAGACGTAGCAGCGTGTGCCACTGCAATGATGAAAGGGTGGCATGGGAAGCTCGTCCATGCATCCGAGCTGAGCCACCCAGGGCAGGCTTAGACATACACGCAACTCCGACATGTCGACCACTCAATGTGGTTCTGGTTCTGCATCTGGTTCTAGGTCTGAGGTCGTACTTGGAATGATGCTGGCACGCACCTCGTCAGAAGTTCCTCCGAGTGGCAGAGTGGCAGACCCCAGACCAAGACCAAGTGACAAAGGACGCCGGGAGATGAAGGCCTTCGACATCATCGGCGCCCTCTGCGCCCTATGGGTGGCCCCCTACCGTCCAATCGCGCTGCGCCCGCTCAGGTTCTAGACGGGACCGATGATCTTCCACGGCCGTGCGGGGTGGGTGGGCCCATTCATCGGCGCTGGCGGTGGGGGAGGATCAGCGCCGCACGCGGGCGGACAAGGCCCAAAGAGGCAGGTCCGTAGGATGCGATACTCACGCGCGATAGGTACCATACGTGCTCCGCCACTGCATCGATGCCTCGCTGTGACGTCAATCGGGAAAGACGTGCCCGAGCGTTATGTTGTGCGGATGTGGGGGATCTTGGAGGCTGTTCACGGACACCGCGGAGACCCGGCCGTAGAGGCGGCGCGAAGACAGTCGTCGTAGCAATCATGGCGTCATCCTTTCCATTCGACTGCGCCGGCGGGAACGGGCTTCTCCTATGGTGGGTGCTTGTTCACTTGCCTGGGACTCGGGAGCCTGAGGTGGCCAAAGACGGATGCCGCCCCCAGGGCGTGCAATTTCGTAACGATGACGTTGAGAACCCGAAGCTGCACTCGGGCGAGCGCGCCAACCTCGGAGTCTGGACGTTGTGCACATTATACACAGGGCTGCAGCGCGAATGGACGCGTTCTGATTGATGGCGTCGGGCGTGTGGAAGCCGCTGCATGCCTCACGTCGACGATAGCGAGCACGGACGTCCACACAGGGCAGCGCGGCCCTGGCACTCGCCCTGGGGGTGGTGCGACGCGAAGCGTACTAGCTCGCGCGAGTCGGGCCGGGGTGGTCACGACCTCAGGCTCATCGCAGCAGCGAGCGTGCCGAGAGCGCACGGCGTGGGAAGCTCGCCGAGCACTGTGTCGGCGCACTGCGGAGGCTATCTGATACATGGAGAAATACAATCAGTGGCGGTTTGGGATGGGGTAGGAGAGTTGAACTGAGCGCTCACCGTAGGGTCATCCAAGGAACGACGCTGATCTGCGTGAGACCACCAGGTCCATATGTTCAAAACACGAATGCTTGGGTAGCGCCCAAATCCCGATTGGCGCTTGTAGGCGTTTGGTACCGCCGTAGGCGCCTGTATAGGCGCTCTTGAATAGAGCGAAGGTGCTGGGCAGGCGCTGGACAGGGTCCATTGACTGCGTACCGGGAAGTTGGGAGCCAAGGTGCGGCAATTTGTCTGAATAGGTGACCAATGGAAGGGGGAACCTGGAGAAGATGAGGCGCTGTGGGGGGAATGAGGCTAGAGTCAATAAAACCGCCTCCAGTCCAGACAGACCGGTCCCAATCCCTCACCGATTGGATTCCGTAGCGGACGACAGGAAGCCGCATATGCCCTATCAACTGCAGATATTCACTAAGCGGCATAAAAATTTCGGTTGAACAGCCATCCCAGAACTGAGCTGCGTGTGTACGTGGTGCGAGTCAGCTACAGTCAAACACACAGTCAAATCGAGCACAAAGTCAGAAAAGCGAAGACGCCGCACCGTACGACAATTTGCGGCCGCGGTAGGCAGGTCTTGCCGCATGCAACAAGATGCCGCTTACGCGTCTCCCTTTTTCGAACAGTGGAGTCAAAGGGAGCACCGCTGACCCTGTACCTCGTCGAACCTTGATCGCCCTCGAAGGTATCGCACAGCCTTCCGGAGTGCTATATAGCCCGCGCAGCGGCGCACGCCTCTAGCGCACCCAAATCTTCGCCGCTCTGCGAAAGATCTGTCAGAGGGTGTCAGCACGCCCCGGTAATGCGTAGACCGACGAAAAAAGTGCTCACGAGAACCGGAGCAGGAACGGCACCCGTTCCGCGACTTGAATTTTGCTATGTGCGCGATTGCGGACGCCGCGCGGTGTACTTACTGGAGACGGCCGTGCGGCCTCATGCTCGTCGAAGTCGAAGTATAACAAGATCCGAGATGAAAGCATTCGAAAGCCAATGACCCAGGCGCCCCGTGCATTCACTTACAGGACCGATAGAGATACTTCCCCGTGAGGACGCTGTGGTCAGCTGTGGCTGGGCCTAAAAATTGTGTGTCCAACAGACACCATCGGCGGGGAGCAGCCCTCGGAGCATGCTGATAGCCTTTGAGGCGGGCGATGGTCCGGTATCGGGCGAACCATCGCACTTTGCAATCTTCACGCAAACTGCGAGCACGTCGGGAGCCTAGGAGCAGGATGAATTGGCGGAAGCAATATTGTCAGCGGAACTGGAGCGCTCGTCGAAAGTTCGAGGTCCGTGATCACCGGAGACGCTGACTGCCACCGGGGCTTTTCGGCGGAGCTCGAACTAGGGCCGCTGCCGTCGAACCGCTGGGAAACTGGGCCCCAGTCTGGACCGGCTGGACATACTCAACGCTCGCGATCCAAACTCGGAAAACTGTCTATGCTATACTCCGATGACTCGGGAATTCTCCCATGCCACCGACACACCGTTTTACAGGAAAATAACGCTGGGAAAACATAGTACGCCACCATAGCGTATACCTAATGTATCAGTTCAAAAATCAAGACCAGTGCGGTGCCACATACCCATTCACCGCCTGCCCAGAAAATTAACTTGTACGTACAGTAGGAGCACACGCAACCCACTACTCGCCACGTATGACTCGTCGCAGGTATCCACAGTACTGCTATGCACTCGCAGCACCGCAGTGCATCCTCGGAAACCCTACATGCACCACCCCTGCAAGTGACCGGTGACCAGGGCAGCACACGCGTGCGGACACCTGATGGATACATGTGGGTCCACACGCGGCAGCGGCGTGATCTCAGCCCCCTTGTCGACGCAGGACTACTGCTTCGTTGGAGTTGACGCATCGTGGTGCAGCTAGACTGGGATCACCCGTACGTGGAGATCAGATGGACGCGCGGAAAGTCTGTCGCGTTGAAACGTGCACGAGCGAAGCCCGTATATTGTGATCGCAGGTCGGGCCTGCGTGGTTCTGCCCGCCTCGTGCGCACGGGTGAAGGATTTGAGGGACGGCGTCGCTCTGACACTGACAGATGCGCGTGCGGTTACTTATGCGTCGATGCTCGGTTCGCGCCCAGGGCTGGGAGACACCCGCTACAGTAAGTGAGTGACCCACATACCAACCACATACATATGCCCCTTGAGCCACTGCTGACAACTGCATCGTGGCAGCGGAAGCAGATTTAGATGAGCCCCTCGCCGTTCTGTGCCGTGGTCGGCGCCGACGCGCGAACCTGATGGGTCCTGGATAGAACTGCGAACTAGACAAACACGACGCCGGTACATCGTCCGAGGCGGCAGAGAGTGCGCCCGCCGCTCTATAGCCGCCCTCCGGCGGCGCGCCTTTGTCTCCATCTTTAGCTTAAGTTTACTGTGTTGGCCAAGGACAAGGGTTGCGTTGGACATGCGGCGACGGCAAACAAACAAAGGCACAATAATGACTCGGGGACAATAGCGGTAAGCGAAGAATGTAGAGACGGCCTACGGGGACGTACGTACGTGCATGCTGTACGACTCCTCCGTATTGTGCGTCGTCCTCGTATTGAACGGCGTAGCAAGGATAGGCAGAACGCAATCAGGCATCAAATATAGTGCTCTAAGAGCTCGGGACCGCGGCGCTACCCAAGGTTTTGCCTTGTTCGGTCGAACGCGGGACTGTGTACGAGACGCGTCGCGCCCACGCTAAAGGTGTACGTTGAAGATCACGCCACGAACCACAATAACTGTCCGCCCAACAAGCGCAGACGTGCCAGCAAGTATCTGCAGGCACTAGTATGTACTGTCAGTATCGCCCGCCGGTCAGTCAGTCGGATAGCAAGCGAGTCACGAAGCCCGAATAGTGTCCAAATTTGCCATAGTCTACATGACACGGCTGTGCACGTCGACCAGCACTGACACTGGCACTGCAACTGAATGCACGTCCCCCCAGTCAACAGAAGTCAACGAGCCTCACGCCACGTACGCCTGTGGAGATCCCGCCCGGACGGCCGCATGAACACCGAGCCCCCACCCATCACGGCCCTTGCGGGGTTTGCGGCTCGCCCGCATCCACGGACCACCACGCACTGGCCACCACGCTAGGCCCTGGTGTACGATGTACGTTATCGGACGGAAGGGGCATCGTGGCGTAGAATGCTGGATGCTGGGAAGATTGACGTGCAGCCGTGCTTAGGCTCGAACTCCGAAGCAGCCAGGGGAGGTGTTCGAGCCACCATGCCGGCGGCAAGGAACAGGTGGCAGCGGATGGGGAAGGGAAGCGCAGAAGTGTAGAAGTGCGATGCGAAACTCGATAGCCCGGGTGCTCAGGCGTCGCTCGGGGACTGTTTTGCGTGGGGGGACTGGAGGGAGGGACGGTTCTGATGGAATGCCCGCTCGAGGGTGAAGACGCCGGAGGTTGCACGATGTGGGGTGTGTACACTGGCGCGCAGGCTGCAGTTGCGATGGAGGGCCTGTTCGTGTGTGTGCTGCGTGTACGATGATCGCGAGAGTGACGGTGAGGGGTCGAGGGTTGGGAGGAATTCAAATGCGCAGTGACTTCAAAGGGAGTGCCAGTAGCGTCGTGAATACGAGACGCGCCGCGCCACGAACCTGGCGCTTTGGACGATTGACGCTGCAGTGCACGATAAACGTTAGCAGAATAACCAATAGAGGTCGCATTCAAACCACAAAAGTCTAGAAAGCACAAGCCGCTTGTCCACGACCACGGACGCCCTATACAGTGCGATAATGGGCCATTCAGTCCTGCAGCACTCCCCGAGATTCGAGGCGATGGCCCAAGACGAGCGTGTCCGTTAACCCCCGAAAGACATGGCAGACCCTGCAGCGCGGAAGCATCACGCCCCACCTCGCACCTGGGACCCTGTAGCGCGCGCTCGAGGCCCTCTGCAGCAAGACCTGGAGAATGTGAGTGTATATGGTCAGATGCACCCGCACCCCGTCACCTGGGGCCCCCAAGCAGATCATCTGCCGCCGGAACCGCGCAGCGCGATATCCACGTTTCCGACGCAGCCCCCGAGACCCAAGCTGTGGTTGGACGCGGGCCCGCCAAGCGATGCAGAGGTAGACGGCTACTGGGGGTCGTGTGATCCTGGAATGGGCAGGGCGAAGCGTCGTGCGTTTGACCGCAGCGGCCTAGGACGCCGTTGCCTGTGAAGTGCGAGCGGAGTGCAGACTGTGAGAGGCTGGGAGCAGCGGAAGAACGCCCGTGGCGAGTGAAGGCCGGGTGAAAACACAGGAACTGCGGACGAGAGGGGGGTCGTACGAGGTGCGCACTGGGCGGTGCAGGGTGAATGGATCGGCGTCGGTGTGGCGGCGCGGCGCGAGGACCGTGGCAGGCACGTGGGAGCGCGAACCTCGACGCGGGACGCGCGCGTGGGACGGCGGTTGCGCGACAGGCTCAGGGTACAGCGCGGCGTCGGCTGCGGGATAGACATAGACCCCGGGGCGTGTGTCGGTGCACGCCAGATGCGTCTCCAGATGCGACCGCGGACAGCCCCAGTGCCAGTAGGCATCTGTTCCGGAAGAGACGTGGCACGACCCCAAGACAGACGGCACCTAGTCGACGTCGACAGCGTATCCAGGTCAGTCAAAGAGACAGAGAGCAGAGAGAGCGCAGGTCATTCGAACAGCGAGATAGACAGATATACGGCCACGGTGCGCACGCCGCCACGCTGCCCGCTCGCACGGGCGGCGAGATGTCGCAGAAGCGCAGCCCGCAAACGCCGAAGCGTCCGGGACGTCCCCAGTGACTGTGTGTACCGCGGTGCGGTCTCCGCGAGAGCCCCGAGGAAACGCTGGGGGACCGTCTCCAACGAGCAGTGCCCTCCGGGGGTGTGTGGCGGCCGGTGGTGGGCGGGCGAACGCAAGCGCGCACTTGAATACGGCGCGGAGCTCGAGGATTTGTCGCTGGCAGATGCTACGCCGGAGCGCCGATATGGTGTTTTCGAGTTCCGGGCGGACGACGGAGGTGGGGCTCGGGCGTGTCCTGCAGCGAGATGCGGCGGCGTCCGTGATTACATTCTAAGGCGGGTGGAACTTGTAACAGACACAGCGCGGACTTGAGATTAACTCGGATGCATTCGAGTTGCGTGTGTCTGCGTCATCCTGTGGGTCCGATGGCGGTGCGGGCGAGCGAATGTACGAGCAAACACTGGCCACTGTGGTGAACACGTCACCTCGCCGGACTGTGTTTGACAGTTGCGAGTCAATGCTGGGCGAGTCGGGACGAGCGAAGGCCCTGGGCGCACATGGGCGAGGTACAATGACGTCATAGCGAGTGCGTGCGATTCGGAGAAGCGCAAGGCTGGGACGCACCAGAGCCAGAGTGGGCCTTGGGCTTGATCCAAAGTGACGCGTCGGGTCTATCGGCGCACTACGTACTGCGATCTGTACAATGCACTCAGAGTCCTGTCAGTACGTGGCGCACATATGGATGGGCGGAGTGCATTGCAGTTGCACGGGGCGTGCGATGACGAGTGAGCATCGTACTTACTGGAAGCGCACCGGGCGGTGGAGAGCTGCTTCGTACGGCACGGCAGAAGCGCAGTGACGGTGCGGAGCTAGAGGCAGAGGGCAAGCTCAGGCTCACCGAGCTCCATACACGGACCTCCGCCTTCGTGCGACAGCAGATCCACGGGCCATACCTGTACCCCGGCGGATTGAGAAGCCCCCAGTGCAGCCGGCCGCGGACTCACTTCCTGAGCCTGAGCACGGACTGCGAAGTGCGGTAGGTCCCTGGCCGGTCCTCGCAAGTACGCTGCACAGCCTCCTGCGCGATGCGGCAATATGGCCACGGAGAGGGTCGCGCTGCGAATAGCGTGGCATAGGCTACCTACTTACAGCGCAGCCAGCAGTGCACCCGCAGCCCCCAGTTCAGCCGTAAGATTTGGCGAATCACCTGTGCGAAACGGTGCGATCACAGGGGGGCGGCCGCCTGCAGTCGCCGAATATGCGACTTCTTGAGGTTCGTGAAGTTCGCGCCGAATTGGTCAGCAGCGCCCTATGACGAATTTGAGTACGGTATTAGGGCTGCCGAAGGGAGAGGAGAGTATGAGGGCACCTTCGCTAGGCGGGGCCGTGCCGCGGTGCCTATCATCAACGTTCGCGGGTGCCGGCGTGGTCCGTCGTCCGTCGTCGGTTGTGAATGCCAGCGAGCATGAGCTGTGGAAGAGCAATCGACTCGTCAATCGTTGGGTAATACCGCGAGCCGCACGGCCCGACTCGCCAGCCGCTCTCCCCGAGGCCAGAGAACCACCGCCGTATTGGCACATGTCAGTGCCAGACGAGCCAGACGAGATGAAGAGCTGACACGTCGGCGTGGATACATACAGACGCGATCAGGCGTGCGAGTGCGGGCTGGCCGTACACGTACAAATGACACATCGCAGGCGGGCAAGCTGGGGCCCCGGACCACGCGTTCTGTTCATGTGTATGCGTCGCGTAGATATCAGCATCACCATCGTGCGCACTGCACGAGAGGCGAGAGGGCGATCGCCGAGCTGTGAGGGTTGGAAGTTGTCAACTTCACGTTGCACGTATGCGCGGTATACGCTCGTTCATTGATATTGATGCGTGGTATACGCCCGTTCGCTCTTCCCTCGCCACTTCGGTTCTGGGGCGTGGTAGGGTCGCTGCGCCATATCAGCCCCAAAGTACCCAGTACATTCACGTACCGATCGAGCCCCCGGGAAGACCACGCCAGGCCGGCGACCATCTGGTGTAGCGAAATGGCGCAGACGGGGACAGACGGGCATATGCGGGCGTCAGACTTCTTCAATTACGCGTATACGTACCCGAGCGAGGAGAAGGGGGGACTGGGGCCACGCCGCTGCGGGCCCGCTCCGTCTCCCGTCTTCCGCTTTCCGTCTTCCGTTCTCCGTCCTCCGTTTCGCGTGTCGCGTGCGCCGGGGTGGCCGTGCGGCGAAGTTCGAAGCGCGGTATACTCGAACGAGCGACTACCGAGTTCGTACGCCGCCAAGGACGCCGTTGTAGGGTGGCAGGCACGCCCACTCGTCCACCCTTTACAATTGCTGTTTGAGAAGAAGCGAGGGTGTTACTCACTGTGGATGGGAAGCTGCGGCGGCACGATACGAGGTGGAGGCTTGCGACATCTGAGACGCCTCCAGCGCGGGTGGGCGAGGCGGCGTCAGCTGAAGCACGGGGTCTTCGGTTTCGAGCCGCAGCGGTCTGAGGTCTGAGGTTTGCGAGGCGGAACGGTGTCTTGGAGGCGTGGACAGGCCCGGTCGCCCGAGGCGCGAGCGCATCTTGTACGTGCGTGCGCGGGCGTTGTGTCGCTAGGGGTGGGCGTTATATTCATAGGAGTGGCCATTGCATAGCTATACTAGGAGGTGATTCAGCTTGACGCACGATCTGTCGCTCGGCGTGAGGCGCACAGAGGACGTGATGCGGGGGCGTTTCGGAGAGTGAGACGAAACGCGCGTTCGCGTCTCGCGTTGCAACGCAGTCCACCCACGGGCGCCTATGGATGGTGGCGGCGAAGTGGCGGACTGATTATTGTGCTGCGAATTCGGATTTCGGATTAAGGGGGTCTATGCACATCTGCTTTAATCGATGAAAGATGGGACGTACGTATTCGTAGGGTTGCCGTTACGGGGTATAGGCAAGGTAAGGGTGGGTCAATAGTAAGATGGATGCTGTTGTTCTACGTAAGGCGCGACCCATCGGCCTCCTCCCCTCGCCGATATCCATGAGAGCTGGAGTCACCTGGCGGTTAATGCGGATGAAAGAAAGAGGGGCCCTATGTACTCACCGTGATTGTGCACACGTCCGTCGCTCAGCGCATTGTGGTGACTATGCACGCGCATTGTGGGGACGCGAACCTCGCCCGGCATGCAAAGAACACGAAGAAGGTGACGGCACAACACGGCCGTAGGAAGGCGGCGACGCGCATTGTGCATGGGGCCGGGTCCGCAATGCGAACGCCCAAACGCAAACGCAAACGCAAACGCAAACGCACTTCCATATGCATGCGGCCAAAGATCACAGACGCGCACGGTGGTCATGGATATGGTTGTGTATTATGGAATGCGGACGGACGCGCGCTCGGACGCGATGGTGGTGCGGCGTGCGTTGTAGGCGGCTGTGGTATGTATGCGGACAACTCGAATCGGATGTGGTGTGGTGCTGATCAGCACTTGAGCGCCACCATGGAGTACCGGGCAGCTGCTGTGGAGAGCAACTCAAATGCAGACTCCGGCACCCTGTCCAGGCTCGTTCAGGGTGCTGATTGCACGTCGATGGATGGGACGCCGATGCAGCGTGCCAGCGTTAGAGCCTAGCACGGCAGCGCGACTGATATGGAGGACCGCAGAGGACCGCATCGGGAATGGGCACGCACAAATCGGGCGAGCTGACCACGGATGACTGTCGCCTGCGATCTTCCCGTGCACGGCGGCGTGGCCCTGGATGAGCGGATGGCAGCGGTGGCGGTGGGCGTGCACCACCATGCGTGCCGAGTCCCGAGTCACCGACGCGGATCGGGACAGCGCCGCGCGCAGAGTTCCAGCGTTCGGACAGGGCGACGGGATGACTGGAGGCCGGATCACGCGAAGCGCGCGTCGGGGCGAGCAAGCGCAAACATGCTTCACGCTGACTGGGTGATTGCACGTTCGAGGAAGATCGCTCGCAGGGGGGCGGCGCCTCGGGGGGGCCGACAGGGGCGGGTCGGAGGATGCTGAGAACTTGGCAGCGGGGGTGGAGCGTAGACGGTCGGGGACGGGCCCAGTGCTGTGCGGCGGTTGTGTCTGCACCCATGGCGAAATTTGCGGGTGGGCTGTGAGCCGTGGCGGGGCACAGTCGACAATGCGACCCTTTATGCAGATAGTGGTCGCAAAGCGACTGCTGCTGGTTGTTGTAGTCGGATTGTGTGTATGCTGCATAGGGTCAGATTGTGGTCAGGGTGCAGGCGTTCAGTAGGTGAATGGAGAAAGGGCTGTGCGCGCGGGTGGCTCCGCCGGGGCGCCCGTGGGAACGAGCCTGGTCTATGCCTTCGCTGCATTTGGGCGGTCTAAGCGCTGGACAATCGCGATCTGGGTACCTGGCCGTTGGCTGTCCGCGCCGCCCGCTTGCACGCTTGCTGGCAGAGGATATATATCGCAGGCCACCTCCCGCCACCGACCTCTTTTCTCCTCGCGTCCTCCTCCCGCCGTCTGCCGCCCTCGCCCTCCTCCGTGCCCTCTCTGCTTTTCCTGCTACCCCCGGCCGACCACCCACGCGCCTCTGCTTGAGCACCTGTCGCCCGCCTCGTTTGCCTCGAGGTCCCCCGCGAACTTCAACGTCCGCCACACCCGCGCCTCGTTTTGCTGCCTCGTTGCTCCTGGTTCGCACGGTGAGTCTCTGCTCGAATATTCTGCGGGAAGGGGCGTGCCTCCCGGGGTCCGGATCAGAAGGACGTCGAGTTGACACTCAGAATGGGAGGCGCCGAGAGAATATCGGGCGATATTCCGGCGTGATGGGCCGTGGGCACGGCGGATTTATCATGACGCCTGCGCGTGTTGGGGATATCGTGCCGGTGCCCATCCCACAGCGCAAGCTCTCCTGCACCCTCGTCCAGTCCCCGAGTCCTGCCTCGCACCTTCCCCTTTTCGACGCGCTGGCCTTGTGCTTATAGCTCCCTCCCTCCCAGCACTCGGCCTGACCCCACACCCCCCAGCCCCTCCCGCCCGCCCGTCCGCTCCCCCGCCCGCCCCCGCTCCCCCGCCCCGCCCCGCCCCCTCGTCGTCCCATGGCTTCCGGCTCAGGTCCTTCCAACAACGGCCGCCACGGCGCGTCCCCGTTCCGGAGGCAGAACAAGATCACCGCCCGGCCCCCAGGCGCACATGCTGCAGTGGTGAGCACCAGGCGCCCTCTACTTTCCTAATCCGAACACACCCTCACCCCCATTCCTTTCTTTCCTTCTCCGTCTGTGTCCGCCAGACCGACCCGTACTATGGACACGAAGAGACCGCGAAGCTGTGCTCCCGCTTCGTGACGCACCTGTTCACATGTCCGGACCTGCCCCCGCTGTCGACGTCCATCCCGCCCGCGCCGTCGCCCGCGCTCGGCAACTTCATCGCGTACGCGCTGCACCGCACGCGCCTGCACACGTCCGTGACGTTCGCGGCGCTGTACCTGCTGCAGCGCCTAAAAGCGCGCTTCCCCGCCGCGCGCGGGAGCTCCGGCCACCGCCTCTTCATCAGCGCGTTCATGATCGCGAGCAAGGTCATCTGCGACGACACGTACTCGAACAAGTCGTGGTCGATCGTCGGCCAGGGCATGTTCGCGCTGCGCGAGATCAACCAGATGGACGGCTTCGGCTTCCCCGCCGTCCCTGCCGCAGCCGACGCAGCCGCCGCAGGAGCCCTCGCAAACGCCGTTGCCCCACCCGAACTCGAGCCCGAGCTGCTCGTCCTCGCGCCCGGACTGCTCGAGTTGATATTGATCGGCGTGCCAATCGTGCCCGAGCCCACCACGCGCACGTTGTGGTCCTCGTACCCCAGCGGCGTCGACGGCGGCGCGCTGCTCGCGGGGCTCGTGCTCGTCGACATGCTCGACTCGGGGGTGTCCGGGGTGTTCGGCGCGGACGCGCGTGCTGGGGGGTGCGGCGCGTGGTGCCCGTGGCCGTGGCCGTACGGGTTGCCCGCGTGCACGGGCACGGGGGGCGGTATGGGCTTGGGCGGGGACGTCGAGGGCGCGTTGGTGACGCGCGTCGTGAAGCTGGGCGGGGGCGCGCTCGCGTTCGCGGGCGTATAGGGCGTCGTGCTCGGCACGGGGGACGGCGCGGGCGACGCGAGGATGTACGTCGGGTACGGGCCGGAGCCCTTGAAGTCGCGGCGGACCTTCTGCTCGAACTCGGTGAGCGCGCTCGGGTCGATGTTGAGCTGCCACTCGAGGTACGAGCACATCTCGCGCAAGTGTGGGGATATTTTTGCGAGGGCGTCGCCTGCCGTTTGGTAGAACGCTGTGAAGTCGGCGCCGACTTGAAGATCGCTGCTGCCCGTGGCTCAGGCGAGGGCAAGCGCGCGCCGCGGCGCATGCGCGTCCTGGCTTTGGCCACATACAGCGCGCCCCGCCGTCGCGACGGGACTCCGGGCCCTGGTCTCTCGCTGCGACGACGAGACCGGTGTGTCCCCCGCAACCTACCCAGGCCGCCTGCCCGCCTGGACCATGTGCCCTATATCATTATACCCCGCGTCCCGCCTCCCCACGCACATTCTTCGCCCGCCCGCTCAACCGCATGCCGTCATCCGGGACCGGGGGTTCGCTCGCTCGCCGTCTCGTCTCTCGTCTCAGTCTGTTGCCTCGTCTCATCTCGTCTCGCGCCGCCGTCTCTGCTCCGCCTCCGCCTCCTATACTTTTCTGGCTTTCCCCCTCGTCCCGTCCCGGCCTGACCCCGGACACATTGCATGGCCCCGCCCCCGCCCGCCCACTCGCACGCACGCAACACTACAGTCCACGCACGCACGCTACTTATTGCTCTTTCCTTCCTCACTCTCACTCTCGCTCGTTCTTATGCCCATGGGCCCCATACCACCATCGCACAATGCTCGCTCCGAACCACCACATGTTGTATAGTACCCGCATCCACACAGACAGACAAGCACAGACACAGACAAGCATGGACCACCGCTACAGGCCATTGCAGGCCACTCGCATTGATATCTATCTCTCAGGCATACTTATGATCGCGCGCCGGGGAGCGTGGAGAGATTATATACGTATACGTAGGAGAAGTAATAATGACATGAAGAACGCAACGCAACGCCCTCGAGAGATCTCGTCCTTTCTTTGTGTGTGCGTGCCTAGTCTGAAGTGGGAAGTTTGTGAGCTTGGACTTGAAGCTTGAGTTTGAAGTTTGGATGCGAGCGTGCACATTCGACTTCCGAGTGAGGTTATTTCGTCCGCGGTGGATCTCGTACGTCCTCCAAACAGCCGAGCTTTGCCCTTCAGGGCGCGACGTTGCCATATTTCGACCGCTAGCGTAGCGAGCAGTGTTCAAGAATCACTGCAAGGCTTCCATCAGCCCGCGCTGAACCCGCACCCGCGCTGCCCTGGAGACCGCCTCGCCTCCAGGCCTCAAGCCTCTGCCCGCCGCCTGCCTGCCGCGTCGGTACGGTTGCCGAGGGGAATCAGGTCCATTCCCGAGACGAACGACGAAATCCATCGATTTTGTACTTGCCCTTGGCTCGTCCTGGCCCCGCCTAATTAGTTCTTCCCTCGGATTTGGGCGCCCCCTTTACCCGAATGCCCATTTTGGGCAGCTATGTCGGGTCGTGGGCACTGATGGCGGCCGCGCCCTCGTTGCGTGCACCTTGCCGCTCGCCATTCCCGACGCTGAGGAGGTATATTGCGCCCCTCCCTCTTACCTTTGAGCTCGTAATTAGGCCGCTCTGTGATAACACATACATAGATACATCTCGCCCTATATTCGGGCCCCGATAGTGCTCTTGTGATAATCTACAGAGGTTATAACGCCTCGAGATACTGCTGGTGTATAAAGCTTTCACGATCGTTTGAGTCCATCTGAGCTCAATATGATTGCTTTTAATGATTGATATGGAGGTTATGAACCACATCTAAAAATTTGGAGACGCAATATGCCCGCAAACATGCTGTAGCCCTTCTCGCCGTTGAGCACAGTGAGCAGGAGGGCGCCCCCGATGAGCAGCTCATCGGTAAAATGACATCATTCATGTCTCTGCCTGGACTATATGGGCGCCTAAACCGGAATATTAGAATATCTGGATGGGCGCTAATCAAACGGAGGGCAAAATCATTTGGGACTTCGTCGCTCGTCTCGGGAATGGACCTGATTCCCCTCGGCAACCGTAGTCGGATAGGAAGGCGGGTGCCGCGGCGCCCTGCACGAACGCGGAAGCACTCTCCCAGGATGCCGTGTTCTTCGCGCCCGCAGCGGTCGGGCGCTACTAGCGGCGATCGCGTCCCGTTTCGCGCTAGGCTGGGCGCTACTGGTACTGCGATCAGGGCGAGACAGGCGCGCCGCGGTTGGGTTTGGGATGGGACGGGGCGAGACGGGCGGTTGGGGTGGGGATTTGCTTCCGTCGTGCTGGCTGGGGACTGGCGGGACTAGTCTCGGCTCCAGACCTTCTAACAGGACACTCACGCCGGGCTCAAAGCTGTTTCGCTACGGTCACCAGACACTCGCCACAGCGGAGATCGAAACATGTACCATTACACGCCCCTCATACGTTTGTTTGGATGAAACGTGCGTTTTGCGAAGATTTATAGCTTTAGGTGGAACACAGAACATGCATGTGACGTGAGATGGCAGATGGCCTTGTTTCTGAGCCTTCAACAAGGTCTCCTTTATACTAAAACGACCGCAACGACCCAGTTGCACTGTCAGCCTACAAAAGCTCCGGTAGTATGTAATACTTGCCGTAATTCCCCATCGCATTACAACATTGGTGGTTCAATAGTTTTTAAACCTCATACGCTGGGCGGTATCTGACTGAGGCTTCGATGGCGCGGGCCTGCAGCGCATAATTGCTTAGTGTTCTTCTTTCTCTCAGCTCTTCAAGCCACGCACCGTATGCGCGGCAATATCGAGAAGACCGCGATATCGCAGGCGCGGACAACGACACAACTCTCGCGAAAGGGGATACCAGGCGGGCCAATCAAAAACGCGAGCATGCGCATGAAGAGCATAAAGATTCAGAGCAAATAATCCCGAAAGTGAAGTACACCACACTGGCAGCAGCGTAGCTTGCAGTGGGATAGGAGATGACTCATGACGATTTGTGATACGATGACTAGCAGTTAATGACACAAGCGCCCGCCAGTGACCTGTCGTCACGAGTGGCCGTTCCTGGCCCGAAAGTCCCCAGACCTTCTGGCGCAAGCTCTCTTAGCGCCGAAAGGGATGGGAACGAGACTATGGCGGGACGAGGCGGGCCCGCGCGCGGGGGCCTGAGGAAAGGAGAGGGGAGGTGCTTCCGCGTCCGTGTATCTCGGTCTTTGGGAGTGGATCTCTGTGCTAAGTTTTTGGGCGAGAGTTGAGGGTCCAGTGGTTAACGGAGTTTGGGGGGAGATGCACGATTGCATCCGAGGGGACATACTCGTTTCAATGCTCATAACACAAGTGTGTGTCAAGGATAGACGTCTATGCCGGTGCTGTTACAGTGATTGTACGGGTCATTACTGATGAGTTCGGACTGACGTGCTACACTCTAGCTATCCGCATAGTAGTATATCCCGCAGCACTCCTATGCGCATAACTGTATATGCAGACTCCAGCTTAAGACCACATCTTGGCCAGAAAGAATTTGTTCGGCGCCCTCGTACAAGTAACCGCTACTGAACGCCTTGGCAGATATCAGGCCTCACTCTAAGAACTCAGGAGTCAAGACGACGCCCCCGATATCAAGACCGTATATCCAGCACTCTATCGAGACTTGTGCGTGATCCTTGTACATGCCCGACGGTGGTGGTTAGGAACGGAGGCGCGGAACTCGGGCCCGGGGCGCGGGTCGAAGCACGCCCGGACGGCGCCGCCACCATCCGACCATCCGATAAATCCTTGGCTACCTTGCGCGGCGGGGTGGCGGGCGGGCGGGGCCGCCACCGCCGGAACGTGCGCTGTATGTCGTGCGACGCGCGTCGTACGTCGGCGTCGTGACCTGGCGCTAAGGGCGCCGCAGGTGAAAATAATCGCGAAAATTGCGTGCAATTCAAAAGAGAAAAGAGGGGGCAGCGCACCAAGCACTTGTGGCGAGGAAGATTTGGCCACTCGGGATTTGCCTCAGCCTCGGGTGTGGACAAATCGTTCTTTCGCGAATCGGAAGGACGAGGGGGCGTTGCAATTGCGCAGTGCAGTCGTGGCGTGCGCCCTCGGGAGTCGGGAGTCGGGATTTCCGGGAGCGGCAGATTGGGGGCGGCGCGCCGACGGTTCAGCCGCCCCCGCCGCGAGCCGCTGCGGCACGCGCGTGCGGGGGTGGGTGCGGGGTAGCTTGATAGCAGCACGCACGTTCGGGGGCGTGCTGGCCGCTATCGTTGCGGTGGCCGAGGCTCAGCTGAACGAGGCGTGAACTTGAAGGTGGCTCTGAGTAAGGACGGCCGCGGGCCGCGGGTGGCCATGGCGTTGCGTTGCGTTGTGTATTCAAATTCGGACGGCTGGGCGAGATTCCGAGCCGGGTCGTCTGCACGTCCACTTGGCCTCAGCGCAGCCTGGACTTTGGGGCGGCCACGGGCCCACGACGAGGGTGTGTGGCTAATGAGAGCCGCGTTCGTGCTATCGCGCAACGCGGGGCCGGGGGCGCGACTGGTGCTGTCCCCCTTCCGAGGCCGGCTTCCGAGATCGTCCTAAAGGTTAGTACCTGTGGCCGATATCGTCCTTAGAGCTTCAATGCTTGTGCCTCCGATCAGGTTCTTCGAGGGTTCCGGCTTCGGCGAGCCTCGAGCTAAGTCAATGGATCAATATAGCGCAGGTCAGTTCCAATTGAATGTATCAGGATCCAGGACGGGCGGAACGTTCGACAGCGACTCAGGACCGACGGCTCACGAGGTATCTCCGCACCACCGCCAGCTAGCCGTCTCGAGCGACCGCCGCGTCGTCCCGAGGTCGGCGCGTCCATGTGTCGCGCGCACTGGGATCCAGACGAGCGCCCAATTGGGTGCGGGGCCAGCTTGGCAGGATCAGAACCTCCATCGCCCATTGCGCCATCCGCGAGCCTCGTGGCGGTCAGATGTCCCGGGGCGGCGGCCACATTAGGCTGGCTGGGGCGTGCTTGTCT